GTGATGTAGGACATTTAAAGATGTTATTGATTAAATTCAGAAATAAAATATCGTGCTTTGAATGGATTTCTTAAAGCTAACTTTGATAAAAAGATTTAGTTGAAAGCGAAAATATTTGATGCGTTTGTCTCAAAACTTAACTTACAAAGTGTGTTTTTAATTGGCTATATTGCAAGGGAGATTATAGAATAGATCTCGTCATTTCCTCGATCAAATAAGTCAATGGGACGGCGTGGTCGAGCCGTAGACCACGTATTCTAACCCAAACGTCCCAAGTTCGGTTCTTGACTCGAGCGTTTTAACTCATGGATCATATAGGTCAATTAGGTCCAGTTCACTAGGTCCACTAGGTCAACTCTTGAAAGGTTTCTTGCAATAAATAGCCAACAACCACGACTAAATCTGATGTCACTATCAAGATCCAGCTAGACCTTTCAGACAGCTAATCCTGGCTAAATCTGAAATCATTGTCTAGTTCCAAGCGTATATTGACACGCCATAGCTCCACACAACATCACAAACATTCATTGATGTATGTTTGTTTTCTCGGGAGCTTTTTAAAATTCCAGAAACTTCCAGAACCTTGGAATCAATCACGAGATGGACGGGTAGACATTCTGCGAGCTGTGCCTGACTGAGGCAATATCTTTAAGCCGCTCAGCTTAAGACGTCGTTAAATCCTAATCACGTGAAACCCGATCAGCCGTCAGACGACGACCAGGTTCAGGGGCGGAGGCTGGAACAATTACAGGAGGGAGATTCTTCTGGCACTTTTTTCACACTTGGTTTCATCTAGAGAATGGTTGCACGCATTGTTGCTCACAGCCATATGCTGTAGTTTGTCTGCCCTTTGCTGCAGCGGCATATACATACAGACACACATACATACATACATACATTGCATATATATATATATATATATATATATATATATATATATATATATATATATATATATATATATATATATATATATATATATATATATATATATATATATATATATATATATATATATATATATATATATATATATATATATATATATATATATATAAAATATATATTAAGGCATATAAATATATCAATATATATATATATATATATATATATATATATATATATATATATATATATATATATATATATATATATATATATATATATATATATATATATATATATATATATATATATATATATATAATTATGCTGATTGATATATCTAGACCTATAGGTATAAACATATATAATTATAGATATGTAGGCCTATGTGTGTTGTCTGTATGCATGTATGTATGTAGGTAGTGAATTATTTCTTTTCAATTACGATTAAAAGTAAAGTAAAGTTCCATTTTCAAACCTGACGGCCTATATGGTAAGTGAAGTAGAGTTCACTTGTTTCAATTACGATTAGCAATCATTAATTATCGCAGTAATAGAAATTTTCGGTCTATATTTAGTATTCAGAATGACCCCTTCAGAATGACCCCAACTTTTACATTTCACTGGACATTGAGTCTGGTGTTGTAGATAGAAAAATTGCCCGTATTTCTCGCAACTGGTGGTGCATGATGTGGATCAAAGAAGTCATCGGCTGTAGGGTCAGTCACCGCTCGTTCTTTCAACTATATTTACACAAGTTTCATCCGTTTTACCATCGAATTTGAATAAAATGACTTTTTAAAAATTTTCACAAAATTAGCATCTCTATAAACATTTTGTACCCCCCCCCCCCGAGTTGAAGGAAAGAGGGTGGGGGGGGGGGGTGCGATAAATTATTCGCAGGGTAGGCTTTCAAGTCGGCTGATTGCATCTGGATTGGAGATTTATCACTGGGGGCTGGAGACTTCAAAGCCGGGGGAATACCAGTTGCCTATCTCGTAGCCGGTGGATCGGTAGACTTTTTAACTTACTGCATAACGGCTGTACTTGTTTGTCATTGGCTCTTGTGTCTACATCTTGGCTCCGCCCATACCCGGCTTTCTCTGCTTTTCTGTGGGAAAAAATCCCGGAAAAAATAAAAATGTCGGCTTTAAGCTATACAACTTATAATAAAAATGAAGTAGAAACTCTGTGAAGAATGAGGGAATATTATCCCGGAGCTTTTGAGTTAATGATTGATGTTTTTATATTTGATAAAAATAAATTATGTTATGAAAATCAACACCAAAGAACGTTATCAAACAGTGAACTGTATTCCCTCAGTTGTCTAACTTTAGAAAGGGAGGAAACCGAAGAATTTATTTTCTCTGAGTGAAATATGAAGAAGGGATGGAGAAGGGGAATGCGTTGAATAATTTAGTTTCAGTATTTATGTTGATATTAATAAACCAAATAAAAATGTAATTACCGATATTTTACCCAGCTCCGGGAAACAGAAGCCGGTTATATGCAGCTCCTCGGGGCGAGGGGAGGTAACAAAATACGGACAGTGTTTAATTTCAAGATGGTCACCTCCCTTAGGGAACAAACATACAGTTGTCTCCCGCGTCTAAAAATAGATATCTATATCCAGAAGAAAGTCGAAACAGAACCTTCCATATTCCGCAAATACAAGTTCACAGAATGCCTTGTTCCCTGCAAATATAAATTATAGAAGTCTTAGGATAGCAATTAAATGATTCTTAATGACACTCATTTTTTCAAAAGCTCTCATTTTTAGTGTCACCCCCACCCCCACCTCCACCACCACAAACACCACCATCACTACCACCACAGCAACTACCACTGCTACCACCACCACCCCCACCCCCACAACCCCCACCCCCACTACCACCACCACCACTACCACTGCTACCACCACCACCCCCACCACCACTACCACCACCACCACCACGACTACCACTACCACTAACACCACCAACCCCACCAACACCACCACCCCCACTCCCCCACCACCACCACCACTAACACCAACACCACAACCACCACCATCACCATAAGACACCATGATGAGACAGGACACCATGATGAGACAGAACATCACGATGAGACAGAACACCATGATGAGACAGAACACCAAGATGAGACATAACACTAACCCCATCAATACGAGGCCCACTCTCCCACATAGCTAATGAAAAGACTTTTCCCAAAAGCAGACGACACCAGTTGAGAAAAGAGCGCCATCTACCCGTCCATTTATCCCCTCCCTAGAAGTATTTCAAGTAACAAATTAGATTAGCATTTGTTCATCACTCTCAAGCCGCTTATACACAGAGCGACTGGGCGGAAAAAAATGTCCGAGCAGGTGATGAAAGCTGAGTAGCTGCTCTGATGGGGACTCGCAGCCACAGTGGGTGACAGGCGGAGAAATATTGCCTCCCTTGTCTGCAGATAGGGGGCGCTAAAATAAGAGGGCGCTGGATGTGTTGCGACATGGCCGCACGTTAGGGAAGAAAACTCCACGCCACATCTCGTCCATGGCGTGCGCTAGAAACCAAGGCTGCTTTAAATTCGTAATTTAATTAAAAAGTTCAACTCTGACAAGAGAGGGAACAAATAATTAAATTTCGCGGGAAGAGGGAGGCTGTTGTCGTCCGGCATCAGAGCTAGAGTTCTGAGCCTTCACAACAGTTTGTTTTAACGCGAGATCCCAGGGCTAGCAGAAGATGGATGACGGCCCCGGCTCTCGAGGCTCACGTTGGCCCACTGTTGGCCCGCCTAACACGAAGCTTAAAAGTTTATTATTCTACAGATGTTCCGACGTGTCGGAAATTTTTTTTACAGACTTCAGATAATTGGGGACCGGGAGGGTGGCTGTGTGGGGTGACAGACAGTACCATCAAACACTACCATCACACAGTACCATCAGGCAGTACCATCACACAGTAACATCAGACAGTATCATCACACAGCAGCACTGTATGACAGATAGTATCATCACACAGCAGCACTGTATGACAGATAGTATCATCACACAGCAGCACTGTATGACAGATAGTATCATCACACAGCAGCACTGTATGACAGATAGTATCATCACACAGCAGCACTGTATGACAGATAGTATCATCACACAGCAGCACTGTATGACAGATAGTATCATCACACAGCAGCACTGTATGACAGATAGTATCATCACACAGCAGCACTGTATGACAGATAGTATCATCACACAGCAGCACTGTATGACAGATAGTATCATCACACAGCAGCACTGTATGACAGATAGTATCATCACACAGCAGCACTGTATGACAGATAGTATCATCACACAGCAGCACTGTATAACAGATAGTATCATCACACAGCAGCACTGTATGACAGATAGTATCATCACACAGCAGCACTGTATGACAGATAGTATCATCACACAGCAGCACTGTATGACAGATAGTATCATCACACAGCAGCACTGTATGACAGATAGTATCATCACACAGCAGCACTGTATGACAGTTGATATAGCGTTGACAGCTGGCAGATAAATAGGGCACGAATTCTTTCAAACAAATAACCTCACAATGACCTTCTAAAATTTAATACGTGCCAACCAATTCTAATGTACATTTAAATTTGGGTATTTTAATCATATTATAGACACAATGAACAATTTAACTAAAAATTAATAAATTAACTCAGAGCCTTATTCAAATAATTATCGCGATTAATCGACGAACGAGCATGTATTATAGTGTACAATGTTTATTTTATTGAAAAGCTAGTCCAAGAATTTAAATTAAAATCACCGAGTCATAAATGTAATGACCTTGATTACCTCGCGCTAAAGGAAACAATTTACAACTGCACGTAATAAAAAACCGAATGTTTTCCTATACCGGATACAGCCGGCGTGTGACCCGCGTCTGCCCGTCCATGCGGAACCTGCTGTTTGCTGAAGGGAATGTATTGGCCCATGTCTCAAATATTTGTCCGACATTACGTTTGTCGACCTGCTCGTCTCTTCAGGCTGGCCAATTACTAGATCACGTGACACGGTTGTATCAGTCATGTTTGCATTAAAAAACCGTTACCTTTAAATGAGCTGACGGGCATGTCTGTGACCACAGGAGCGTGACCCGGCTCACACTCACGTCTGCTAAATCTGTCGTCTGCTGGATATTTCTAGACACAAAATGACCAAAAGTTTGAGGTAAGATTTTGGGGAGCTTTCAGCAAACTATTGTTTTTTATATAATTTATTGCATTAAACCTGTTTAGATAACGGAATACATAAAAACTATTAAAAACAAAAGATATATAAAATATTGTTTTTTTTTAAAGTAGTGTAATTTCTATCAAGTTGTGTGATCGAATTATAATTTGCTGAACAGCAGTGATATGTAATTAGGGTTGATGTCGTCAAAAATTGTTTGCTGCTCTAATTTGAAATAATTTATCAACCCCAGCACCTAACGCAAATAAACCCGCAATGTGTTCCAGTCATCCAACCCAATGACTGGCTAAAATAGTTTCGTAAGATTGTAATGTGTGTATAAAGTTCTAACCTGTTCAAATTCCCGACGAAACAAATCATTTGTTTGCCTTCTGCTGACCTCGTAACCATTGTCTCTCCACAGGTCAGTACTGGTCGTCTGCCTGACCCTGACCCTTGTCTCTCCACAGGTCAGTACTGGTCGTCTGCCTGACCCTGACCTTTGTCTCTCCACAGATCAGTACTGGTCGTCTGTCTGACCCTGACCTTTGTCTCTCCACAGGTCAGTACTGGTCGTCTGCCTGACCCTGACCTTTGTCTCTCCACAGGTCAGTACTGGTCGTCTGCCTGACCTTGACCCTAGCTGATGCCTACCGCAGGTACCAGGACCTGATCCCTAACGGCCACAACGTCCCCGAGCCTTGTTCTAGAAACCTCTGGCCGGGGGTGGGTCACAACAACATACAGGGGGGCGGGCAGAGGAACTTGTTCGGACGAGATTTTGAATGTGCTGGGTCAAAGGTCAGTGATGTTGCAGGGGTCAAGGCCAATATTTGAACATTTAAAATTAGATGGGAAAAAAACAGATGTATTTTTTATGCAATATAAACACTTCAACTCTGTACAACAACTGCACACTTTTCAATCATTGGAAAGGCTTTAACCCCTTAATACCTGAATATTTTTCCAAGTGTTTAAAAATACATTTTTATAGCCTCTCTGTATAAATCAAGTTTTTTTCTTTTCCTTCTTTGACGATATATCTTTGACGATATTTTTCAAAAGTGAATTTTACGTGGCAATATATGTCAACGTAGTTTCAAGTAGGGCATACATTTACCATCCTCTGTGTGTAATTAACACAGAACCACAGGCAGTGATAGAATAAATACACCCATACTGTATGGCATGTATGTTAGACGTAAGAGTGATATGTTGCCTTTTCGCGACAGTCGTTGTTGGGGAATTAATTATATTAAACACGGTACTTGTTAATGAGGTTATCATATAAAAAGTGTAAACTCGACAATTAAACAAAACATGTCAAGCTTTTCAGTTGAATCAACTTCCAAGTCTCTTCTCCATGTCTCAGTGTATATAGTAAAAATTGTCGGCATTTCACCGCTAGTTTCTTCTAATTGAAAACGGCTATCAAGTTGAGTCGTCTGCTAACTTAAAGATTAGCCAAAAAGATTAGCCAGTTGTATCGTCTGCTAACTTAAAGATTAGCCAGTTGTATCGTCTGCTAAATTAAAGATTAGCCAGTTGTATCGTCTGCTAACTTAAAGATTAGCTAGTTGTATCGTCTGCTAACTTAAAGATTACCAGTTGTATCGTCGGCTAACTTAAAGATTAGCAGTTGTATCGTCTGCTAACTTAAAGATTAGCCAGTTGTATCGTCTGCTAACTTAAAGATTAGCCAGTTGTATCGTCTGCTAAATTAAAGATTAGCCAGTTGTATCGTCGGCTAACTTAAAGATTAGCAGTTTTATCGTCTGCTAACTTAAAGATTAGCCAGTTGTATCGCCTGCTAACTTAAAAATTAGCCAGTTGTATGCTAACTTAAAGATTACCAGTTGTATCGTCTTCTAACTTAAAGATTACCAGTGATCAGTAGCGTACGCAGGGGGGGAGCAGGGGGAGCGGCCGCTCCCCCTCTGGCCATTTTCAGCAAAGTGGCGCCTTTTTGGAAACTTTTTAAACTCAAAGTTTTAAACAATGATATTTGTTAAAAAAATATTTTTTGGTCGGCACATCTATGTAAATCACAAGATTTCTTTTCATGTAGCAATTAAGCATTATTGTACTAGTCTAGTAGTGTCTACGTTTACAACACGTATTAACAGCTGCATCAGTTTGCCATTCTAAAAATAACCATTACGATGCATTGCAATGTTTAAAAAACCTCTACGGTAGTACCACTTGGCAAGAGGAGTGTTAAGTTTAAGGCAACTGTATAATGTATTTGCTTACAAATAATTGAATTAGAAAAAGTTATACATAAAACTTCACACATAATTACTTTATATATACAGTTTGTATCGTGTGATTAATTTAAAAAAAATTACAATACAGAAACAAATACAACTGATGTGGCACCTCTATTTAAATTTACTTATGAGCAAACTGCGTAGTTGTGGGGAGATTTCGACAAGGTCGATAACGTCATCACGATGAAGTAGTAGTATTATGACAGTTTGGGCGATAGTGATTGCGATTACAAATTATATGAAACAGTTACAACCCCCTCCCCCATGGACCCCTTATACAAAAAATATTGTCATAATACCACTGCTACTTATTTAAATCTATTTCTGTAATATATATTTAATATATTTGTGTAATATATATGTTTGTTTAGAACCGAAATCTAAAAACTAACGCTATGTTCACTCTTGAGTTGGTTATCTCCCCCCCTACACACCTCACCACCACAATTGTATAGAGCGACATTAATGTCACACCTAGGTATACACTGGGTTAAATAATTGACCTAAAGTGAACGAACTGTGGTGAATGAAGTTGAACCCACCCCCCCCCCCCCCAACCCACCCCGAACTGATCTGTTAAGTACATGTAGAAAAACGCGTAATGATGTACCAAAGTACCATGCCGCCAGAAAATAAGCTTTTTAAACGTAAAACTCTGGGAATATTGTTTTTGCAATTACCAGTAAAAGGTGTGTGATCAATACAGAGATTCAACCCATAAGAACACAAAGAAGCAGTAGTTAATTAAAATATATGATCTGAACTAAAACACCGATATTTAGTTAAATGTAGCCTGTTATTCCGAATGTTTTTCTATTATATCGAAAAGCGTGTTTTTATACCAACTCTGATTTTAAAAACTTTCATTATGCTGTTATACTTAAGCATTTATGATGACGATACCTTAAATTCTGATTATAGACAAAAACATGTTGTAAACACGAATAGTGTTAAACAATTTCATTATATTCTAAAGTAATTATTTATTTGTTTTGACATTTATAATTAAATGTGTAGATATATACATATTTATATTAAGAGAGTGATTATTTCCCCTATATCACTTGTCTGAAATAATTTCCCAGGAATTATTATGTAAGAAATTTTTTTTACAAGAAGTACAAAACAGATTGTGTTACGTTCATTATTTTGGTTGTAGTGTATATATATATATATATATATATATATATATATATATATATATATATATATATATATATATATATATATGTTTAGATTGATACAATTTTTGTTTTGTCGGCCTACATTGTTTGTTTTTTCTTATTTCTTCAGAGTGCTACTTTCAATTTATTTTACATCATAGCGAAGCAATGACATACAGCTAGTTATTATATATATATATATATATATATATATATATATATATATATATATATATATAATACACGTATATAGAACGTATAAAAAATTCGGCGCCTTTTTTTTATCTTTTCGCTCCCCTACAACGAAAACCTGGATACGCCTCTGCCAGTGATATCGTCTGCTAACTTAAAGATTAGCCAGTTGTATCGGCTGCTAACTTAAAGATTAGCCAGTTGTATCGTCTGCTAACTCAAAGATTAGCCAGTTGTATCGTCTGCTAACCTAAAGATTAGCCAGTTGTATCGTCTGCTAACTTAAAGATTAGCCAGTTGTCTGCTAACTTAAAGATTACCAGTTGTATCGTCTTCTAACTTAAAGATTACCAGTGATATCGTCTGCTAACTTAAAGATTAGCCAGTTGTATCGGCTGCTGCGCTCCTTGCCTGCTCGTCTGGTTTTTCCTCGTGTACCATATTGTACTCACCAGGGGTCGTGCGTGCACTAATTACCGAGAACGGACTGCTCGAAAGGTCACGAGCATGACTTCCGGTGTCGCCACTTGTTTCGGTATATGAACACTTACACAGCTGGACGGCTAGGGGCTAACTAGGACCGGCACTCGGGTACACGGGTACAGAGGGGGGGGGGGGTAGCACTAGGGGACTCGCGGGGGATGGGGGGGGGGATCGTAGATTTATCTTGATACATTCGATCTAGACTTAATTTTTTTGACGACATGGGTAGAGTTAAGAATATGAGGGGGTGTAGGGGTTCGGTTGGATATTTACCGCCTTTTTTCTGTGATTGAAGATGATGGATATACGTGGAGGAGACGACAGCAGAAGGTAGAAGGTTTATAAAGTGACTGTCATCCATTTGCTTTTAATTAAAGTACAGATTATAGCGAGATTTTAACGAGATTTAGGGGAAAAATTATTCAAAGGTAGGCTATATGTCTATCGTGTATCCTAGAGATAGTCATAGAAATATAGAGTTTCATTGCGGCTTTTTAATTCCACCCTTAGTCCTAATCATGTTGGTCAAATCAATTTTAAAAAAAAAGCGTTGTTGTTTTCTATAAGAATTCAGAGTTTCTTCGGGCATCTCTTCACACACACCCCACCACCACCGCCCTCTCCCCGTCCAGACACCACCAGTGCCCGACCTCCCCAACCGAAAATTAAAGTTCACCTCTAATAAGAAGATATAAGTGAAACAAACCCTGTAAGAATCACATTGAGAAGTTTAAGAAATCAACACGGGTTGAGTTTTATCTAATGGAATAAATCAAACCGAACAAGTTGACTGATTGGGGTGGTTGTTGACCATGGAACAAACCAGAATCACAATCATGTGTCCATTTTAAGCTGTGGGTGTATAGGTACCATTTTTGTCTGTACGTGTCAATGTCTTTTAAAAGTTTCTAAATATTCTCTCTGGACATCTATTCATCAGTGGACGGTGGAACTATGTCGTCAAGACTCGGACAATGACGGGGTGACCAATGGTCAGGAGCTGGGCGACCCAGACTGCAAGTGGACACAGGGGAGCATACCCACACGAATCTTTGCCATTACACATCCAGGTGAGTTACGTCCCTTTATACAGGTCACTATTTTAAAACTTCAAAACAAATCGCTTAGAATTAGAATGTCCACCCAACGCAAGTCTGGGTCAGTAACGTCACATGGGCTGGTCACTAATATGTTACCTCTCATCTCTCCAGGTATACCAGACAGTTGATCACGTGACCACAAATCTCATCACGTGGCTGCAGGTTGAATTGTGTAACAATATAATATTTTTTAAATTAAATCTTGAAACAACTTTTTTGTGTTTGTTGTTATTCTCTGTGTATAACAAAAACTATGATGAAACTACCACAAAACCGAAACTATCGTGAAGCAAAAGCATACGTACATTACTTTATGACAAGAAAAAATCTTGTCTGAATAAAATAATAAAATTTACATCTGTTGTTGTTTGTTTTTTTTTTTGTTGTTTTTTTTTTTTTTTTTTTGTTTTTTTTTCATTACTTTATACAACATTAATACGGTTTTCCTGTTAATTGATAAATGAATTTTTTTTAGGAATATTATTTTGAAGTATATTTGAGTGAAGGTCAGCCGTAAGATTTTTTATATAATATGTCAGCCACTGAAAAAATAGATGACTTTTAATCTTGTCTTAATAAGTATACATCTATGTTTTACATTGCGCTCATTCCTTTAAAAAGAAAAAAAAATATATAAATAAACATACAAAGGGAAGCAACTATGTAAAACAGTTTTTATACATAAAACTGCTGTTGTCTTTCCTGTTTGATATGCCTAATTCAAATTTTTAAGTTTAAATTAAATTAAAATTAGATGTTTTGTATTAAGTATAAATAAACTATTTTAGTGAATTAAAGTACATTTCAGGGGGGAAAAGTCAGACAAAAATTCAAATCAAATCTTAAATGAATCAAACGGATCTAATCTGTACTCAGAATAATAACTCACCGCCCCCTTACAACAACAACAGTTCCCCAACGATTCAGTGGTCAGGAATCTTTGGTTGAGATCTGTTATGGTGGCCTGATACCTTTATGGTACAGTTGCAGGTGACGTCAGCAGATTGGACCCACAGACACGCTCTCAACCCAACTCACACACCTTTTAAAAAGTTCTGAGATGATCTGCACTGAGTCAATTCGGTGTGTAGCGGCGCCCCCAACCAATCACCAGATGTATCGATTACTTACTACCCCAACCAATCACCAGATGTATCGATTACTTACTACCCCAACCAATCACCAGATGTATCGATTACTTACTACCCCAACCAATCACCAGATGTATCGATTACTTTTTGCTTCTGGACCAAGCCCCCTGACAACACGAGAGATCATCACGTAGGCAGCTGGTCGACACAGTGCTGGTTTCAGGCAAACTACACGTGCAGCTTTATTGTTGAGCTAAATGTGAATAAGACGGTCATCACGTGGTTGATCTAAATATAACTTACACCAGATGCAAAGCTAGTTCATGACAACAAAACTATCTTGAACAGACATAAAATCAAACATGATCAGATTAAACAAAATTTCTAACACCATGTTTTCATGGACATCAAAGGTAAGGAGCTCGAGGTGTTATAAAAGCCCCCCCCCCCCTCCCCCAACCCACCGCTATTGAAAAACGACTTAGTTGCATCTCGTTGAGGCAGCATTATGTGTTCATTTATCAACATCGATGCAGCTTTAAAATTCAACTCTACGTCATACTCAAGACCAGCATCCTCTATCAAAAACACCAAACTATCAAAATATTTTTTAACTACATCATACAGGGTGTTTTTGCTGCAAGTTCGACTATGAAGACCGTTGATTGTGTGACGTCATTCTTCTCTAGATTAACTTGTCTGATTTTAAAGTATTTCATAATTTTTGTTTAAATTTGCTTGTATGATCTTAATGTGTGACGTCATTCCTATTTAGATGTGCATGTCTGGTCCCCATTTTATGACGTCATTGTTTCGATTTGCTTATTTTATGTCATGTATGACGTCATTTGTTTTTCTGGTTATTAAAAAAAACTCAGATAAGTGAGAGCAGTCCCAAGACCGGCCTAACTTCAGAAGACGTTTAAATCTATGTTGACCAATGGCGAGATAAATCTTACAAGACTAGATGTTGGAGAACAACCCCCACACCAACATCCCCCCCCCCCCCCCCGACTCATCAGCTGATCAAGAGATGTCAAAGGCAATTAACCTGGACGTTAGATGATATTTCGATTGGCCTTCTTGTCCTGAGGCCCCTCCTAATATCTCCACTTTAATCCAGGCTGTCGTCAAGACACGTCTCACGGCGTCAATTAAGTATCATAAAAAATTTTTTTATACATCTCCTTGACTGGTCGTCAACTCAATCAAACACTGAGCAGTTTGTTGAAGTAGCGAGAGGTTAGGAAATCTTGCAACGTACAGCAAATATGGCTTGGTGTTTAAGGTAAGACATGAATTGATTGTCATATATATATATATATATATATATATATATATATATATATATATATATACATATATATATACACATATATATATATACATATATATATATATATATATACATATATATATATATATATATATATATATATATATATATATATATATATATATATATATATATATATATATACATATATATACACATATATATATGACACATATATATGTATATATATATATATATATATATATATGTATATATATGTATATATTTATATATAAGTATTTACATACATACATTATATACACATATGTATATATATATATATTACTAGCCGTCCCGGCCAGGCCCTGCTCTGGCTTCTGTGAAAAACCTTTCTGTTAAAGACCATTACCTGTGTGTTTAGTAATCATCATAAACCCGGCATTGCCCACCCAAACCACAACCAACCAAAACAACAAAACGCAAACATAACGCTAACACAATTACAAATACAAACGAAAACAAAAACCTAACAACAAACCCAACCACAACCACAAACACCAATACAAACACAAAGAAAAAACAAACAAAAAAGCAAACGAAAACAAAAACCTAACAACAAACCCAACCACAAACACCAATACCAACAAAAAAAACAACGAAAAATCAAACGAAAACAAACCAAATCCAAACGCAAAACCAACCAAAAACACAAATACAAACCCAAACAAAAAAAACACAAACAAAAACGAAAAAAGAAAGAACAAAAACGAACCAAATCAAAACGAAACCACTAACGCAAACCCACCTAAACACAAAGAAAACACTAACGCGAACATAAACGCCCGGGGCGGAATCACCTGTTTTAGCTTAATGAACGACTATAGTACCCCAACTTATTCATAGTCTTTTGCACTCACTTAAACGAACGCGCCTGTTTCAATTTAATGAACAATTTTAATACTCCAAGCTTATCCGTAAAATACCTACAACATTTGCACTTGATCAATCCCCGCTAATTATGTAATTATTTTTTTTTCCCAACACCAAAACAAAGTAATTAAAAAGTAAATTATTTTCCACAAAATGCAATGGTTTTATAAAGGGAAGTAATTTTGTTTTCCTAATTTATCAAAGGGAAGTAAGTGCTATAGGACTAAATAAAGACATAATTAGAATTTTTGTAAAAGATGATATTTTTTTTAAACTTGTGCTTAATGAACATGCCGACAATTATTACTATAATTTGAAAAATGAAAATTATTTCCCAACACTTTCAATAGTAATTTTTTAGCTCATAAATTTAGACAAATACGCACGATAATTTTCTAACACTTAAATTCATCGAAGACCAACGACAAACATATGCATTACATACAGAACTGAGCTTTATATATTAGATATGCATATATATACTTATATATACATATATATACACATAAATATATTTATATATATATATATTTCTGCATATATATACACATACATATATATACCTATATATGTGTATATATGTATGTATATACATATCTATACATATCTATACATATAAATGTATACTAATATATATATATATATATATATATATATATATATATTCATTTATATGCATATTTATGCATATATACTAGCGTGCCGCTTGTATTATCTACTTTCCCTTAAGGCTTTTAATTTCAAGTTGGCAACAGTTACGTGTGTCAGGTAGTTTTGATTTGTTTCTATTGTACCATCCACTGTTTATGTCGTCAAGCAGGGTGGGCAATAGATCTTGCCTCTTCTTAAACTTCCCTTCCCAGAAACTCTACAGCGTATGTTTCTAGTGCTTGTTGCTGCACCCTGCTTCACTTCACACACGGTACTTTGCCGTACCGCGTCTTATCAAGCGATTGGATTGTTTTTACAATTTGTCCTTTATTACATTCCACCCAAAACACTATTCCACCCACCTGAGTATTCTTTCTCCTACTTATTTTCCTGTTTGCTCTCTTACCACATACGAATTACCCCCCCCCCCCAACTCACACAAAATTATTCCTAATTATCTCCCCTGTTCCACCAGAGTTATTGCGGCTGTCTGTCTTCTGCTAGTCGGAGTCCAGTCTATGAGACAGTTCCGGGGTGAAATTCCCAACGGATATATCCTGCGCATCCCTTGCCAAAATGAGACGTGGGAAGGGGTCGGGCACATGAATTTTGGGGGAGGTGGAGAGTTGAATCCCTTTGGTCGGGATTTCTTGGCTGCCGGCAAAAAGGTAAGCTACCATTTAGTGCGGGATTTGTTGTTTGGCTTTGGGCACAAGGTAAGAATAGAACATTAAAAGTTGTCTCACCACATGAGGGATGTGGAGACTTGCTATTTTAGGGTGACATTAAATATTATTTTTAAAGTACTAAGCAGTTTAGATTGACCAATCAAAACAGTCAACGTGTTGTTTATCTAGTGGACCACCAACTAAATGTGCTGTTTTATCTAGTGGACCACCAACTAAATGTGTTGTTTTATCAGTGGACCACCAACTAAATGTGTTGTTTTATCAGTGGACCACCAACTAAATGTGTTGTTTTATTAGTGGACCACCAACTAAATGTGTTGTTTTATCAGTGGACCACCAACTAAATGTGTTGTTTTATCAGTGGACCACCAACTAAATGTGTTGTTTTATCAGTGGACCACCAACTAAATGTGTTGTTTTATCAGTGGACCACCAACTAAATGTGTTGTTTTATCAGTGGACCAGCAACTAAATGTGTTGTTTTATCAGTGGACCACCAATCTGTGTCGACTTGACTCTGATGGGGACGGCTGGACCAATGGTCAAGAGCTGGGTGACCCCAAGTGTCAGTGGAGGGTTGGGAGAAAACTTCCCAAAGCTCGGAGCATCACACACCCAGGTAGAGTGCTCATAGGTTACATGATAGCTTTGACGTGTCATTCATAGACTTACACGAAACAGTTAACACAATGTTTCATTTACAAATGTAAATATTTGGGTAAATATTTTGCTAATTAACCTGACACAGGTATAAATCCAATTAATCTGACAATGTATGCAGGTATAAACCAATTAATCTGACAATGTATGCAGGTATAAACCAATTAATCTGACAATGTATGCAGGTATAAACCAATTAATCTGACAATGTATGCAGGTATAAACCAATTAATCTGACAATGTATGCAGGTATAAACCAATTAATCTGACAATGTATGCAGGTATAAACCAATTAATCTGACAATGTATGCAGGTATAAACCAATTAATCTGACAATGTATGCAGGTATAAACCAATTAATCTGACAATGTATGCAGGTATAAACCAATTAATCTGACAATTTATGCAGGTATAAACCAATTAATCTGACAATTTATGCAGGTATAAACCAATTAACCTGACAATGTATGCAGGTATAAACCAATTAATCTGACAATGTATGCAGGTATAAACCAATTAATCTGACAATGTATGCAGGTATAAACCAATTAATCTGACAATGTATGCAGGTATAAACCAATTAATCTGACAATTTATGCAGGTATAAACCAATTAATCTGAAAATGTATGCAGATATAAACCAATTAATCTGACAATTTATGCAGGTATAAACCAATTAATCTGACAATTTATGCAGGTATAAACAACAAAGACGTCAAGTGTTGAAAGCAGCCAAGACGTCGCTGTGCTTAGCAAGATGGCCGCCCATTCCCAAGACTTAATCCACCATTATAAACTTTTACAACCATTTTGTTTTATTCTTGTTACGTGTCTCCTAAAATGTTTACATGAAATATGGCAAATAAATAAATGAATTATGGGCAAAAAAATAAATCATTTACTCATATCTTTAAAACCATTTTTAAACTCCATTTGGATAAGTCTATTTGTACAATAATGAGGTAAAACCACCGGGATCAAACACATTATTTAGATAAACCAACTCACTTATGTACATTGATATAACATTTAGAATGAAGTATTTTAAGGTTAAATAAAAGTGTTCTACAGTTAGATGAACAAGATGGGTTCTGGGACCTAGATTTCCTGTATATTCAAGATGGGTTCTGGGACCTAGATTTCCTGTATATTCAAGATGGGTTCTGGGACCTAGATTTACTGTATATTGAAGATGGGTTCTGGGACCTAGATTTCCTGTATATTCAAGATGGGTTCTGGGACCTAGATTTCCTGTATATTCGAGATGGGTTCTGGGACCTAGATTTCCTGTATATTCAAGATGGGTTCTGGGACCTAGATTTACTGTGTTCCACATGGGTTCTGGGACCTAGATTTACTGTAAGTTTCTGTAAGGTGCCATGAAGTCATCAAAGGTGTCTGGTCTGCGTATGAGACAGCAGGTTGAACCATCCACCATTATCTCTGCTGGTCTCATCTGAAAGAAACGGCTGACATCAAACACTTGCGTTAATCTGTATCAGGTCTTAAGACATCTTCTGCTTATTAAATATGATTTAAATTGAACTTTGTAATTTGGACTACAAAAGTTTGGACAATAATAGTTTGGAGAACAATATCATTGAGTAGGCAGTTTTTAATCTTGGTACAAACTTTGATTCAGCCAGTCATTTAACCTAACTATGAGTGATAATCTTTTAACTGGGGCCACTCTGTTATTGTTTTTATTTACATGATCAAGTTAAAAATTATAAAATATTCTGTATTTTGGAGGCTGTAACATTAGACCTAGCCATATTTTGTAGTTGGAGGCTGTAACATATAAGACCTACCCGTATGCTGTAGTTGGAGGCTATAACATATAAGACCTACCCGTATGTTGTAGATGGAGGCTGTAACATATAAGACCTACCCATATGTTGTAGTTGGAGGCTGTAACATATAAGACCTACCCATATGTTGTAGTTGGAGCGTGTAACATATAAGACCTACCCGTATGTTGTAGTTGGAGCGTGTAACATATAAGACCTACCCATATGTTGTAGTTGGAGGCTGTTACAGATAAGACCTACCCATATGTTGTAGTTGGAGGCTGTAACATATAAGACCTACCCGTATGTTGTAGTTGGAGGCTGTAACATATAAGACCTACCCGTATGCTGTAGTTGGAGGCTATAACATATAAGACCTACCCATATGTTGTAGTTGGAGGCTATAACATATAAGACCTACCCGTATGTTGTAGTTGGAGGCTGTAACATATAAGACCTACCCGTATGTTGTAGTTGGAGGCTGTAACATATAAGACCTACCTGTATGTTGTAGTTCGAGGCTGTAACATATAAGACCTACCCGTATGTTGTAGTTGGAGGCTGTTACATATAAGACCTACCCGTATGTTGTAGTTGGAGGCTGTAACATATAAGACCTACCCGTATGTTGTAGTTGGAGGCTGTAACATATAAGACCTACACGTATGTTGTAGTTAGAGGCTGTAACATATAAGACCTACCCGTATGTTGTAGTTGGAGGCTGTAACATATAAGACCTACCCGTATGTTGTAGTTGGAGGCTGTAACATATAAGACCTACCCGTATGTTGTAGTTGGAGGCTGTAACATATAAGACCTACCCGTATGTTGTAGTTGGAGGCTGTAACATATAAGACCTACCTGTATGTTGTAGTTCGAGGCTGTAACATATAAGACCTACCCGTATGTTGTAGTTGGAGGCTGTAACATATAAGACCTACCTGTATGTTGTAGTTCGAGGCTGTAACATATAAGACCTACCCGTATGTTGTAGTTGGAGGCTATAACATATAAGACCTACCCGTATGTTGTAGTTGGAGGCTGTAACATATAAGACCTACCCGTATGTTGTAGTTGGAGGCTGTAACATATAAGACCTACCTGTATGTTGTAGTTGGAGGCTGTAACATATAAGACCTACCCGTATGTTGTAGTTGGAGGCTGTAACATATAAGACCTACCCGTATGTTGTAGTTGGAGGCCATACTGTAACAGTAAGCTCCGACATCGTGTACAACAGCTAGCGCACCTGTGGGGTCAGGCAGCAGACGGTCCTGTAGACAGGATAGAAATGTTGGACTGGAATCAAAGAATGTTATGACAATACAGAAATGTTGGACTGGAATCAAAGAATGTTTCGACAATACAGAAATGTTGGACTGGAATCAAAGAATGTTACGACAATACAGATATGTTGGACTGGAATCAAAGAATGTTTAGACAATGTAGAAATGTTGGACTGGAATCAAAGAATGTTTCGACAATACAGAAATGTTGGACTGGAATCAAAGAATGTTTCGACAATACAGAAATGTTGGACTGGAATCAAAGAATGTTTTGACAATACAGATATGTTGGACTGGAATCAGTGTTTCTAAAATATAGAAATATTGGACTGGAATCTTAGAAATGTTTAAATGATAGGAATATTTGACTAGATTTGAAGAATGTTTCTAGAATATAGAAATATTTGGACAAGAATCAAAGAATGGTTATACATTCTTAAGTAATCTTTTAGTTTTTGGGCCATTGGTAAATTGCATATGTTAACCACATACAATTTATATGGATAACATCTGGGTATGGCAACTATACTACAGCTACTTTGGTAAGATATTATCTTAGAGAAATAACTTTTTTATGATACTATCTTAGAGAAATTACTTTGGTAAGATACTATCTTAGAGAAATTACTTAGATAGGATATCTTAGAGCAATTACTTTTGTAAGATACTATCTTAAAGCAATTACTTTGGCAATAAAATCAGAGCTCTCACAAACTGGGCCCACAACATCATAGACAGCCTTGCTGTCAGGCTGCCATCTTGAATATGGGCCCTCTATAATGCTGACATGATGATAAGCACTGTAGAGGCAGGGGCGGATAATTTCAGTCATGGAGGCATCCACAATAGCAAACCTACGGAAGACAAAGTTTTTAGGACACTTTGTTAATGCTAAAATTTTAGAGGTGTAATACTAATGACACTATTTGCACAATTTCTCATTTTAAAAACTATGATCTAGGTATTTTTACTGCTGGTTTTTTTAAGGGAATGCATTGAATGACTTTTAGTGAGTTTTTAATGAGTGACTTTATTTCAGTGTTTTTAATGACTGACTTTATGTGAGTGTTTTGTTTTGAATGAGTGTTTTTCTGTTTAAAATAACTGACTTTTTTGTTGACTGACTTTTTGTGAGTGTTTTGTTTACATCCCAACACGCGGGCCAACACAACACACGAGTTGGCCACAAGTGAACGGCCAGGCTCCAGGATTAGCTTAATCTCCCTCCCAGCAAGCAGGTCACTTATAGACTGGATTAGTTCATCAGGGCTGACATAGTTTGGCTGAAGGAGAAAAAAAAGGTTAAACACTACAAGAATGCCATCACCAGAGGAAAATTTATTGTAAACACTACAAGAATGCCATCACCAGAGGAAAATTTATTGTAAACACTACAAGAATGACATCACCAGAGGAAAATTAGCCACCTCCTGAACAAAGTCAGAAATTATTATGTTAATTTTTAAATTATGGCATACACTTGTGTACTAGTGTGTGTTATTGAATACCATCTTTGAAAGGGTAGCTTAAGAATAGTATATGGTCGTTAACTATCTAATAAAATTGCAAAAAAAATACTTTTTATGTAATTTTTATTCTTGCAAGATTTTTCTCTCTTTAAAATCAGATTGTCTTCCATGTACTATCAGGTTCTCCAGAATATGATCATATTTCCTCACCTTAACCATTAGACCCCCCCCCCTTACACTATCACATCCCTCTAGAGCTTCACTGCAGTTAATCATCACATAACCCTTCCAACACTATTATCTTCCCTACACCATCACATTATCTCCCTTACCTTACATGACAGCAAACAGGGAGCAAACTCTTCAATTTGTTGCTTCAAGTGTGGCTGTTGAGCCAGTACAGTTGTAACAGTGTCTTGCAGGTCACTAAAACTAATTCTTAAAAAAAAAATGTTAAAATAAAGTTGTTACCAGCATGACCTAGTGTCCACTTTATTCTCTCTCTACCTACAAACACTCAGCCCTCACACGTAAACACAAGCTTTTCTCTAGCCCATACCTTTCTTCTATATAATCAGACAATGCTGTTTTCAGAAGGTCCACATTTCCCAGAGTGTCAAACTGACCAGTGGTCAGAGAATCTTTGAGGGCCTTCAGCTCAGCTTGGTTGCTCTGTGTTTCACAGCGCCAGGCCTTGGTCTGGTTCTCCTGAAGAGGGGTGAGACTTTTGTCACAACTAAATCTATTGTTGTGTCAACATCAAGTTTATTTTGTGACCACCAAACCTACTGTTGTGTCACCACCTAACTTAATTTTGACACCACTAAATCTATTTTCTCACCACTAAATCTATTTTCTCACCACTAAATCTATTTTGTATCACATTAAAACTAGTGTTGTGTCAACACTAAAACTATTGCTTTATCACCACTAAGCCTATTGTTGTGTCACCACTGAACTTATTTTTGTCACCACTAAATGTACTGTTGTGTTACCACTAAACATATTGTTGTGTCACCACTTAACACACACTGATATAAAAAAGTGCAGTATCTTACATTGGCTCTGTAGTCTATCCCGAGACCTCCCCCAATATTCACCATCTTGGCATTACTGAAACCTCGTTGGATGAGAGTTGACTGAAACTCTAGCAACTTCTCCAAGCTAGCCCTGGCAACAGACAGGAGAAAACACAGCAGTAAAATCTGGCCAATGTTGGATTGTAAACAAACTGCACAAATAAGACTGTTAATAGTTCATTAGATACATTAGAACTTACAGGTTTTAGCTTAGCCCAGGTGAGATTGTTGTCCCACCTCTAACCTACCTGCACTTACCTGAAGACATCACTCTGGTATATAGTAGAGCCCAGGTGAGAATGGAGTCCCACCTCTAACCTACCTGCACTTACCTGAAGACATCACTCTGGTATATAGTAGAGCCCAGGTGAGAATGGAGCCCCACCTCTAACCTACCTGCACTTACCTGAAGACATCACTCTGGTATATAGTAGAGCCCAGGTGAGAATGCAGTCCCACCTCTAACCTACCTGCACTTACCTGAAGACATCACTCTGGTATATAGTAGAGCCCAGGTGAGAATGCAGTCCCACCTCTAACCTACCTGCACTTACCTGAAGACATCACTCTGGTATATAGTAGAGCCCAGGTGAGAATGGAGTCCCACCTCTAACCTACCTGCACTTACCTGAAGACATCACTCTGGTATATATTAGAGCCCAGGTGAGAATGCAGTCCCACCTCTAACCTACCTGCACTTACCTGAAGACATCACTCTGGTATATAGTAGAGCCCAGGTGAGAATGGAGCCCCACCTCTAACCTACCTGCACTTACCTGAAGACATCACTCTGGTATATAGTAGAGCCCAGGTGAGAATGCAGTCCCACCTCTAACCTACCTGCACTTACCTGAAGACATCACTCTGGTATATAGTAGAGCCCAGGTGAGAATGCAGTCCCACCTCTAACCTACCTGCACTTACCTGAAGACATCACTCTGGTATATAGTAGAGCCCAGGTGAGAATGCAGTCCCACCTCTAACCTACCTGCACTTACCTGAAGACATCACTCTGGTATATAGTAGAGCCCAGGTGAGAATGGAGTCCCACCTCTAACCTACCTGCACTTACCTGAAGACATCACTCTGGTATATAGTAGAGCCCAGGTGAGAATGCAGTCCCACCTCTAACCTACCTGCACTTACCTGAAGACATCACTCTGGTATATAGTAGAGCCCAGGTGAGAATGGAGCCCTACCTCTAACCTACCTGCACTTACCTGAAGACATCACTCTGGTATATAGTAGAGCCCAGGTGAGAATGGAGCCCCACATCTAACCTACCTGCACTTACCTGAAGACATCACTCTGGTATATAGTAGAGCCCAGGTTAGAATGGAGTCCCACCTCTAACCTACCTGCACTTACCTGAAGACATCACTCTGGTATATAGTAGAGCCCAGGTGAGAATGGAGTCCCACCTCTAACCTACCTGCACTTACCTGAAGACATCACTCTGGTATATAGTAGAGCCCAGGTGAGAATGGAGTCCCACCTCTAACCTACCTGCACTTACCTGAAGACATCACTCTGGTATATAGTAGAGCCCAGGTGAGAATGGAGTCCCACCTCTAACCTACCTGCACTTACCTGAAGACATCACTCTGGTATATAGTAGAGCCCAGGTGAGAATGGAGTCCCACCTCTAACCTACCTGCACTTACCTGAAGACATCACTCTGGTATATAGTAGAGCCCAGGTGAGAATGGAGCCCCACCTCTAACCTACCTGCACTTACCTGAAGACATCACTCTGGTATATAGTAGAGCCCAGGTGAGAATGGAGTCCCACCTCTAACCTACCTGCACTTACCTGAAGACATCACTCTGGTATATAGTAGAGCCCAGGTGAGAATGGAGCCCCACCTCTAACCTACCTGCACTTACCTGAAGACATCACTCTGGTATATAGTAGAGCCCAGGTGAGAATGGAGTCCCACCTCTAACCTACCTGCACTTACCTGAAGATATCACTCTGGTATATAGTAGAGCCCAGGTGAGAATGGAGCCCCACCTCTAACCTACCTGCACTTACCTGAAGACATCACTCTGGTATATAGTAGAGCCCAGGTGAGAATGCAGTCCCACCTCTAACCTACCTGCACTTACCTGAAGACATCACTCTGGTATATAGTAGAGCCCAGGTGAGAATGGAGTCCCACCTCTAACCTACCTGCACTTACCTGAAGACATTACTCTGGTATATAGTAGAGCCCAGGTGAGAATGGAGTCCCACCTCTAACCTACCTGCACTTACCTGAAGACATCACTCTGGTATATAGTAGAGCCCAGGTGAGAATGGAGCCCCACCTCTAACCTACCTGCACTTACCTGAAGACATCACTCTGGTATATAGTAGAGCCCAGGTGAGAATGGAGTCCCACCTCTAACCTACCTGCACTTACCTGAAGACATCACTCTGGTATATAGTAGAGCCCAGGTGAGAATGGAGCCCCACCTCTAACCTACCTGCACTTACCTGAAGACATCACTCTGGTATATAGTAGAGCCCAGGTGAGAATGGAGCCCCACCAGTTCAACTGGACACCCAGGTTCTGCCAGGATCTGCAGACATTGGTCAGCTTCCTCCCTGGACAGTCCAAACTTGCTCTCAGCTGTTCCAGTGTTTACAAACTTATGGACAGCCTGATGACAAACTCAAAGCTAAGCTTAGAGTATACAAACTTATGGACAGCTTTGGGTATACAAACTTACTTATAGACAGCTTAGAGTATAAAAACTTATGGACAGCTTAGAGTATACAAACTTATGTACAGCTGTTGACAAACTCACAGGATCAAAAGCTAAGCTTGAAGCCTACCTCTATATGTGACATAAATAAAGACAACATAATGAATATTTAAACTGTATGTTCCACCTCCCACACTCACTGGATCTATATTTAGATTTAATCTCAGCATAACTCTGGCCTGACGTGGTTCCTTGAAATCTTTCTGGCAAATCTCAATCGTCTGCCTTAAGTCCCAAACACTGTCCACATTAATTAGGAGGTTGTGCTGGGAAAGCAAAGAAAATCAAGCCAGAGCATTAATAATATTACATCATCTATATAACTCCTGATTGCAGAAAAAAGATAAGCATTTTTGTTCTAAATGTTTGTAAAATTTTACCTAAGTTCAAGGAAGACAATACAAGTGATGCTTTATTGTGATTGATAATAGAGAGAATGTTATAAATCTATGTAACAAATTATTTGAAGTTGATGTGCTCTTCCTATTTAATTGAGTAACTTTAAACCTTTTTTTCATGTATGAGGTATTATCCAATTCAGGATATCAACTAAAATTGATCCTAGCTACTAACAAGTGTTCCATACCAACAAGGGAAGTAAGTCTAATGTGTCTAATGTTTGTTAACAAACCTCTACAGCCAGCCTTGTTTCCCATGGGTATTTGCCCCCACCATTGTACATCAAAGATGTGGGTTCAAATCCTGCCTCTAGCGCCAACATGATTTCATGGCCACTGATCAGTGTGGCTGACACACCCAGTGACCTCATCTCTTTCAGTAAAGACAGGTTAGGGTTAGCCTGGAAAATAATAGACAGGTTAGGGCTAGCCTGGAAAATAATAGACAGGTTAGGGTTAGCCTGGAAAATAATAGACAGGTTAGGGTTAGCCTGGAAAATAATAGGTTAGGGTTAGCCTGGAAAATAATAGGTTAGGGTTAGCCTGGAAAATAATAGGTTAGGGTTAGCCTGGAAAATAATAGACAGGTTAGGGTTAGCCTGGAAAATAATAGACAGGTTAGGGCTAGCCTGGAAAATAATAGGTTAGGGTTAGCCTGGAAAATAATAGACAGGTTAGGGTTAGCCTGGAAAATAATAGACAGGTTAGGGCTAGCCTGGAAAATAATAGGTTAGGGTTAGCCTGGAAAATAATAGACAGGTTAGGGTTAGCCTGGAAAATAATAGGTTAGGGTTAGCCTGGAAAATAATAGACAGGTTAGGGTTAGCCTGGAAAATAATAGACAGGTTAGGGTTAGCCTGGAAAATAATAGACAGGTTAGGGTTAGCCTGGAAAATAATAGACAGGTTAGGGCTAGCCTGGAAAATAATAGACAGGTTAGCGTTAGCATGAAAAAAAATTTCTGGTTAGTAGAAGGTTTAATAACAGAGATAAATTAACGGGGGAGGTAGGTAAAACAAAATTAGATCAATTTGCCAGCATAGTTCAGCTGATAATCCCAGGTGAGTTGCTTTAGGGCCCACATTAATTCCTGAGATCACAGATTAAAACTTACATGGACTGCACAGTTGAGTTTATAGTCACAGGTGAGTTGCTTTAGGGCCTGCATGTATGCCCTGATAAGCCACAGGTAAAAACTCACCTTGACTGCATAGTTGAGCTGGTAGTCACAGGTGAGTTGCTTTAGGGCCTGCATGTATGCGCTGATGTTGCTGTTGATCTGAGACTTGCTGTAGACAAACACTGGAGTTGGGGGGACTTGAAATTTCTCCTCACACTGGCTTAAAATAGTCTTGACATTTAGCTAGGGAGTAAAAACAAACAAACATAACATTTAGTTTTAGAAAATAAAAGAGGAGAAACATTTTATTTTTGTATGCTGTAAATCTATGCACAAAGTCAAATAAAATTGTGGATATTTTAATATAAACATTTGACAAGATAATTTTTTTATCCTGCACCATCCAAGATACAGCTATGCCATCTAACTGTACCACTAATCAAGAAAAACTAAACCATCTAACTGTAGCCCCAACCATAACAAGCCATAACTGTAACATCCAACTATAACCCTGCTAAAACATAACTGTAACATTTATGATTTAAGTATAACCATAACCCTAATCAAGGTATAGCTTTAACTGCCTTTAACCCTAAACCAACTCACCTGCTCACAGTAGAGCTCCCCATCCTTGAAAGTAAAACAATTTGCCATGATTTCTGTCAACCAATCAGCTCAATCAATACAGGCCTAGATCTAGGTCTACTGCTAATAAAAATACAATCATCAGTCATATCCTTGTAAAACAATTTGCTAAAAATAAGAATTTTAAAGTAGGGACAAGATCAAGATCTTATCTTTGCCAGTTTTTAAGTGCATTTAGTGTTAGTAGGTGTGTAGGCCTGTGTATTGTCACAGTATTGTGTGAATTACTGTGTCAGATAAGTTCGTTGAGGGAGGGGGGAGGGGGAATTTGTAGCCTGTAATAAATTGGACCAGTGTAACACCCGAAACCAACCGAGCACAGTTACGGAAAGTAGGTCACGCTATCACAAAATGAAACTTGAGCTTTTTATTATGGTACATATTATTTTGGTACAATTAGTTTTGTTACATTCAAAGAAAATTTTTAACGCGTAAGCGAGAATGTTGGCATGAATAAATCATTTTAAGTTATTATAATTATACTCAACAATAACTGATTTAAGACAAATGAGAGCGTGGGTTCTAAATGACGTCAGACAAAGTGGGAGGAGTTTGTGAAATATTAGGCATGCAGTTTTTATTTATCTAAATAGCTTTAAAATCAGCGAATAACAATTATTGCAATTTCAATATTAAATAATTGGACTTAAAATGTTTGTTTATTAAATACACCACTGAAATGTTACATATGGTTGAACATCATTTTTAAATAAAATAGAAATTAGGTGGGGAGGGGGGAGTGGTTTTTTTAAAACGATATATAGGGCTTAAGAACGCGCGCTCTCTTGCCTAATGTTTGTAATTTATGGAAGACTCTAAATAAATACCCGTTTAGTGGAATACGTGAGAGTCCTGGTTTCGTGTTAGCATCAGCTTGCGTTACAATAATAAAACTGAGTTAACTGACAGGCGCATACGGCTAGTACCAGTGTTTCTTTCATGCATCTCTCTCTGATCTTCACTCACTGTCACCTAGACTACGTTGACCATTCTCGAATTCGGACTGTCTGCGGCCAAAGGCTATATGTTTTGTATTACATTTAGAATGAATCTCAAAGTAACAATTTATAACTTGTTCTAATCTTCCATAGAGCCACTACAACACATCACTGTGGAGTAAAGAGCCACTACAACACATCACTGTGGAGTATAGAGCCACTACAACTACAACACATCACTGTGGAGTATAGAGCCGCTACAACACATCACTGTGGAGTATAGAGCCACTACAACTACAACACATCACTGTGGAGTATAGAGCCGCTACAACACATCACTGTGGAGTATAGAGCCACTACAACACATCACTGTGGAGTATAGAGCCACTACAACACATCACTGTGGAGTATAGAGCCACTACAACTACAACACATCACTGTGGAGTATAGAGCCACTACAACTACAACACATCACTGTGGAGTATAGAGCCGCTACAACACATCACTGTGGAGTATATAGCCACTACAACACATCACTGTGGAGTATAGAGCCACTACAACTACAACACATCACTGTGGAGTATAGAGCCACTACAACTACAACACATCACTGTGGAGTATAGAGCCACTACAACACATCAATGTGGAGTATAGAGCCACTACAACTACAACACATCACTGTGGAGTATAGAGCCACTACAACATACCAATGTGGAGTATAGAGCCACTACAACACATCAATGTGGAGTATAGAGCCACTACAACTACAACACATCACTGTGGAGTATAGAGCCACTACAACTACAACATACCAATGTGGAGTATAGAGCCACTACAACTACAACACATCACTGTGGAGTATAGAGCCACTACAACACATCACTGTGGAGTATAGAGCCACTACAACTACAACACATCACTGTGGAGTATAGAGCCACTACAACACATCACTGTGGAGTATAGAGCCACTACAACACATCACTGTGGAGTATAGAGCCACTACAACACATCACTGTGGAGTATAGAGCCACTACAACTACAACACATCACTGTGGAGTATAGAGCCACTACAACACATCACTGTGGAGTATAGAGCCACTACAACACATCACTGTGGAGTATAGAGCCACTACAACACATCACTGTGGAGTATAGAGCCACTACAACACATCAATGTGGAGTATAGAGCCACTACAACTACAACACATCACTGTGGAGTATAGAGCCACTACAACATACCAATGTGGAGTATAGAGCCACTACAACACATCAATGTGGAGTATAGAGCCACTACAACTACAACACATCACTGTGGAGTATAGAGCCACTACAACTACAACACATCACTGTGGAGTATAGAGGCACTACAGCACATCACTGTGGAGTATAGAGCCACTACAACACATCACTGTGGAGTATAGAGCCACTACAACTACAACACATCACTGTGGAGTATAGAGCCACTACAACTACAACACATCACTGTGGAGTATAGAGCCACTACAACTACAACACATCACTGTGGAGTATAGAGGCACTACAGCACATCACTGTGGAGTATAGAGCCACTACAACACATCACTGTGGAGTATAGAGCCACTACAACTACAACACATCACTGTGGAGTATAGAAGTGTCACAAACTGTAATAGATATTTTCTTTATTCACTCCCGTGTCAATCTAGCCTCACCCATCTCTCAACAGGACGTTTTTATTTACCTTATTATGCCGTAGATTCTATTGTTTGTTTGTTGTTGTTGTTTGTTGTTTTTATGAGGAGATGGATGTATATGTGTTGCCTAGATACCCCACCTCCTTTTCCGACATTTTCTGATAAATAGATAGATGTTTCTCCCGTGTTTAAGATTTTTAAATTGTTGGCTTCTTTGTTCTCCAATAGAAGAAGTTCAGCTAAGGAGAAGTTAAGCTTGTCGCCATCGTAACCTATTTAATTTTAGAGTTATTTACCTTAGACCTATTTTTTAAAATCACAGCCAATGATGGACGTAATGAAGTTGTGCTCTACAAATTCCGATGTAATGAGAACTAATTATGGGTCATATATAATTATATATCGTATGTAGGCTAAAATAATTATTTACCGGTGATTAATTAAACAAACAAGACAAACATTAGTTAAATGCACTCATCAATGTATAATTTATTTGTTGCTATTTTCATGCAGGGATTCTACGATACAGCGCTACTTGAGTAGGAAAACACCAAAACCAGTTACAAGAAAATATGCGCTGAATTTGTCTTGTGAAGTTTAGAGTCAACTGTACCAAGACACATGTGTCATTGTGTGTAGTTAGGTACAAAAACGTGTCATTTCTACAAAAACATGTGTCATTTCTGTGTTGTAGCTACACAATAAACATGTGTCATTTCTATGCATTAGGCACAAAAATGTGTCATTTCTAGAAAAACATGTGTCATTTCCTTGTAGTTAGGTACAAGAGCGTGTCATTTCTACAAAAACATGTGTCATTTCCCTGTAGTTAGGTACAAGAACGTTTTATTTCTACAAAAAACCTGTGTCATTTCTGTGTTGTAGCTACAGAATCACCACCAGAAGTTGTACATAACAGCTAGCTAAGAAAATTATTTTTTAAAAAACCACAAAACATTTTAAAATTAGATAAATTATTTAAATTCTTGATCTTGTTCATCAATAATATATTTAACGTATCAATAAGACAACTACTGAACATATCAATACCATAATTGATAAACCTACAAAAGGATAGTCGCGATACCTATCGGTAATTTGAACAAAGTGCGCCAAAAAATTTGTTACTCTACGCCTGGCAGTAAAGTTTATAATTGCAAATATTTACATCGTTAAATGAAGATTTTTGTAGCATTTGTTGCTGTTCTCAGTAACAATTAATACAACGATGCGTTTGTTACGCTCAGTTACACAAAGCTTGCTACACTATTTGACAAATATAATTACTCAGTTACATAAAAGATTGTTATTAAATTAACGTATTCAGTACCCGTAGTGCGACTAAGTCTAAAACGTGTTTCAAACCTGATATAACAGGACATTTACATGACATTAAACAACAGGACAAAAGGTGTCTTCAGGAATTCATAAAACTAGAATACCCAACTACCCATAGATGTTGGCCTAAATAAAGTGGACAACATCCAGGCTTATGTACAAAAACAACTACATACAGACTAGCCAAGACTGGCCTTTACATACAGACTAGCCTAGACTGGCCTTTACATACAGACTAGCCTAGACTGGCCTTTACATACAGACTAGCCTAGACTGGCCTTTACATACAGACTAGCCTAGACTGGCCTTTACATACAGACTAGCCTAGACTGGTCTAAAAATGCAAGAGCCTAGACTGGCCTTTACATACAGACTAGCCTGAGTATCTTCTGTCATACCCTATTGGGCATCAACATTTATCTTTCTAATTTGTAAAGACGTCTTGAGTCACTAAGATTTACGCTGCTCGGTGGAGATATTTAAACAATGTCTTTCCGAGACTGAAGACATTGCAATGATTACATTTCTGTTTGGATTTTAATGGTTGAAAATAACATTTAAACGGTTGAAAAAATTTGTGACAAACAAAACACCGACTTTTTTATAATTTACAAACACCTTTATACACATAGATAATAAAAAAATTATATTGTACATAATTTTTGTCTAGCTAGATAGAAAATGGTTGTATTATAACAAAGACATCCTATTTAAGTTATACTGTCTTTTTAACTAGTGCCAATGACAGTACCTTCGTAGGCATTATCAAGTGGGACATAATCAACTAGGACATTATCAAGAAGAACATCTTCAAGTAGTAGTGCTTCAGACCCTACACTTTTGACATCCAAAATCCGAAGCCTTTTCTCTATTGAGGCAGAGTGGTCAGAGAAATGGTCAGTTTTCTGACCATCACAACGTACAGCCTGAGTGGTTGATGTCCAGCATCAGTAGGTCAACGTGAGCTCGTATTTCTGGTGCCTCGAGGTCACGTGGTCAGTCCTCATCGCTGTTGTAGCTAGACCGTGGGGTGGGAGGTGTTAGAGAGGGGGACGGGGCAGCAGGGCGAGCGGGAGGGTCGCCACGCATGATTGGAGGTAGCTGCGGCAAGGGTCTAGGGCGCAGAAGCTGCGCGCCCCTAGAGGTGCCGTTGTTGAACCGTGGGGTGGGAGCGACTGACGCCGTCTGTTCGGGGAGATCCCGAGAGCTCAAGTTTGTCGTCTGATCGTCTGCTGACGTCGACTTCCGGTTTGTAAATACGGCCTCAGCCAAATCTGCTTCGTGTCGTTTGGGCCCCGTGAAGGAGTTATCGAATCTTTGTACTGAAGGGAGCTCACCCTCCGCACATTGCTGGTGATCTACGCCGCCATCTTCGTCGTCAGTTGACGACAGCCCGACAGGATTCGTCAGGAATCTAGACGTCATCATGTCATGTGACATATCTGATGAATTTCCCGTGACGTCAAATGACATGTCATTGCTATTCACCCCTCCGATGGCCGGCAAAACGGACTTCCTCTGTAGCCCGTGCGGACCGTGAATGTCCGGCCGCTGAAACTCCCGGACAAAGCGAATGATCTCATCCGTGCTGGGGTCGTACCGTCTCTGTCTGGGCCCAGACCTAAAGGCAGGGGAGATAGCTCTGGCTGGCCTCATGTTGTCCGTGTATCGTTCATCCTTGGTTGTCGTTCTTTCATGGCGCGGCGATGTGGACGCAGGAGTTTGGCTGTTTTTCAACTTCATCCCCGACTGGCTAAATCATCCTCCAACTTACTCGGTAGCTTTTTCTACGTTTTTTAATCCTGCGTTATACACGGCTAAGTTGATTTAATTGTAGAACTATTTTAGAAATATAAGTAATCAAGTGAAGCTTCAATAAACGTCCACAGCGATTCATTAGAAAACTTCGCACGGAGTCAAGCGTTGTTTACATCTTTGTGCACCACCTGCAAAACATAAAAACGTCAACTATTAAAGCCTTACAGTAAATTCTTTCTTGCTAAATTATATACTAAAGTATTACGGTAAAATGACTTTAATCAGCAGTATAACACACATTTATTTTCGATTTGAGAGATGATTTACTGTACTATACCAACATCATGCGACATTATGTACAGATGATGTGCTGTACTATACCAACATCTTGCGACATCATGTACAGATGATGTGCTGTACTATTTCAACATCATGTACAAATGATGTGCTGTACTATAATAACATCATGCGACATCATGTACAGATGATGTGCTGTACTATACCAACATCATACGACATCATGTACAGATGATTTGCTGTACTATACCAACATCATGTACAAATGATGTGCTGTACTATACCAACATCATACGACATCATGTACAGATGATTTGCTGTACTATACCAACATCATGTACAGATGATGTGCTGTACTATACCAACATCATGTACAGATGGTGTGCTGTACTATACCAACATCATGTACAGATGATGTGCTGTACTATACCAACATCATGTACAAATGATGTGCTGTACTATAATAACATCATGCGACATCATGTACAGATGATGTGCTGTACTATACCAACATCATATACAGATGATGTGCTGTACTATATCAACATCATGTACAGATGATGTGCTGTACTATACCAACATCATGTACAGATGATGTGCTGTACTATACCAACATCATGTACAGATGATGTGCTGTACTATACCAACATCATGCGACATCATGAAGCCAACAGAACAATGACCGTAACGAATACAGTAAACACGCTAGCAAGTACCGAGGGAATCAAACAGTCACAACTTGCTATACAACACGCGCTGTTAATTAAGGGCTTGCTAATTAGTAAAGCTATCAACTCGTAGTTTTCTTATAGCAAATCCACATTGTCAATATATCTAATTAGGTAAGTAATTTTCTTGTATTTTCATATCATAAGCCTGCACTCCAGTTTTAGTTGCTCGGCCTGTGTATTGTTCAGTAAGAATAACTTTCACATATCTTCTGTGCTAGTTCACTCATACATGGGATAAACAAAACCGTTGTGTTCAATCATTAGAGAACATCGAATAAGCAGAATCTCCATTTGGGAACTTATGACTTAATCATTGTTTAACACTCAAATCAGCCTGTGTTTATGTATCCCTCCTCTCGCGTGTTTATGTTTGTATCACATCTTAAAGCCAACTTAATGTTGACAGCATACAAAAAATACAGTCCATTCCCTCCTCTCGCGTGTTTATGTTTGTATCACATCTTAAAGCCAACTTAATGTTGACAGCATACAAAAAATACAGTCCATTCCCTCCTCTCGCGTGTTTATGTTTGTACCACATCTTAAAGCCAACTTAATGTTGACAGCATACAAAAAATACAGTCCATTCCCTCCTCTCGCGTGTTTATGTTTGTACCACATCTTAAAGCCAACTTAATGTTGACAGCATACAAAAAATACAGTCCATTCCCTCCTCTCGCGTGTTTATGTTTGTACCACATCTTAAAGCCAACTTAATGTTGACATCATACAAAAAATACAGTCCATTCCCTCCTCTCGCGTGTTTATGTTTGTACCACATCTTAAAGCCAACTTAATGTTGACAGCATACAAAAAATACAGTCCATTCCCTCCTCTCGCGTGTTTATGTTTGTACCACATCTTAAAGCCAACTTAATGTTGACATCATACAAAAAATACAGTCCATTCCCTCCTCTCGCGTGTTTATATTTGTACCACATCTTAAAGCCAACTTAATGTTGACAGCATACAAAAAATACAGTCCATTCCCTCCTCTCGCGTGTTTATGTTTGTACCACATCTTAAAGCCAACTTAATGTTGACATCATACAAAAAATACAGTCCATTCCCTCCTCTCGCGTGTTTATATTTGTACCACATCTTAAAGCCAACTTAATGTTGACAGCATACAAAAAATACAGTCCATTCCCTCCTCTCGCGTGTTTATGTTTGTACCACATCTTAAAGCCAACTTAATGTTGACATCATACAAAAAATACAGTCCATTCCCTCCTCTCGCGTGTTTATATTTGTACCACATCTTAAAGCCAACTTAATGTTGACAGCATACAAAAAATACAGTCCATTCCCTCCTCTCGCGTGTTTATGTTTGTACCACATCTTAAAGCCAACTTAATGTTGACATCATACAAAAAATACAGTCCATTCCCTCCTCTCGCGTGTTTATATTTGTACCACATCTTAAAGCCAACTTAATGTTGACAGCATACAAAAAATACAGTCCATTCCCTCCTCTCGCGTGTTTATGTTTGTACCACATCTTAAAGCCAACTTAATGTTGACAGCATACAAAAAATACAGTCCATTCCCTCCTCTGGTCATATTAATTTATTATCACGAGAATGTTCATGGGCATCAGGGAGATATTGTGTCACATTATATTGTCCAGATGTACGGAAAATATTGTGTCACATTATATTGTCCAGATGTACGGAAAATATTGTGTCACATTATGTTGTCTAGGTGTACGGAAAATATTGTGTCACATTATATTGTCCAGATGTACGGAAAATATTGTGTCACATTATATTGTCCAGATGTACGGAAAATATTGTGTCACATTATATTGTCCAGATGTACGGAAAATATTGTGTCACATTATATTGTCCAGATGTACGGAAAATATTGTGTCACATTATATTGTCCAGATGTACGGAAAATATTGTGTCACATTATATTGTCCAGATGTACGGAAAATATTGTGTCACATTATGTTGTCCAGATGTACGGAAAATATTGTGTCACATTATATTGTCCAGATGTACGGAAAATATTGTGTCACATTATATTGTCCATATGTACTATTGCAATTTACAGATTTACTTCACTGTACGAACAATATTAAGTAGGAATGATTGTGTCTAAAACATTATCAAACTGTTTTTTTTTTATTCTATACTTACGGTTTGTATCTGTCAGTGGCTATTAGGCGCATTAAATCATGCTGGTAAATTAAACTAATTAACAAACGTAATTAAACGATTGCTTTGCTTTATATAAATAAATGTGTTGTATATATACAACCACAACACACCCAACACTGACACTGCTAATGTGCACTAAACACAAGCCCGTGTCACCAGAACACAACCCTTTGAACACACTGCCATTCAGGAGCAGATAACCAATGCCATCAGGTTCGATAACTCTCCTGAACAAGACAGACAAAAGTTGGTGACTCGCTACTTATCGTGGCACAAGCTCTCCAATGTTCGGCGATTGCCGAGTTCTTGTGACACTCGTCTGTCGCTGGTGCCATCACGTGACACGGGCTGACTGTGGCAGCAATCAATCAATAAGTTGAACAGCCAAACAAACATTGTCTGACTTGATTGGATTGTATCAGACGGTTATTCAGACCGCCTGATGTTCTGTTTGAATTGTTTTTACATGCTAGTTTCACGACGTGATGTTTGAATTGTTCTGTCACGCTAGTTTGAATTGTTCTGTCACGCTAGTTTCAATTGTTCTGTCACGCTTGTTTGAATAGTCCTGTCACGCTAGTTTGAATTGTTCTGTCACGCTAGTTTGAATTGTTCTGTCACGCTAGTTTGAATTGTTCTGTCACGCTAGTTTGAATTGTTCTGCCACGCTAGTTTGAATTGTTCTGTCACGCTAGTTTCACCACGTGATGTTTGAATTGTTCTGTCACGCTAGTTTCAATTGTTCTGTCACGTTAGTTTGATCACGTGATGTTTGAATAGCTCTGTCACGTTAGTTTCAATTGGTCTGTCACGTTAGTTCACCACGTGACCTGTTATGTCACGATTTAATCACTCGGGAAAGTTCGAGAATTTTGGCAAGACGCTAAGGGGACATGACTGTCACCAAGACAAACTGAATAAGTGTCACTGCCTAAATATTCAAGTTAGATGTTTCAGCGATCAAAGTACAGTAACGCAGATAACTCAGTAATGATAGGCTCACTGGACGCTGTAAAAACATAGACCATTTAAAATATTTTTTAATGTATTGTTTTGAGAAGCACTGTAAAATTTATTGTCTATTTTACCTACATTTATGTATTTCCAAAACAAGTGTCATCTTTGGTAGGGAATTTGTTTCATAATAGTGTTTATTATAAAAGTAAATTAGTAGATCTGCGAATTTTCCTGATATAAGCATTGGTAATATTTACAGCAAGATCACATAAATTATTTTTAGAAACTGTTTTTATTGAAACTCTAGACCTAGTTGGACAAACCGTATCAGCACCGTATCAAATGGTATAGTTAGTAATGCACATATCGCTGTTTGGGTGAGGGTTACGTTAGGATTAGGGTATTAAGCACAAGTACAATTTTAACATAATGTTCAAAGATTTCTAGATCTACAATTGGTAATTTCTAAAATCGAGTATGGAAAACTTCTCGTTAGTGTTTCGTGTTTTATCTTACCTAGATCTAGATCTCCACAGCGAAACTCGAGTAATAAATTGTATTGGCATTAAATATGAGAATGTGTATGAAATGCTAGGTCTAGTGCTAAAAACACACAGTAAGTATTTCCTAAGGAACTAATTGTGCAAACATAATACTTAATTTTACCTGTAAAAATGAACGCTCTTTCATTGCCCCGTCGAATTCATTTAGTGAAGCGATTGATTTTTGTCTAGTTCTGCTAGGCCGAGTGCTACCTTCGTCAGCAGAGTGGAGAAGATAAGGGGCGCAACTCGTGCTAGCTTACGGCGCCGCGGACAAAGGGGAGACTATCAATAGGTTTCTTGTTATGAATAGGGCACAGATATTGGAAAGTTGTCGTGTATCAAATAACACGGTGGGAGAGGGGGAATGGGTGGTATGAGAATGTATATAGACGACTAGTTATAGAGCTTTTAAAAAAAAAACACTGGAAAGCTTAAACAACATGCAAATCGTAGTTTCTAACCTTAGCCAATTAAGCAGAAACAGAAAATTAAAAGTTAGGATGTTTTTATATAACTTCGACCTGAGTGGGAGTTTTCAACCGTTTACATTTACGAATGAGTTGTGTGTAAAGAACTGTTGTGATACTTTTCTTTTTAATATCGTGGTTATATTTAGAACAGTCAGTTAGCTGGGTAAAGTCATGTAGATTTACAACAGTTCGTTGGCTAAAGTCATATAGATAGACAACCGATATTGTATGCAGGGCAGGGACAATAAGACAAAATAACCTTCCCAACCATCCGTGATATTTACCAATGGTTCTATCCTCGACTAGATGCTAACCCGAAAGTCTCGGGTTCGGATCTTTGGCTCAAGGCCAAGGGACATACGTGAATTTACAGAGCTCTAATGGGGATCTGAGTTTACTAATTACTTTAATTAGCAATGTCAAGCTAGATTAAATGGATGCTTTAGAGAGGTCAGCTACACAGAAATTAAAACGAGGCTTGTCACAAGTTTGAACATTTTCAACTTACATTTCAGTCAGTAACTATTCTACTTGTGGACATACGTAATTCTACTTGCTACTTGCAGACAGTGATAGCATCACAAAAGTTAGAATCCCTCTCACAATATCCATGACATCGCCAAAGTTAGAATCCCACTCACCTAACTCCATGACATCACCAACCATGACATCACCAAAGCTAGAATCCCACTCACCTACCTCCGTGACATCACCAAAGTTAGAATCCCACTCACAATATCCGTGACATCACCAAAGTTAGAATCCCACTCACCTACCTGTGTGACATGGCCAAAGTTAGAATCCCACTCACCTACCTGTGTAACATCACCAAAGTTAGAATCCCACTCACCTACCTGTGTAACATCACCAAAGTTAGAATTCCACTCACCTACCTGTGTAACATCACCAAAGTTAGAATTCCACTCACCTACCTGTGTAACATCACCAAAGTTAGAATTCCACTCACCTACCTCCGTGACATCACCAAAGTTAGAATCCCACTCACCTACCTGTGTGACATCACCAAAGTTAGAATCCCACTCACCTACCTGTGTGACATCACCAAAGTTAGAATCCCACTCACCTACCTCCGTGACATCACCAAAGTTAGAATCCCACTCACAATATCCGTGACATCACCAAAGTTAGAATCCCACTCACCTACCTGTGTGACATGGCCAAAGTTAGAATCCCACTCACCTACCTGTGTAACATCACCAAAGTTAGAATCCCACTCACCTACCTGTGTAACATCACCAAAGTTAGAATTCCACTCACCTACCTGTGTAACATCACCAAAGTTAGAATTCCACTCACCTACCTGTGTAACATCACCAAAGTTAGAATTCCACTCACCTACCTCCGTGACATCACCAAAGTTAGAATCCCACTCACCTACCTGTGTGACATCACCAAAGTTAGAATCCCACTCACCTACCTGTGTGACATCACCAAAGTTAGAATCCCACTCACCTACCTCCGTGACATCACCAAAGTTAGAATCCCACTCACCTACCTGTGTGACATCACCAAAGTTAGAATCCCACTCACCTACCTCCGTGACATCACCAAAGTTAGAATCCCACTCACCTACCTCCGTGACGTCACCAAAGTTAGAATCCCACTCGCCTACCCGTGTGACATCACCAAAGTTAGAATCCCACTAACCTACCTCCGTGACATCACCAAAGTTAGAATCCCACTCACCTACCTATGTGACATCACCAAAGTTAGAATCCCACTCACCTACCTGTGTGACATCACCAAAGTTAGAATTCCACTCACCTACCTGTGTGACGTCACCAAAGTTAGAATCCAACTCACAACCTCCATGACATCACAAAAGTTAGAATCCCACTCACCTACCTCCGTGACGTCACCAAAGTTAGAATCCCACTCACAACCTCCATGACATCACAAAAGTTAGAATCCCACTCACAACCTCCATGACATCACCGAAGTTAGAATCCCACTCACCTACCTCCGTGACGTCACCAAAGTTAGAATCCCACTCACAACCTCCATGACATCACAAAAGTTAGAATCCCACTCACAACCTCCATGACATCACAAAAGTTAGAATCCCACTCACAACCTCCATGACATCACAAAAGTTAGAATCCCACTCACAATCTCCGTGACATCACCAAAGTTAAAATCCCACTCACCTACCTACGTGTGGTAACAATGTGGTCGGGCGAGCGACGACCGGAATGTTCGAGCCAAAGAAACCGTCAAACCTCCCCGGCCTTAGCGCGTCAACTTCTGACAGATATTCTCTCTGCTGGGTAATCGATTACTTCCGATCCTTGAGACACGACGGCACACTGTTGAAAGTTCCACTTGACAAAGTACAGTCAGGTTAAACTGTCTAAAATGGAAAGACATTCAAACATTCAGAAAAGTGTTTCTTTTAACTGATCATGATGGATATTTTTAGAATCCGCGTTTTCGTTCATATTCAGTTGATAGTTCGTTGAAAGCTAGTTCATAAAAAGATTATAAAGAGAGTTTAAAACAATAGGGCCTACATTAGTTTAGATAATCAAAGAAAAAAAAACGTATGTATTTAGTGCATTGTTTACATTAACTTGTTTGAAAAATAGAATATGGAATAGCAAACTAATAAGATAATCGAATACATTTAGAAACCGTAATCGTAATCTAATAAGGTTTGTCGAATCGGTTTAAAATAAGGAATCGCAAACTGATAAGATAGTCGAATCTGTCCAGAGCAGGGTATCGCAGTGCCACCTTTAAGGCGAGCTTGACCTGGAATCACTGGAGATCGATCGCGATTTCTCCTGTCGTCAATCACAGCTGTGACAGTCAGGGACTGAACAAACAAACCTTGTGTGACATCCAAGGACTGAACAAATAAACCTTGTGTGACAGCCAGGGACTGAACAAACAAACCTTGTGTGACATCCAAGGACTGAACAAATAAACCTTGTGTGACAGCCAGGGATTGAACAAATAAACCTTGTGTGACAGCCAGGGACTGAACAAATAAACCTTGTGTGACAGCCAGGGACTGAACAAATAAACCTTGTGTGACAGCCAGGGATTGAATAAATAAACCTTGTGTGACAGTCAGGGACTGAACAAATAAACCTTGTGTGACAGCCAGGGACTGAACAAATAAACCTTGTGTGACAGCCAGAGATTGAATACATAAACCTTGTGTGACAGTCAGGGACTGAACAAATAAACCTTGTGTGACAGTCAGGGACTGAACAAATAAACCTTGTGTGACAGCCAGGGACTGAACAAATAAACCTTGTGTGACAGTCAGGGACTGAACAAATAAACCTTGTGTGACAGTCAGGGACTGAACAAATAAACCTTGTGTGACAGTCAGGGACTGAACAAATAAACCTTGTGTGACAGCCAGGGACTGAACAAATAAACCTTGTGTGACAGCCAGGGACTGAACAAATAAACCTTGTCGTTCAGAATATACAGCCACTATGTTCTGTTGAACAATTGATCTATGGAACAATAAATCTAAAGAACAAATAAACCTTGTGTGACAGCCAGGGACTGAACAAACCTTGTGTGACAGCCAGGGACTGAACAAATAAACCTTGTGTGACAGTCAGGGACTGAACAAATAAACCTTGTGTGACAGCCAGGGACTGAACAAACCTTGTGTGACAGCCACACTGAACAAATAAACCTATTGTGACAGCCAGGGACTGAACAAATAAACCTTGTGTGACAGTCAGGGACTGAACAAATAAACCTTGTGTAACAGCCAGGGACTGAACAAATAAACCTTGTCGTTCAGAATATACAGCCACTATGTTCTGTTGAACAATTGATCTATGGAACAATAAATCTATATATCTAGGATACAATATATATATTTCATTTCAGGGTTTTTCAAGGGTCAGATAACAAGCTCATATGTATTCTAAAGACCCTCCATTCAGATTTGCATCCCCCCTCAATAATCTTTTAGTACGGCACTTTCTTTTCTCGGTAATCTATTTGTGTTCTCCCTAGGAGAGACCTGAAGACTGTGGCATGGGCCGCCACAGATCATGGGCCGTCATCGGTGGCTCTCAGTCTTTATGAGCCGTCATAGATGGCTCTCAATCTTCATGGGCCATCATAGATGGCTCTCAATCTTCATGGGGCGTCATGGGTGGCTCTCAGAATTCATGGGCCGTCATAATTGGCTCTCAGTCTTCATAGGCCTTCATAGATTGTTCTCAATTCTCATGGGCCGTCATGGGTGGCTCTCAATCTTCATGGGCTCTCAATATTCATGGGCCGTCATAGATGGCTCTCAATCTTCTTAGGTCGTCATAGATGGCTCTCAATCTTTATGGGCCCTGGGGTGGCTTTCAATATTTATTAGCCCTGAGATTGCTTACATAAACTATAAAGCCACCAATCACCACTTGGCGACACTGTAAGCCCCTTGTCATGCTGATTTCGTTTGATTTATGTCGTGTCGTTAGCGAGTGTGCTCTCAAGTTATGTCACCTGATCTACATACACTGAGGTCAAACGACAGAGGTCACTGCTTGGTCGACCTCGGTCACTGGACTGTCCACTCTGTTTCAGTTGGCTGTGTTGGCACATCTCTGTTAGAGCCGTTATAATATCAGGACAACCCCAGGGGTACGTGACAACCACACGGCCACATGACTATAACAGGATCATATGACAACCACACGGCCACATGACTATAACAGGATCATATGACAACCACACGGCCACATGACTATAACAGGATCATATGACAACCACACGGCCACATGACAACCACACGACCAAATGACAACCACACGGCCACATGACAACCACACGGCCACATGACAACCACACGGCCACATGACAACCACAGGACCACATGACAACCACACTACCACATGACAACAACACGGCCACATGACAACCACACGGCCACATGACAACCACACGGCCACATGACAACAACACGGCCACATGACAATAAAATAGGGCCACATGACAATAAAATAGGGCCACATGACAACCACACGGCCACATGACAACCACGCTACCACATGCCTAGATCAGGACCACAAGTGACATCCACACCACAGAACCACATGACATTAAAACCAGCTACAGGACCATACGTCAGTGACCACCATACAATAACCACCTTTTAAAGAACACTTTCATAGACCAAATTTCAAAAACCACTTTATAAAGACCACCTTATAAAACTCATCTTATTTTTTTAAAAAAAAACATTTTACAAATCCGCATCTTACCAAAAAAAAAAACACTTTACAAAGGCCTCCTTTAAAAAAACCACCTTTAAAAACACCTTTCAAAGACTAACTTTCAAAAACCACCTTTTAAATCCCACCTAACATCCACCACACAATCTACGAGAACAACACCCTGACTGTCCCCTAACCAACACCAACGTGATGACGTCAATATCGTGACCTAGTTACACTTGTTTACTTGTTTACCTGACGTTGTCACAGTGTATGTTAAAACAACTTGGCTTTTGTTGTCCCCTGAAGTAAACATTGAGTTGACATTGTGTCCACGTTTTGATATATGGACTATTAGTTTTCGCGGACACAAAACAAGACAGATATTCAAAAGTAAGCCTTCAAATATATACATGTATAAATGTCTTAGTTATTTCACTTCACAACTTCTCGTATTTAGATCAGAGTTTCTTCCAGGCATCTCTTCGGGGGGCTAAGAGCCTAAGACCCCCCCCCCCCGGAGAAAGACTACCGTCCCCCATCCCCCACGAAATGGAATTTATATATATATATTTATATATTTTAGTCCGCACCCCCCCCCGATGATTTCAAGTGCTCCCCCCCCCCCCCCCCCCGGAGAAAAAAGTCTGGAAGAAACACTGATTTAGATCATTTTGGAATGGAATTACCAATCATCCTTCGTGTGTTTTTTTTAACTTTCTCGTATATACGAAGTATAGAGAAAGTATTGTAATCGTGCACAAACATAACTTGAAATTTTAACAATTTTCACCGTTTTACTCCTCAGTCCTTCATCACATCCGGAGTATAGAGGACTTATTTTAATCAGGCAAAAATTATAAATACAAATATATAAACGTCTTGGCGTTTTATGCGTTATCGAGTCGTAAAAACTGGACTTTGCAATTCTGTCCGTATGTCTGTGTGTCTGTGTGTCTGTCTGTGTGTAAACACGATAACTTGAGTACCGTTACAGCTAGGTTGATGTAATTTCATATATAAGTATTTTATCAAAATCGTAGATCCTGATCAACTTTTGAGCGATTTCCGATAACCGGAAGTGGTACTTTTTCTACTTTGAATTTTTCAAAAGCATATAAATTGCGTACTATTTTAGATAGATGCATGAAATTTCACACGTAAGTAAAAGATCTAATTATCTACCTTCTGTCAAACTTTGAGTAATTTCCGTTGACCGGAAGTACTAATTTACGCTATTTCCGATTTCTCAAAAAATGCATGTAAATTTATAAAGTACTAATAATATCCCACACTTTTATACACATTTTATTAGGCGTTCACTTGGTGTGGGACGGAGTGGTGTAGCTGTAGAGAGCTGGACTGCTAACCCGTTAGTTTCGAGTTCGAATCCGAGTTCAAGTCAGTAGACCGTCCCTGAGTCCACCCAACTCTGATGGGTACCTAACTCCTGTTAGGGAAAGTAAAGGCGGCTGGGTATAGTGCTGACCACACTATCTCTTCATATGCCGAGGTCACAGAAACAAGTGAACTCTACTTCACTTGCCCCATAGACCGTCAGGTTTGAAAGGGAAACTTTTCACTTTTTTTCCCAACATGATTCTATTCTATTATAAAAAGTTTAAGTAATTAAAAATGGATAACAAATATTGTCTATGTCCTGAGTTGCCATCCCTCGTAATTTTATATTAGAATATTCGAGAAAGTTTAGGGGAGATCACTCCCGGTTTATTTATTTTTTGTAATTGGGTGTTACTGTAGGGCAGCAGCCTAGAAGCTCCAGTTTTGTAGACGATATTTTGTCATTTGACCAGCTTGTAATGTGTTTTGTAGACGATATTTTGTCATTTGACCAGCTTGTAATGTGTTTTGTAGACGATATTTTGTCATTTGACCAGCGTGTAATGTGTTTTGTAGACGATATTTTGTCATTTGACCAGCTTGTAATGTGTTTTGTAGACGATATTTTGTCATTTGACCAGCGTGTAATGTGTTTTGTAGACGATATTTTGTCATTTGACCAGCTTGTAATGTGTTTTCTTTTACTTTTTCAACTCTCAGATTTTGTTTTTCTTTCAGGCTCTCAGACAAGATGACTGCAGTAGAGAAATGCGTGTTGCGCAGTCCAGAGCAGTATGAAGTCATTATAACGACGACAGAGATGCACACGGGCGGAGAGCCTCTGCGCATTTTGGAATCTGGATATCCGGTTCCTCGAGGGGAGACAATCCTGGATAAAATTGAAGATTTGAGGAAAAAGTTGAGTTTTTCCCCGTTCAGTAGCGTAAATGGAAGTTTAGAAACGATGTTATTGATTGGTAGACGCCAACTCATCAATTATGACCATTGGAAAAAAATGTCGTCCAGTAGCTTCCAAAATGTCTGAAATTCTTGGTTGCTGGAAATAAAGCGCACTTTAAAATAGTGTAGAATTTGAGATACTCAGGTTTACTGTAGGTGTATTTAGTTCAGAATGGAGTGCAAAAATCACACAAGTCACCATACGCAGTTAACTCAACAACAAAAAATTCCTTTAGCAAGCATTCTATTTTGAATAGTAGCTTCCACAAGTATATATTTCTAGCAACTTTGACCAGTACATGTTTCCATCAACTTGAACACTACATGTCTCTATCAACTTGACCATTGCGTGTTTCCATCAACTTGACCACTACATGTCTCTACTAACTTGACCACTGCGTGTTTCTATCAACTTCACCACTGCGTGTTTCCATCAGCTTGACCACTGCGTGTTTCCATCAACTTGACCACTGCGTGTTTCTATCAACTTGACCACTCCATGTTTCTATCAACTTGACCACTCCATGTCTCTATCAACTTGACCACTCCATGTCTCTATCAACTTGACCACTCCATGTCTCCATCAACTTGACCACTCCATGCCTCTATCAACTTGACCACTCCATGTCTCCATCAACTTGACCACTCCATGTCTCTATCAAATTAACCTGTCTATTTCTATGTACTGACCTTCACCTGTGTGTTTCAGCTTTGACCAGTACCGCAGGTTTGTTATTCTGGAACCCCACGGTCACCTCGACATGTACGCGGCACTACTGGTCCCCCCTGACCACCCTGATGCCCACATAGCGGTCATCTTCCTTCACAACGAGGGCTACTCGACCATGTGTGGCCACGCTTGTATTGCGTTAGGCCGGTACGCTGTCGATAGGGTCAGTTGATGTAGTGGACATGGTAGTAGTGGGCATAGTAGTAGTGGACACGGTAGTAGTGGACAGGGTAGTTGTGGACAGGGTAGTTGTTGGCAGGGTAGTTGTGGACGGGGTAGTTGTTGGCAGGGTAGTTGTGGACGGGGTAGTTGTTGGCAGGGTAGTAGTGGACATGGTAGTAGTGGACACGGTAGTAGTGGACAGGGTAGTAGTGGACATGGTAGTAGTGGACAGGGTAGTAGTGGACAGGGTAGTAGTGGACAGGGTAGTAGTGGACATGGTAGTAGTGGACAGGGTAGTAGTGGACATGGTAGTAGTGGACAGGGTAGTAGTGGACATGGTAGTAGTGGACAGGGTAGTAGTGGACAGGGCAGTAGTGGACATGGTAGTAGTGGACAGGGTAGTAGTGGACATGGTAGTAGTGGACAGGGTAGTAGTGGACATGGTAGTAGTGGACAGGGTAGTAGTGGACAGGGTAGTAGTGGACAGGGTAGTAGTGGACAGGGTAGTAGTGGACATGGTAGTAGTGGACAGGGTAGTAGTGGACATGGTAGTAGTGGACAGGGTAGTTGTAGACAGGCTGGGAATGAACAGGATAGCTGTGGAGAGGGAAGTTATTTATATGAACAATGGTGTCACGAGGTCGGGTGTCACCAGCAGGTGGGGTAACTGCGCGTGTCAACCCACCACCTAAAAAATTAGCATTTTCGTTTTGGTGTCACCCCCCCCCCCCCCTCCTCTATTTTGTTATTGAAACTGGATAAAACATTGTTTTGAAATGCAGATGTATGTGTCATCGTTATAATATAATTTTTATAATTTATATAAATTATCGTTTACGTTTCGTTTTTTATATGTATAAATATTTTTAATTGATTTCATTTCTGTGACAGTTAAAGAAAAAAAACACCTGAGTATATTATTATTCCTGTCATCATCGCATCCTATATCTAACACGATGATAATAACGATACCTCGCGCTAACACGGTTAACACCAGCGTCAACACAAACCAACCAGCCTCCTCCAGCCCCAGACTACAACTGTTTGACGTGTTGATCCCCAGGGTCTGGTGTCCACCACCCACGCGTCAGATATCCAGGTCAACATCCAGGTGCCGTGCGGCCTGGTCAAGGCTTTTGTGGAGGTCTGCCGGGCCGAGGTGCCGAGGACAGCTCGAGTCAGATTTGAAAGTGTCCCTTCCTTTGTTGTCGCGACAGGTTCGTTCTTGCTGCTGCCTGCTCACCTTCCACCCCCCCCCCCCACAGGTGTTTGTCTGTACATGACGTCATCGTCTCACCTATCGGCTTACAATGTTATACAACACCAGACCACAGCTTTCTAAAATGACGTCATTCCCCCCCCCCCCCACCCTGCCTTTCTTCACGTATCGTATCGTCAAATTACTCCCTACATCACTACGTGTATGACGTCATTTCCGTTTTACACCCCCGTTCCCCACCCCGATTCGTAATTTCAAAGAAAAATATTGAATGATCTCAAGTAGCAAGTTCAGTTATGGTAATTTATATCTTGTCATGTAGCTTGTTATTAAAGTAAGTGAACAGCGGAGTGAACGTATCTGCAAAACAAATACCCATGTGGGTGCCATGTTGCTTATATTCTTCGTCACATGGCTGTCATGTGATATTTGTTTACTAATATTGGCAGTAGGCCTTTATTGATAATTATGAATTTTGTCGTACTCACGTTCGTGGTTTTTGTTATGGAGTAGACGGGGGTTGGGGGGGGGGGTTGTGTTATTATGATTTTAAGCGTTCAATGATGAATGAACTACATACTTTCTTTATCCTTAAAAGATGCCACGGTGGAGGTCAAGGGTCAAGGCCAAGTGAAGGTCGATGTGGCCTATGGAGGGGCGTTCTATGTTTTTGTGGCGGCCTCAGATGTGGGTGTTGATCTGAACCTCTCGCCCCTAGCGGACATACGCCAAGCTGCTACCAAAGTCAAAGGTGCGCTGGGATTCTTCATTTCTTAACCAGATGAGACTAGTGGGGACGCTGGGTGGGGCGGACAGGTGGGGAGGTTGGGTGTGGAGGCTGGGTGGGGAGGCTGGGTAGGGAGGTTGGTTGGGGAGGCCGGGTGGGGAGGCTGGGTTGGGAGGTTGGGTTGGGAGGTTGGTTGGGGAGGCTGGGTAGGGAGGCTGGGTTGGGAGGCTGGGTGGGGAGGTTAAGTGGGGAGGCAGGGTGGGGAGATTGGGTGGGGAGGTTGGGTGGGGAGGCAGGGTCGGGAGGCCGGGTGGGGAGGCATGGGTGAAGGTCTGGGAGTGGACTTGGGGGGAAGGGGTGAAGGTAGTCTGGTCAAGGAGGGTGAAGGTAGTCTGTGTAGGGGGGGGGGGGGTTGAAGAGAGCATTTTAAACGAGGTTAGTATTGATGGTGCTGAGCCCCAGATGTTTTAAACCAACCACCGACCCATGAAGAACCAATCTCTGCTCCCCAGAAGCTGCAGCCAAGACGTTTACTCTACACCACCCGACCACCCCGGCGTTTCTGTACGGGACGATGGTGGTAGACTCGCGGGGTCCGGCTAACCAAGATGGCGTCTCTCAACACGTCTGCATCTTTGCCGATGCTGAGGTCTCGTCTGCTTTTGAATTTGTCAAACATAAATTTAAATTAGAACGCCTTTAGCTTTTGCTATGATAAACGTGGTAACAATAATTAAATACAAATTTAAACATTAATTGTTTTAATGATGAGGAGCGGAAGAAATATTTCAGTAATGAAAGAGATTGAAGTGACACGTATCTCTCACTCTGGTATTGGGGGCCGATCGTTTGTTACGAGACTCACATAGCCGTCGAAAAACATGTTTTAAAATTATTTTAAATAACTTTGATGAGGGGGAGGATGGTGGAACTAGCTGTGGGATTATTGTGTAGATAAGCTCACTCTCGATTCGAACCTGACGGTCCGTGGGCAAATGAAGTAGAGTTCACCTGTTTCTTCGGCTTAGGAAGAAACTTGCATGCAGTCAATGAGTCATATAAGTTGGAACTTGGAACTGGAGATCATTATGATAAACAACCTGTAATATTGGTCTAGAACAAACAGACAAAAACACAAATCGTTTATTAATTATTTTAATAAAAAATTATATTCCTCAATTTTTTCTTTAAATCACCACTACAAAAACGATTTGCTTCCCCTTCTATCTTGTTTCGTTTGAATCGATTAATGTTTTATTTTTATCTCAGACGGACCGCTCGGCCTGTGGGTCGGGTACGACCGCCCGAGTCGCCCTCATGTATCACAAAGGTCACCTACGCCTGGGACAAAGCCACGCCTTCAGGAGCGGCGTCACGGGGGCCGAGTTTACGGCCCGAGCCCTAAGGACAGAGCAGGTTGGGGAGTACGGGGCAGTGGTTGTCCAAGTTCAAGGTCAAGGCTACTATACGGGAAGGACAACTTTGGCTTTGGAAAGAGGCGATGGATTGGGGGCTGGATTTGTAGTTCGTTAGTTTAGTTTGTGAAAGAAAATTAGATGTTCGATTGACATTTTCATGCATTCAACCATCAAACTTTATACCTAGATTATCATTTTTTTAAAAATCTATATAAGAATGTAAAAAAAAAAATGATTTATGTTGTTTTTTGTGTCGTGTCTTGCATGAAAAGTGTGTGAGTGACGGGGTTCAATCAACTAACAGGTCGCTAGAGACAACATCAAATAAATGGTAGTGTTTTACATATGGTAACATTAATGTGACGGTCACGTGATAACGAATAACCCTAGACAGGCCTCCTGTAAACTAGAAGTATGAGGGGAGGGGGTGAGATTAGCAGCTGATGATAATAATTTGATCACATGCTCAACGGCAAATTGAATTCAACAAATTATTAATTAGCTACACTCCTTTTCCATAACATTCCTGGTTATGTCACATCACCCACCCACACCCCCCCCCCCTTTTTCATCGTCCTTCCCTCGTCTCTTCCCCATATCGACCCCATGCCCCCCCCCACATCCTCTGCCTACCGACCCCATGCCTCCACATCCTCTACCGACCCCATGCCCCCACATCCTCTGCCTACCGACCCCAATGCCCCCCATCCTCTGTCTACCGACCCCAATGCCCCCCATCCTCTGCCTACCGACCCCAATGCCCCCACATCCTCTGCCTACCGACCCCATGCCCCCCATCCTCTGCCTACCGACCCCATGCCCCCATATCCTCTGCCTACCGACCCCATGCCCCACATCCTCTGTCTACCGACCCCAATGCCCCCACATCCTCTGCCTACCGACCCCATGCCCCCATCCTCTGCCTACCGACCCCATGCCCCCACATCCTCTGCCTACCGACCCCATGCCCCACATCCTCTGCCTACCGACCCCATGCCCCCACATCCTCTGTCTACCGACCCCATGCCCCATATCCTCTGCCTACCGACCATAATGCCCCCCATCCTCTGTCTACCGACCCCATGCCTCCACATCCTCTACCGACCCCATGCCCCCACATCCTCTGCCTACCGACCCCATGCCCCCACATCCTCTGCCTACCGACCCCATGCCCCCACATCCTCTGCCTACCGACCCCATGCCCCACATCCTCTGCCTACCGACCCCATGCCCCCACATCCTCTGCCTACCGACCCCATGCCCCCACATCCTCTGCCTACCGACCCCATGCCCCACATCCTCTGCCTACCGACCCCATGCCCCCACATCCTCTGTCTACCGACCCCATGCCCCATATCCTCTGCCTACCGACCCCAATGCCCCCCATCCTCTGTCTACCGACCCCATGCCTCCACATCCTCTACCGACCCCATGCCCTCACATCCTCTGTCTACCGACCCCATGCCCCCACATGTCTACCGACCCCATGCCCCACATCCTCTGTCTACCGACCCCATGCCCCACATCCTCTGTCTACCGACCCCATGCCCCACATCCTCTGCCTACCGACCCCATGCCCCCACATCCTCTGCCTACCGACCCCATGCCCCCACATGTCTACCGACCCCATGCCCCACATCCTCTGTCTACCGACCCCATGCCCCACATCCTCTGCCTACCGACCCCATGCCCCCACATCCTCTGCCTACCGACCCCATGCCCCACATCCTCTGCCTACCGACCCCATGCTCCCATATCCTCTGCCTACCGACCCCATGCCCCACATCCTCTGTCTACCGACCCCAATGCCCCCACATCCTCTGCCTACCGACCCCATGCCCCCCATCCTCTGCCTACCGACCCCATGCCCCCACATCCTCTGCCTACCGACCCCATGCCCCACATCCTCTGCCTACCGACCCCATGCCCCCACATCCTCTGCCTACCGACCCCATGCCCCCACATCCTCTGCCTACCGACCCCATGCCCCACATCCTCTGCCTACCGACCCCATGCCCCCACATCCTCTGCCTACCGACCCCATGCCCCCACATCCTCTGCCTACCGACCCCAATGCCCCCCATCCTCTGTCTACCGACCCCATGCACCCACATCCTCTGCCTACCGACCCCAATGCCCCCCATCCTCTGTCTACCGACCCCATGCCTCCACATCCTCTACCGACCCCGTGCCCCACATCCTCTGCCTACCGACCCCAATGCCCCACATCCACTGCCTACCGACCTTATATCCTCTGTCTACCGACCCCATGCCCCCATACCCTCTGCCTTCCAAGCCCATGTACCTACATCTCTTACGTACCGACCCCATGCCCCACATCCCCTTTCACAATAACAAAGCGATAGAAGCAGTGTGATATATGCATACTTTCCCAATCACCAGCCTCGATTTAAATCAGGTTAATTAAAATATAACTTACTGATAAGCCTCAATTTGGATCAACTTAATTAGGTGTGTCTTGATGTTCAAAGTCAGTTTGGACCAACGTTATAGAAGAGTGACTTACTGATCAGCCTCACTTTGGATCACGTGAATTGAAGTGTGAGAATAGTCGCCTTAGACCTAGAACATTGCTCAATAGTAGCAATGGTGGATTAACGGGTGGTTGCTTGTTAAGCTGCAGTCAGAGCCCTCGATTCAAGGGGTCTCAAACTATGTTTTATTATCAACATAGAGTTTAATTAATCAATTTCCTCGTTGTCACCTCCGCTAATTAAATGTTCAGCAACCCGTCAATTCCTTGATGCCACTTAAAAAATGGACGGCTGCTGACCAAATAGACTGGCCTTGATGACGGGGGTGGGGGAGGGTTATTGAAGATGTTCTCTTAAACATCTTCACCTCTTTTTTTCGTACTGACGCAATTAATAAAGTGGACAGAAAAATATGTCTTTCTGTAGCCCAATTTTCATCCAACACTACTTTCCCTAGCTTTGGGTGTCCTCTTTTTACAATTACCCCCCTCCACTAATAAGAATGTGCACTCTTCAAAGGGCATTTACCTCACTAATGTTGGAAGTCATCCCTTTACATCCCCCTCCCTTACATGGTCGGATATTAGCTTTTTAATGTGTATTTAACTCCCCTAGAGTAAGATGTGTGCTCTTTATAGTACACCAATTCTTACGCGATTGTATTTGACAGCGCCTATTAGTCAGCTACTTATGGTGTGTAGTTAAATACCCAAATATAATATAACTTACTATTTTATACTGGTAGGTGGAAATAAAAGCATGGGCGGCGCAAAAAAAACTCACATGAAGACTTAATTTGAGAGAACCAAGCATTTAAAGACCGACTTAGGGCAAACGTGCCTACCGCCCCCCCCCCCCTCGAACGAAATGAAATTTCTTCATTTCGTTCATTAACAGTGCCCTCCCCCCCCCCCCCCGAAAATTCCAAGTGCTCCCCCCCCCCCCCCCGGAGAAAAAGTCTGGAAGAAACACTGACTGCAGCTAGCGTGGCTAGGCCTATATAGCTCTGGATTAGATCACACTCAGAGTCTCTTCCACGCATCTCTTCGGGGGGGGGGGGGGGGGTCTTCGCCCCCGCCCCTTCCCCCCCCCCCCCCGAACGAAATGAAATTAATATAATTTATATAGAAAATATATACTTTTAACAGTGTCCGCCCCCCCCCCCCCCCCCGAAGAAAGTCTACCGCCCCCCCCCCCCCCCCGGAGAAAATAGTCTGGAAGAAACACTGATCACACTGATGGTGTGTGACTGTAGGCCTAAGCCTACTAGTCGCTATTGTTTAATATAAGTCAATAAGTCGTGGGTCTCGCTTTTGCTGTGTAGCTGTGTCATCTTTGTTTATTAAACATCTGTGTCATTTGTGTGACCGTTTGACGACCCTGTCTAGGTTATCTTTTGAAGAACTCGTGGCTTGCATTCGTTCAAACACGCACTTGTTTGTTTATTTTTTTACCATAATTAGATTTAATATTACTAAGCTAATGTTTTAGGTTATAAATAATTGTGATTAATACCAGTACCACTCTACATATGGAGTCTAGTAATTTTTACAATTTAAAATTCCTCTCAATAAATACATTTTAAATGTTTTTTAAAGCATCTCAAATTAAAACTAGATCTTGATTCCATAAATTGATTCAAATTCTAAGAATAAATGTTAGATGTACATAAAAAATAAAAATTAGAAATTAGTCAATTAACTGCCTCCGTGCGTCACCTTTTCACAACGTCCATACCAAAATTTGGGGCTATTGAAAAAGAAGAAGAAAATAGGCCGAGATAGCTGGTTGTCTTGGCAACTAAGAGTTATCGCGTTAGAAGATTTGAGACATCAGCAACCCAGCCTGGCTGTTCAATCATTTAACCTGAGTCGGTAACACAAATTAAAATGTTTTAAATATGTTTAGATAGCTTAAACAAAGAAAAAAATGTTATTACATTATGCATGTCACTTACTTCTTTTCTTTTCGTTTCTTTAATTTAAGATGCTTTACATTATTTCAGAAATATCATTAAAATAATTTTGTAAAAATTATAAATGGAATGTCAATGTATCTATCGGCTGCAGTAGCGTGATCACGTGGTCTATACTTCCGTTTACAGAGCATCGTGCATCCCTCATCTTTTGGCTAGGGTCCATGGGATTTAGTAAAACTTGGTAAGTTGAATTTTAGTTATTTCTTGTTAAATTCGCTAATGAAAAATTAATCTGAGTTGCGGGAATTTTCAAGGTATCATTTATGTCTCTCTTAATTGTAGTTTTAAGACTCTATTCATTAAATTTTAGTTTAAATATGCAGAAGCATTCGCTATCCCAGAGGATGATCGCGGGAAAATGACGTTTTCTCTAGCCACGTCCTTCAATTTGTATTTGATTTCCTCCATTACAAATGTTATCCCTAGATAAAATCAAATGATAAATTCATACTAAGATTACATTTAATACGAGCAATGTTTATCATTGTTCTATAAATTACTTTAGCTGTTAATTTCACATCTTCAGAAGTATTTGCTTTGTTTACACTGACTACGCAGTTTCAATATGGCGTCCATAAATGTTGTCATTTTCAAATCATCTGTTTGACTTTGCTTCCGATGATGTAAACTTGATGTAGATCTAGATCGAGGTCTATCTCTTGTTAAGTGTTGAATATATTAGGCTTACTTCATTTTTTTAGGCAACCAGACGTAAGCTTCTGTACTTTCTACCCCTAAGCATCCTTTTTTTTATCCGGACTAGGTCTATCGGGAGTCTATCCCCTTCCTTATTTTTGTACTTTTTAGTTTTAGTTGTACGTTTACGTCTATAATTTAGTAGACTAACTTTATGGATTTTAAGAAAATCGTAGTTGGCTTAGGCAACTTTTTATAGTCATATATGCAGATTCAAATCTTTAGGCCCAGCAGATTCAGACTGTTTGTATAAATCTTGAGTGGTCTATGTAAAACACTAAAGTAAAAGAGTTATGAACTATGAGCTGGAGTTGTCCTTTTTAAGAGATATTTAATAATTTAGCCTTTAGGCCTGTTGTTAGTCGACATGAGTTTTGGACAAGATCAGGTTGCCGTAACTCAATTTCAGAGGATGCCATACAACATTTTGTGTAGCAGCCTTAATTAGCTTTTAAAAATATTTTCAATCATTCAAATGGGCCTTCATAAACAAATTAAAGTAGGCTGACAACTAGGGGAGGAAGTGATTTAAAAATTGTTATTATGTCAGACTGACCATATTTTTTGGCTAGGTATTGAAGTCTTTTTCAGGACTAAAATATTATTCTTCTGATTTGCCTTACAGGGACTTTTATAAAGGTTTTGGCCTGTTTGTGACAATATGTAAATGTAACTGGATCTTGACCTTACTTAATATGTCAGAAATTTCTTGAAAATGGTTTATCAATTAAAAAGTGGTCAAGTTTTAAGCTTTCTTGCCCACAAATGCCCGAATTTTGTTTTACTGATGCTTTAAAATTTAATAGTTGCCAATGCTACATGTATCCTATTTAAGCAGGAATTTAAATATGAACTGCATCTTTTCACTTTTCTAATTCTTGTTTTAAAAAAAAAAATATGTTTATAGTTAAAAGTGCAGCTTCAAGGCAAAGTCATTTTACTTCCGACTCTCTGGAGATTATGCCACTAGTTTTCACCTGCATTTGTTCCACTTAAATGTAAAAACTTTCATTTTGTTGAGATAAGTCTATAGGCCTATTCTTTTTACTGATTCAGAGAAAAATTCATTCTAATTGTAGCCCAGTGTGGTGGTTTTGGTCTGGCATTCCAAATATGGAACAATACAATTTCATAAAAATAAAAGCAAAGCTATCATAAGTAGAGCTAAGAGGCTAATTCTTGATTAATAATTTGGTTATTAGATACTGTTTGTGATTTTAATTAAAAACTTATTAAAAAGGAAATATTTTCAATCACCTAAGGTTAAGGTCTGTACGGTAAAGTTGGTATATTCCAATCTTTTCTTCTTACCTTAAAACTGTTTAAATTATTAAAGGGGTAGTATTATCTATGTCTATTGTCTTTGCACATTTTACATTGAAAGTTAGATTTTGGCCATTCTAGATGAAAACATTAGGTCTTATTTAGTAAAACAGTACTTTTAAATATAGCCTTAGTTCAAATCAAATTATCATTCACACTTAGAGGTGTTTCTTGACTTTGATTCAGGCTACAATTTAAATTAATTAGCTGAAAGTAATGCAGGCTGGTGAACTGAGTCTCACTAATGTCATGTTCACCACACACTGGTAATGGTTTCAACAGCACATTTGTTATTGCTGGGTTATCTATCTCATACCTTAATGACAAGTTGTCTAATGATAATTACGGATGTGTAATATACTGAAGATCAGAGGGATTTTTTTTTTTTGTAAATTACAGATAATGTTACTTAGATCCTGTGAAGCAAGGGAAGACTTGTGATATTTTTTATGAGGTTATAACATCTCTTGATTCAATACTTAGGAAAATGAATGATTCAGGTAAGTGAACAGCCAAATGTTTCTTCCCTTAAATCTACTATTATTTTTGCTTCATATCATGTTATTCCCAATGCTATTAGTATAGTGTAGTTATGTAGTTTTATTTCCATTAACAATATTAGCCATTCATAATAGAAAAGTAGTTTTAATTGTCCTAATAAAGAATATGCATTTGTTTCCACAATTGCTTGTTCCAGTAACATTTTTTACTTATTTGTATTTCTGATTACCACAATTTTAAGAATGGTTTTTTATACCTGGTTTATTAAAAATAAAAACACCATGTTTACTAATTCAGGGAATCATCAGTTTATCTGCTTTATAATTACCATTTCATGTAATTCTGAGGGCAAAAACTATTTTTAAAGCATTTATGATTTATTGGTTTTTGTTTCTGTTGTCATGTCTGAAATTAAATAAAAATGGTAGCAGCAGCTATGTTTTTATATCTGGCACTATGAGTAATGAGTTGACGCAAGAGTATCCTAGTCAAATCAGTCTAATGGTGGGTGGAAGGCTGACACAGATTGTCAGTGTTTCCTCCCTCATTCTTTATGTCTTGCCGATGTGTGAAAATGGTTGGTGGACTGGAGAAAATTTGGGTAAAGGAACGGCATGGCTAAGCCAACGAGGATGCATCCGCATCCCCATGGCAACGGGCTGTTTCACGTCAAATAACACCGTCCCACCTTAACCACCCCACCCCGGGAAAGGGCGGTCTGCGGTTGGTGAGCAGCACTGGGCTTTTGAGACATAGCTCATTCTGGTAATAATTGAAATTTTGGCCTGGGGGAGGCGGGGTGGCTGGTCTAGGTTCCCGTTGCTACCTCTACCTCTCTGTTGTTTCGTTGTGTCACATGTTTTTATTCTTTACTCGGACCATCCTTTTTTTAACTATGTGTAATCGTATTTTCATTTTATGCCCATACCATACACCTCTCTGTCTATTGCTCATTATTTTTTTGTGAAATTGTATTTAAGTTTAGGGTTTTAATATTGTAGCTAAATAATTATTATGGAAAAGATCCCGACAGACGGTGGTAGCTTCTTCTTACGTTAGCTTTCTCCTCAACGGTTTTACAAGAGGCGAAAACGGGAAATTGTTAAATGATTTTTTAAGCCTTGATATTTATGGTAACCATGGATTGACAGCGTTTCCCACCATAGCAGTGGAGGGTTAGTTTATGCGTAACTATGGTGACATCTCGTGCACTGTCATGTCTGGCGTTGTCCCAGGCATCTTCACGAGCGAGCCGAGCAGTACACTGATCAACGGGGCTTGTTTGTCATGCACGTGTCGTTGAACTATGTCTAGTTGTGTGGATTTCATATCACACTCATTTCTTCATATCCTCGTTTCTATGTTGATACCGAGCCTCATGGTGAGTGACGTTATACTCCCACATATTTGAGTATCGTGGTGTTTTGTCTAGTATATTATTCCAATGTAGGTGTTCAAGTCAGTGAATAAGTAATTCTATTCATTAATTAATCGGTCTTATAAAGTGTAACTTTTAATCTAATTTATGGTGGTCGATATTGAAATGTAGACTCTGATTGTAGATTTATCAGTCGAGTGTGGCTATTTAAGTGTCTAACGCCTAAAAAAATATTTAAAAGTTTGGTTTAGAAGGTTAGCGGCTCAGTCAAAAAGTGCAACGCGCCGCGGTACGGCAGGCGCTTGCGTTGGCTAAAGTGAGCGTGGTTTTCCGTGGCGATAGAGGGAGGGGTATAAATTAATAGCATGGTAAAGTGAGCAGGGGAGAGGAGGAGAGTTGAATTATTTTTAAAAAAATAGTTTAGCAGCAGTAGTAAAATCTAGGCCTTACGGTCGTTAAAACCAAGTGTTAATGTTTTGATCGGAACACACCAGCCCCTACGTAGAAGCTATTGAAAGTTTTCAAATTGCGTTATTGGGGTAGTGATCAGACAAAGGATTTTTTTTAGTGTGGTGGGCTCGAGCATTCAGCGAGGGGCGCGAGCCAGCTGTCGCCGATGTTGCCATGGATACTGACACTTTTTTTTCGTTGCTGAAAAACTAGGCTTTATTTAGAGGCGGTATCCTCTCGCCTTCATTGTGTGTATCGGTTGCCGGCCGATTTTTTAAGTGGTGCGAAGAACTCACTCGTTTAAACACTTTATTGCTTTAAAAAAACTTGGTATTCTTTTTACTATACTTTATCTCTCCCGTTGTCTATGTAAAGAATCTGAAATTTTTTTCAAACGTTATTTCTTTTCAAATTCACTTAAGCGTATTATATCTGGTTGTAGCAAGTTTAATTTAGTCTACGCGTGGAACTTAATTTCAGCCATTGTTAAGTGAATTTTCTAGCTATTGGGTCTGTAGTGCTTGATAATGTGAAGGTTGTGAATGTTCACCTGCCACACGGGAACAAACGTTATCGCGCACCACATCATTTGACCTATTCACCCGTTGTGTACCACAGTAGTTTTGCCCTCGCACAATCAGCTTGTATACCGTTGTCTTGGCAACAGTCTACGCTGTTCGTATGATTGGTTGGCCCGAGTGGGATGCGGAAGAGAGGAGGCTGTTTTTTGTTAGTCGTGTTTACAATAGCCCATTCCGCCATCTCTACTCCTCCCCGTCTCCCTCACTCCCAGTATTAGGAGTATAGATTTTCCCATCCCGTCTGCATAAGGTTAAATCTTTTTTAGCACGGGATCCCGCTCTGTCTACCAGTAATAATGGTTGTCCTTTTATCTGCAATATTATAATGATCATTTTCCTTCATTGGCAGTTATTGTATGTCAGTATTTTAGACGTGAAATAGATACTTGCCTGTCGTTTCCATGTGTTTGAATGTCAAAATAGTACGTGGGTTTCCCTAGCTGCCTCAATTTCACCTTTGATATGTAAACTCGTAGGCGGTATTTTTGGGCCAGTGGAGTTGGTAATAATTTTTAAAAGATTGTTGGGGGTTGGATAAGGTTTTTTTTTTTTAAATATGAAAGAAAAAATGGTTTACAAAACTTTTCACATTTTACTTACTCAATTTTAAAATTGTTTTTTGGGAATATTTAGCATAAGCTCTCATCAATATTAAGTGCTCTTTATCAGATTTTTGTTTCTCAGATTCAATATTAAAATGCCATCTTTTAATCAATTTCTAGGCTGTGAAGACACTGTCCCAACCATGTCACATGTATGCAAGCTTCCTGAAGAAAGTGATGCCTCTATGAGAGCTAGACTTTTTACTAGTCTCAGCCAAAGCTTTCCTCATAGCCAACTGTACAAGGCTCTACACGGGGGCGAAGATGTAATTCTAAATGGTGGTGACAACACAGATGATGATGATGATAGCTTGTATGGAGATCATCTTTCTAACAGTTGCTTTGCATCTTTGCGAATGGATCGCCGTGATAGTGATGACTTTGATGATGATCTGCAGTCACTTGAATGGCTTCAGAGTGAAGATTTACTAAAAAATATTGGTGGAGAGAAGCTAGATAAGGATGAAGATGATAACGAGGAACAAAAAGAGAATGAGGACATAAAACCTGAGATTGCTACCTTACAGCCACCCCCAGGAGCACAGCCTCACCTCCCTTACCTCCCCCAGAAGCACGTCAACAGTAAACCACCTTATTCATTCTCATGTCTGATATTCATGGCTGTTGAGGCATCCCCACAGAAGCGGCTTCCAGTGAAGGATATATACAACTGGATCCTCACACAATTTCCCTACTTCCAAAATGCTCCCACTGGTTGGAAAAACTCAGTGCGTCACAATCTAAGTTTAAATAAATGTTTCAAAAAGGTGGAAAAGGATAAAGGACAGGTATGTATTAAACCAGTTTTTAAAGTTCCATATCACTAAAACTTGTTTTTTATAGCATGCCTTCTGTTTCCTGTAACAACTGTACAGGTATTAGTACTGTCCAAGGCAACTTGTCCCTCTACCATTTTTTGTTCAGATCTTAAGTATTTAAAAACATGCTGCAGAAAGTTTCCTCTCCAATTAACCATATATCTTCCATCTAAAAACTTAGTGATCAAGGAAGCAAGAGTGTTTGTTTATAAAAAGTTGTATTAATTAAAACTGTGTTCTTTCCAGCCCTGCATTTGTCGGGTGGGAAATAAAAGGTGGATTACATTGTGGCTAGGTTGGTAGAATTGCGTGCCGTGTACACTATGAAGTGCGATTATTAATCACTTTTTCTTTTTGAAACAAGATTACTTTTTTATTTTTAACATTACTCACCTTTTATTTGGAGTTGTAATATTTACCCCCACATGCTTTTGGTATTTTAACTTTGTGTATAATGAAATGTATACATTAGAAGCTCTTTCACTGATTGAAGTTGTGTATTCACATAGCCCTCCTGATATATATTAGTTCAGATATATATTTGTATGTAAATGTAATTTGTATACTTATAGTGTGATTGTTAGTTGTTTTTTTGTTTGTTGAGATAGTTTTATCTTGTTAGTTATGTGTTCTCCTTATTTTAGTTTTATTTAGGGCTACATATACTTAATTGCACTACATGGAAGAACTTAACCAACATCATGTACTCATATTGTATTTACAAGTCCTCTTGATTTCTCACTGGGTTAATTAATTTTAAAAAGTTAGTCTTTAGTCAATTCTAATTAACATTTGACTTCACATCAATTGTTATCAAGTTTTTTTAAAATTCCAATTTTAGAGTATTGGCAAAGGCTCGCTGTGGTGCATTGATCCAGCTTATAGACCAAATCTTCTCCAAGCCTTGCGTAAAACACCCTATCACCCATATCACCAGCTGCAGATGACTTCCACTCAACCACAAAACTTCATGCAATACCAGAGTCTTCCAACGTAGGTCTTTTGTCTGCACTTATAAGCTTTTATTTCTTTTTATTTCTTTGATGAGAAACTTGGTTACATTTGTAAACTTCTAATATTCGTATTGTTTCTGCAGAACTTATCGTCCCATTCTTCCATTAACTCAAAGGCCAGTGCCAAATACAGTATCACCACGTAAGTATAACATCTGTTACTGAAGATGTTTAAAGCATTTGGTTATTTTAAAACAGCTTGGTATTTTGGTGAAACAATATAAATGTTGTATATGTCACCTAGGTATTCTAGCCATCAGGTTTATTAGTTATATTACCATCAACTTTTTTGCTGTTTGTACATTAAGTCTTTAGTGTTTTATTTTTATTCTTTTCGGTAGATCTTTTCCCATTTTTGAGTCGCCGTCTTGCCCAAACTTCTTTTGACGTAGGTAAGTGGCTAAGTTTAATTTCCTGAAGTATACTTTATTGTGTTGTCTTGGAAACAAACACACTGCCAGCCCAATATTTTTTTTTTTTTTTTGCTTACTTTAAAATTTAAGCTAATTTTTGAAAGTTTTATTGTAGTACCATTAATTAGTAGCCACCTCACATGAGCAAGAAAACAAATGACTATAGTTATACACGCAGTGTAGTTTGTGTGATGTGAACATGCCAGAGCTGTTGTCAGGACAAGTGAGGGTAAAAAATAGGCCAAAGTATCTGATTCTGGGTCATAATGCTACTTGTTGTTGCTTGTCCTGAAAGAAACCATCTAAAGTACTTGTCTAGTTTTGCAGCACCCTTCTCCCATCTCTCACTGCAAGTGGTTTGGTCTATTGATGTAGCAAAATCCATCCCTGGGGAAAAATAACACAATGAAAGCTTTTGAAATGTAATCTTTTTGGGCTAATATCATAACTTTAGTTTTTTTTTAATTTGATCTAAAATATGCTCTTTTACAATTAGCATTTAAGGGTTGTTTTTTTTTTTTTATCTCATAGCTAATACAGAATTATTAAATTAAACTCTTTTTTTTTTTTACTTATTGATTTTAAACTGATATAATTATCTGTTACAACTTCTTTGTGAAATTAATAATTTCTTTTTAGAAAATGTCCTATTGATTTCTTTTCTGCTCTATACATAGCTTTGCCACTGTAGCATCTGTTTCAATATGCAGTCATTGTATTTATTGATGATACCATGGTAACCTATAAAGCAATTGTCACAAGCTATTTGCCATCATTAGAACATTTCCATGGTGACAAAAGAATTGCAATAAAAATGGATGAATAGTCAAGACTGTAATCTTATCACATTAGAAGCTTATTGAATAGGATGCTATTTGTTTAGTACATGTTGCTCATTCCATTTTTATTGGTTTAGCTAAAAGTATTTTCATGCATCCACTATTGTATAAATATTACTTCATGTAGTATGGAGATGAGAGCTATAGAAGTTTGCTGTCATGTGTTTTTTCTTCTCTTGGTATAACAATTGATTCACTTTTGTGCTGTTTCAACTGAAATAAGTCAATAGTAATCTATAACTATTTTCATGCGTTGAGTTTTTGTACAATTTTGAGGTTTTTAAACTGCAACTTTTTCAAATTTGTACAGACAATGAAATGAAAGATGTTGCTCAGACACTAGTGGCATTGAAAAGCTCATATAAACCAGGTAAATTATTCATTACAACAGTTGCATTAAGTATTTCAAATGTGAGACTTTAAAAATCAATATTTTAAAAGATAGATATTAAAACTTCAAAATTGCTCATTTTTATTTTGTGTATAGAGATCAATTAGCAGCAATTGAAATAAGGCAATAAAAAAGTTGTTTAAAGACAAAATGTATAGTTAATTATGTAATCTTTGTGCTGTCAGGGGCTCCTGATGGCTCACCAGGTGGAGATACTGGATTAACATGGAAGCATAGGAAGCGCTCATACAGGTATTGTAATACATCTTTTTTTTAAATTTATATTAAAGTACATTTGTCATATTTATTTCAGTATTTGTTACCCACATTTTGGATTTATTGTAAATTGCTTTATTTTCTCATCTTGTTATTGTTTTTAAAATCACTTTAATTATGGTGTTCAGCTATAATAACCCTCGAAGACGACCATCCAGTCCAGTTACTGTCACAGAACACCCCTATGATGACCATGCTTATAGTTCTTCAAGACTATTGGATGATGATGATGCATCATCACCCTCTTCCTCATCTTCTATTGATGAAGAATATGATTTTGGAGATGCAGGTTTGTATAATTTACTCCAACTCTTAGCTATAATACGGATTTATAAGGACATCACTGAAATGTAGATTTTACAGCTTATCTGTAGTAAATATAAGTTAATTTATTGTATTATTATGCTAATAAGTAGTTTTTAAAATACAAAGGGCCGTGTGTAAGTGTGCACTGCTATGTTTCAGTACTCTCATACTTATTGAGACATACTGGAGAAACTGCTGATGATTTTTTCAAACAACTTGACTGCTCTGAACTATCTTGTCCTATCAGTGATCATTTTTTCTTTCCACATAGTAAGCTGTTTGAAGTGGTGTTCTTGGCTTCTTTTCCATTTGCCAGCATTGTTTTGTACTTTGGATTGCTATTGAATTTGATTTGGAAAATTTAATTTTTGTTCTTTTTTTTTTCATAATTATTTTTCTGTATTTCTTAGCCTGTCTATTACAAGTTATATGTTTAAAAGATTAAATGAACCTTTACATTTTTTAAAAATAATTTACTCTTTTAAAAAACCCGTTAAATATGGTTTTTAAGCAAATTTAATTTCAGTAAATTGTATTCTGCAAACAACTGATTCTCAATTGGAAAAGTTTTTAAAAAATTAAATATAGTGTGTTCTAATTGTTAACTTTTTTTTTTTTCAATTTTTTAGATGAAGAGTGTGAATCAGACTACCAGTCAGACATGGAGTGGGATACTGATGACAAAGATGAGGTAGATGGAGACTTGAGCTCCACAAGTCGACCTAAAGCTGATGGAGAAAATTTAGTTGACAAAATTAAGGAGGAGCCAAATGAAGATAGCGAAGAGGATGAGCAGAAAAAGATCCATGAAGGGGCCAGTGCTTTACTCAACTTAGCTGGGTTGCTGTTAAATAATCGCAGCAGTGCCAGCAGCAGCAGTCCCGAGGCCGGGCTTGAAAAGAGAAAGCATGACAAAAAGTCTGACAAGACAAAGAAACTAGAGAAGAAAAAAATGGGCAAAAAGAGAGTAGAGATGAAAGTTGTCAGTAAACAAGCAGACTCTGATGTCTCGCAAAAAAGAAGTGTCAGCAAGAGGAAAAATGCTGGTAGCAATGGAAAATATGATAATGAAGATTATTCCTTGATTAAAGTGAATAGAACACCGACTAAAGGGAGGCCACCCAAGATTAAACAAAAAGTCATCAAATCCTCTGCAAGCAAAGAAACACCAAAGCTCACAAGCATAACAGCTAAATCAAAATCCTCCATTAAACTTAGCACAAATGATAAGGTGAGCAAGAAACATACAGATAAAAAATTAAAGTTATCTAAAACATTTGGAATGTCTAAAAGGAAATCAAGTGACAGTCTTTCTGAGAAGAAGAGTAGTGTCACACAAAATAAAGCGCTGAAAAATAAAAGTGAGAAAAATACAAAGGAGAAATCCCAAAAATATCCTGCCAAAGTTAAGAGAAAAAGTAAAACAGTAGACCAAGATGAAAGCTCTGACATCCTTCCTTCTGTAGACAAACAGGGAACAGATATCCAGCAGACAAATGTTGATAGTAAAACTAGTGGTAAAGAGGGTAGGGGCAAGTCAGCCAGTGACCGGCAGTTAAACAACCACACTGACAACTCAAGGGATAAGGATAGGATGGAAACCATGTCCACTAAGGAAGAAATCATTTCCCCTGCAGGGGATGCACCAGTGAGTCGGGGATCCAACAGTATAATATCACAAGTCAAAAGCTTATTACAGAAACCAAAATTAAATGAAACAATCCATAGTTCTGTTGATGATAACACTGGAAGTAGCAAGAGGAATGGCATTAGCAGTAAAAGTAATTCTTCTGCCTTAATACCTACCATTCCTGGCTCCCACAGGAGTCCACATTTTACACGCTTCTCAAAGAAAAAGGCTGAACTATCATAGCAACTATAATTATTGTACAGAAAATGTTTGTGGCTGTTTTTTTTTTGTTTATATTTTTTGTAACAACTTTATTAAATGTAACCTTTTTTTTTAATAGTGATAACTTATAAGTGTATTTAAAATTTTTGAAACAGATTGAATGTTGATCTATAAACAGAATCCTCATAGTAACAAAATCAGCTGGCTAACTTCATGAAGTTTTAATAATGAAATTCACCTTAAAATGAACATTCAATTTTCTATTAAATAATCTATATTACAATTTATTTTTAAGAAATTTAGCTAAATCAATTTAATTTATGAGGATTGCACATAATATTGTCATTAAATGGCTTTTAATTGCCAATCAGAAAATTACTTTTTTAACATTCAGAAATGCAAATATCAAATTACAAATAACATTTAATATTTAGTTGGTCTTTATTATTTTTTTTACGTAAACATATACAATGAAATCATCATGTTGTTTACTTGTTACATCATTTTAGAACTTTATAACAAAAATAAGTATTAGATGACTACTGTGCCTTACTTGTCATATATAAATTATACATAATTTGTGGGCTATATGAATGTTTCAGACTGGCTGTAGTAAGACTGTATGTGAAATTATAATGCTGAATGTGAAAATGGTGCTAAGATTATGTTGTTTGATGTAGGTGATTCTTGTTTAATTATACCATGTATTTTATGGTAAATCTTGATTCACTGTGGTTTCACTGATCCACATATTGAAATATTTTCTTTGCTTGCACTTTATATTTTGCGCAAGAAGACAGCTTCTTGTTTATTCTGTTGCTTTACAGTTGTGAATAGATTCCATGGTTAGATAGCTAATGGCAATAATTTTGTTATCATTTAAATAAAACAAGCAGCTAACAATTCAAAACTCTCATTTACTCCCTACATCTGTTTTGTTTTTCTTTGCAATGGTTTTATTTTAAATGAGTTTATGATATACACCTTGCTTTTTTTTTCAAAGAAAGGGAAAAAATACCATATAGTGTTCAATAAATGTTATAAAGTCAATATTTTATTGTTGTGACATAAAGAATCATTTTCACAAATCTTACCTTAAGTAGAAAGCCTTTAATACTATACAAATAACATGTAAATGTGAAGACCAAAGTACTGTTGTTTACTATAGAGAAATGTAACACAATAGATTAAGAAAACTTAAAAGAACAATAGTTCACTTGGAATTAAATTTAGCCTCTTTTTGCCTTACACAGTTAAATGGCCAAGATGTTATATGAATATTTCCACTACAAAAATGTGTTCATTTTTTTTGTCATTGTTTTATAAAATGTTTATTATTTCTAGTCTATTTAAAAGTTTAACTTGACTAGGGCTTTTGTTATTGTGCAAGAGCCTTTGGTAATATCTTATAAAATAGTGCATTATGTCTCTTTTTTTTTTAACTAGTGTATGATTTCTCTTTGAAAGTGACTAAAGCTTGCCATATTAGGTAATAAAGTTAAATGTACAACGAAACATTACTGCTACAGTATTGACATGTTCTCTCACCAAATACTGTTAAAACCATTATCAATATATCCTAGTGATTTGTTTCTTTGATTTTGTCACAATACTCTTGTAAATAAACCACAGAATTTACTTTGTATTTGTACATTACATCATATTGGTGGGGGTAACCAAATACAGGGTGAGGTATTTTTTTATCACCATTATCAATTACACGGCCATGCTAATTGCTGATTTCAAGGTGGTTTTTTTTCTCCTCCATCAATCTTTATTGTTATTTTTTGCTATTGTGTGCATTCAAGTTGTTGGTGAAGCAAGCATTGATGTACTTCAAAAATGGGATATCTTAAATGTGTACTGTACTTATGAATGGATACTAGTAAGACCCTACAGTAAAAAGCAACCTATTGACAGTGTTAGTCAAATGTTGGTTTGTTGGCCTCCACAGCTCTGTCAGGATTTAGTTACTTACCTCTTACTTTTTGCTCACTGTTTTGATCTCAGACTTAATTCTGTGGTGATTTTTTAAAATAAGATATTCTGTAGCAGAAGTCCTAGAAGGTTCTGTGGTTTTGTTGTACTAGGTTCCCATTAAGTGTATCCATTAGATCGTCTTTAACACCTGTGTAGCTAAACCATCAGGGCTAAAGTGAACAGACTACTACTGTACAATTTTGTCATAATCTTTAAACAAATAGAGCTTCATGTTATAACCGGAATATTATTCTTTTAATACAAAAGAAATATAACTTTTCTTCATATATGACATGTTTCCATTTTGTATTGTATTTTTAGTAGTGATTAGTTCTGTGTAACCCTAGGTAGATTATAGTGTTTATAGTCTTAACATTTCAAACCAGTTATTGATGATAATGTATCATTTCTTTGCAGTAAGCCTTCCTTCAGTGTCTTCCATAATTTTTTTTATATAAGATCAAGATAATCATACATTTAAAATTAAATACTCTAGCTGATTTAGCATTTATAAAGTCTTATTGCTTGTCTATTATTTCACTGTTCACTTTTTACCACCAAATTATTGAACCTTACTTTATTCAAATGTTTTTGCTTTAATAGACAAACAAGGCAATGGCTTTAAAAAGGGGGTACAGGACAAGAAGTTGTGCCCCACATTTTCTGCATTTAAATTCTATATGAAATGTTAAACATACATTTAAAAAATATTCAATATTAGCTAATAGGAGATGAAAAGCAACACTGAGGAAGACCATAGAAGTCTTCAAACTTCTCATGAAAATTACTTATGGTTATTTCACTTGTTTTGGGCTTCTATGCAATTATGATAGTTATTTAACTTTGGTTAATATAGTCTCTTCAGTGAAAAATTTAGTAGTTTCTAGCTTTCAGTAAATAATATAATGGAAATTTATGTACCTTTGTTGTATGTTTTCCAATAATTTATGTGCTTACTACTTTCTAAATAAAAGTATTGTGTTCAGTTAAGATTGTGCAATAGGACTGATTTGTCAGTTTAATAGAACACAATGTAAACATGAGCTACTTGTCAATTTCCTCTTTCATTGTAAATTTTGTACAAATAAATAAAGCTACTTTTTTTCCCTCACATTGTCTGTTTTTTTATTTTTACAGTTAGATCAAGTAATTTTAATCCAGCATTTAAAAAAAAAAAATAAGGGTGTTTGCCTTCCTTGTATCAAAGCCAATGTTCCTATAGATTAGATCTGGCTCAATACACCACTATGTCGTATTATCCATACTGCTACTGCCTATAGATTCCCTCAGCAGAACTGTTCTAATTATATAGCAAAATAATTATTGAATTAGGCTTTGTACACTGTACATATTCTGTGATTATGTAAATATATGGATGTTATGGCTAGAAATCTAAATGAATGAATGAAATGTGCTCTGTTTAACACACATCATTAGCAAAATCCAAGTAAGATCCACAGAAACTTAGGATTTCATGGTTAAATAATATAGGTTTCTTTTTCTATGAGGCTTTCATTGGAGTTAAACAGATATCATTTCCTTAAGCACCCCTACAGCCAGGAACACAAAATGTTTATTTGAAACTTTCTTCAATCCTGGTGTCACTCATCATGTCTTGTTTTGAAGGTGTTGTGAATTTCTAATTGCATTTCTGGAGGTTTATTTTTAAAAGAACATGCTTAGTTGAATGGGCTGAAGTTTTTTTTTGTGTAGCTAAAGCTGTGTTTATCTTGTTTTGATTAGTTTTAAACCATAAAGTCTCTTTTCTGTTTATTTTAAGAGAATACTGAATCAAGCTTCTCTCATTTTCAGTATTAAATGTATAAAGTGAAAATAATTTGAATGTATTAATGTCAGCTCTCAGAAAATTGTAATGGAGTGTGTACTGTTGAGGGTTAATTTTAAACTGCTTGGATAGAGCAGTGGATGAGAAATAGTCCTTGTGGATTCATTATTTGTGATATACAAACAGCAGTTCAGCAGTCAACAACTACATCTACATATTTCATTATCACATAAGCAAAGAATATGAGAATAAAATATATTGCATCAAATTTATTGTTAATATTTATGGTTTAAATTCATACATAAATTTTTTGATGTTTTAGACATATGAGCTTTCAATGGTTTTACTTTAAATGTTACCCTTGAATGTTTTATTATATAAAGAAGTGCACCATATCAATCTGATGTAAAATCTAGATAATTATCACTTCACACTTTAAAACAGCTTCCTAGATTGGCAGCTAGCAAGTGTGTGCTGCTTTGTTTAGTTACTGGCACCACGCAAGTATCTGTTGCCGTGTCTTTAGGCCATCCACGGGAATCAGAGAGACAACTGGGACATGTGAGTCCCCATGATTTGCTAGTTCTTCTATTCCCAGGGCAAAACCTGACACAATAGTGAAAACAAATTATTGCAATAAAAACACTTTTGTTTCATTCCGAACTAAATGTAAGAGAATTGTAACAATTGAAAAAGGTATTAATATGTTTAGACTCACATTTTTGAAGGATGCCGTAGTTAAACACAGTAGGTGAGTACAGAACCTTGATGAGAGGCAAAACACTGGACAGGCTTCGCTTTTCTAAAACTTTCAGATATTCACTCAGCAGTTGCTTGACCATACACAGTGTGTCAATGTGCATGTAGTCAACTAGAGAACCGACATCTGGAGGAGAGGGGGAGGCAGTTTAGTTTTTGTAACAATTACATTTTAAAATAGCAGCTTAGGAAGCTTCATTGAAATAATAATTCTTACTAATGAATGGTTATGTGACAAAAAAATAATCAGTTTCATTATTTGATAAAATACTTATGTGAAAAAATGATAGTAATTTGACAAGAAAATCACATTTTTACCAATAGTTATATGACAAGAAAAGAGGTGGGGATTCTCCCTGGAATATTGTGCCTTGCTTGTAATGGTGTAGAAAGGATACTGTTCTTTAAAAGCCAAGTCTGAAACAAACAACATTATTATGCTTTTAATTCATATGCAACCAATGAATGTGGACTTGTAGAAAACTTATCAACTAAAATCACATCATTTGGTTTCTAACTGACCAGCGACATTTTTATTTTACTTGTAGTTGACGTTAGGATAGTTAGTGTAAACTTTGCCAAACCAGTTATATATACAATTACTCCTAAATTATATTTAATGTGTTATTAAACATTAGTTCAATTCCAGGTATAGCTATAATAATGAGTTATCTAAATCAGGTTCTGCTGTTAAGCTCTATTATTAAGTTGCGCTGATAACTTACCATAAATTTCCTCATCATCCTTTAGAAGTGGCCATGCATAGACCTGCCACTCCACTAAAGCTTGTTTAGGTAAAGCAGGCACCACACAGTACTGAATTGCAGGAGTCAATTTGAGTTTCTCCTTTTCAGCAGTGGATACCTGAAAAATAGTAGAAAATTGTAATTTAACATTGGCATGTTGTAAATGTTAAGGTGTACTCAACTGAATAAACTAATACAAACAATACATGATTTAAATAAATGTTATCAAATTACAATAATTAAGGGCTGATATTTGGGCCACAAGTGTTAAAGTTGACATGTAAACAAATCACTTAAGAGAAGATGTAAATCTTGTAAAGTAAGATGGGTTGATTTTCAGTTTCAGCAGACATTTTAACAAACAGAAATCAGATGAGTCACAATATAACTTAAACACTGATAAACTGAATAGGTCTACTTTAAATTTGTTAAAATATACAAACATACAGCTGAACTGACAAGTTAAAGATTATGTGTCATGACATCAAATCTAGATGTGGACCTTACACCCACTAAACCATATAATGTGAAAATCATACATTAACCTAAACCATGATTATGATCAATCACAGACCTTATAGACAGACTTTTTAAAAACTATTTTAAAATGGTCTGATTACCTGTAATGATTTAGTCCATTCCTGCTCAGCAACTTGCATGTGTTCTATGTTGACCAGGTAACACATGACCATTGGACAAGATGAAAGACTAGTGTTGTGCATGACCGACAGGATACTCTTGACATGCTTCAGGGCTACTGCACACTGGGCTGTTATGCCTGCCCTAATCAACTCCAGTGATGCCGGAACAAGGGGGATCATCCCTGCCACATACAACTTCTCTCCTGCCTGGAAAATATAAACTTGTACAATAAGTCCTTCCATTGTTGGGCATTCAAGTAGATATTTACACTCAACATTTTTGTCACTAAGTTTTGTAGAAACAATTGTATAGTAAAAATATTATACTGTAAAGGCCAAGGTCAGTCTATTATACCAGTACACATACCATGACAGATTGACTGTAAGGGCCAATATTGTACAAGCGTACAAGTACACATACCATGACAGCTTGACTGTAAGGGCCAATATTGTACAAAAGTGTACAAGTACACATACCAAAACAGCTTGACTGTAAGGGCCAATATTGTACAAGTTTACAAGTACACATACCAAAACAGCTTGACTGTAAGGGCCAATATTGTACAAGTGTACAAGTACACATACCATGACAGCTTGACTGTAAGGGCCAATATTGGCTGGTGCCCAGTGAGACAGGGATTGCACATGCAGAACATCGTGGTTGCTCTCTGGGTCCTCATCACACACATGACCTTGACAGTCCAGTTGAAGGGCTACATTTCGCGGCAGGTTGGCCTGGATACACAGCCTAAACGTACAACATCAAGACATTCTACAGGTAGCTTGAATACACTGAATACAACATCAAGACATTCTACAGGTAGCTTGAATACACTGAATACAACATCAAGACATTCTACAGGTGGCTTGAATACACTGAATACAACATCAAGACATTCTACAGGTAGCTTGAATACACTGAATACAACATCAAGACATTCTACAGGTGGCTTGAATACACTGAATACAACATCAAGACATTCTACAGGTAGCTTGAATACACTGAATACAACATCAAGACATTCTACAGGTAGCTTGAATACACTGAATACAACATCAAGACATTTTACAGGTAGCTTGAATACACTGAATACAACATCAAGACATTCTACAGGTAGCTTGAATACACTGAATACAACATCAAGACATAATACAGGTAGCTTGAATACACTGAATACAACATCAAAACATTCTACAGGTAGCTTGAATACACTGAATACAACATCAAGACATTCTACAGGTGGCTTGAATACACTGAATACAACATCAAGACATTCTACAGGTAGCTTGAATACACTGAATACAACATCAAGACATTCTACAGGTAGCTTGAATACACTGAATACAACATCAAGACATTCTACAGGTAGCTGGAATACACTGAATACAACATCAAGACATTCTACAGGTAGCTTGAATACACTGAATACAACATCAAGACATTCTACAGGTGGCTTGAATACACTGAATACAACATCAAGACATTCTACAGGTAGCTTGAATACACTGAATACAACATCAAGACATTCTACAGGTAGCTTGAATACACTGAATACAACATCAAGACATTCTACAGGTAGCTTGAATACACTGCCTATTTATACAACTTACCTAACTGGTGGGCTGACATCAAAAAAAGATTTGTACACTTTATTTATTGTCTGAAAATTAGCCATGTCAGCCACATAGAGAGATACTGATACAACATCAGCTATCTTAATACCTTTACAATTCAAAGCAACTGGAATAATAAAAACACAATATCAGTAATAAACACATGTTTTGAATTACCTTAAAAATAGCATAATACAAAAATATCTTATTTAAACTTACTGTACCTACCTTGTACACCAGACACCTACCTTGTAGATGAGACACCACCAGACACCTACCTTGTAGACCAGACACCTTCAGACACCTACCTTGTAGACCAGACACCACCAGACACCTACCTTGTAGACCAGACACCTACCTTGTAGACCAGACACCTTCAGACACCTACCTTGTAGACCAGACACCTACCTTGTAGACCAGACACCACTAGACACCTACCTTGTAGACCAGACAACTACCTTGTAGACCAGACACCACTAGACACCTACCTTGTAGACCAGACACCACCAGACACCTACCTTGTAGACCAGACACCTACCTTGTAGACCAGACACCTTCAGACACCTACCTTGTAGACCAGACACCACCAGACACCTACCTTGTAGACCAGACACCTACCTTGTAGACCAGACACCTTCAGACACCTACCTTGTAGACCAGACACCTACCTTGTAGACCAGACACCACTAGACACCTACCTTGTAGACCAGACAACTACCTTGTAGACCAGACACCACCAGACACCTACCTTGTAGACCAGACACCTACCTTGTAGACCAGACACCTACCTTGTAGACCAGACACCTTCAGACACCTACCTTGTAGACCAGACACCTACCTTGTAGACCAGACACCACTAGACACCTACCTTGTAGACCAGACACCACTAGACACCTACCTTGTAGACCAGACACCTACCTTGTAGACCAGACACCACCAGACACCTACCTTGTAGACCAGACACCACTAGACACCTACCTTGTAGACCAGACACCACCAGACACCTACCTTGTAGACCAGACACCTACCTTGTAGACCAGACACCTACCTTGTAGACCAGACACCACTAGACACCTACCTTGTAGACCAGACAACTACCTTGTAGACCAGACACCACCAGACACCTACCTTGTAGACCAGACACCACTAGACACCTACCTTGTAGACCAGACACCACCAGACACCTACCTTGTAGACCAGACACCTTCAGACACCTACCTTGTAGACCAGACACCACTAGACACCTACCTTGTAGACCAGGCACCACCAGACACCTACCTTGTAGACCAGACACCTACCTTGTAGACCAGACACCTTCAGACACCTACCTTGTAGACCAGACACCACCAGACACCTACCTTGTAGACCAGACACCTTCAGACACCTACCTTGTAGACCAGACACCACTAGACACCTACCTTGTAGACCAGACAACTACCTTGTAGACCAGACACCACCAGACACCTACCTTGTAGACCAGACACCACTAGACACCTACCTTGTAGACCAGACACCACCAGACACCTACCTTGTAGACCAGACACCACCAGACACCTACCTTGTAGACCAGACACCACCAGACACCTACCTTGTAGACCAGACACCTACCTTGTAGACCAGACACCACCAGACACCTACCTTGTAGACCAGACACCTACCTTGTAGACCAGACACCTACCTTGTAGACCAGACACCTTCAGACACCTACCTTGTAGACCAGACACCTACCTTGTAGACCAGACACCACTAGACACCTACCTTGTAGACCAGACACCTACCTTGTAGACCAGACACCACCAGACACCTACCTTGTAGACCAGACACCACTAGACACCTACCTTGTAGACCAGACACCTACCTTGTAGACCAGACACCACCAGACACCTACCTTGTAGACCAGACACCTACCTTGTAGACCAGACACCACCAGACACCTACCTTGTAGACCAGACACCACCAGACACCTACCTTGTAGACCAGACACCTACCTTGTAGACCAGACACCACCAGACACCTACCTTGTAGACCAGACACCACCAGACACCTACCTTGTAGACCAGACACCACTAGACACCTACCTTGTAGACCAGACACCTACCTTGTAGACCAGACACCACCAGACACCTACCTTGTAGACCAGACACCACCAGACACCTACCTTGTAGACCAGACACCTACCTTGTAGACCAGACACCTTCAGACACTTACCTTGTACACCAGACACCTTCAGACACTTACCTTGTAGACCAGACACCTACCTTGTAGACCAGACACCTTCAGACACCTACCTTGTAGACCAGACACCACCAGACACCTACCTTGTAGACCAGACACCACCAGACACCTACCTTGTAGACCAGACACCTACCTTGTAGACCAGACACCTTCAGACACCTACCTTGTAGACCAGACACCACCAGACACCTACCTTGTAGACCAGACACCACCAGACACCTACCTTGTAGACCAGACACCACCAGACACCTACCTTGTAGACCAGACACCACCAGACACCTACCTTGTAGACCAGACACCTACCTTGTAGACCAGACACCACCAGACACCACCAGACACCTACCTTGTAGACCAGACACCTACCTTGTAGACCAGACACCACCAGACACCACCAGACACCTACCTTGTAGACCAGACACCACCAGACACCTACCTTGTAGACCAGACACCACCAGACACCTACCTTGTAGACCAGACACCTACCTTGTAGACCAGACACCTTCAGACACCTACCTTGTAGACCAGACACCTTCAGACACCTACCTTGTAGACCAGACACCACCAGACACCTACCTTGTAGACCAGACACCACCAGACACCTACCTTGTAGACCAGACACCTACCTTGTACACCAGACACCTTCAGACACCTACCTTGTAGACCAGACACCTACCTTGTAGACCAGACACCACCAGACACCTACCTTGTAGACCAGACACCTACCTTGTAGACCAGACACCTTCAGACACCTACCTTGTAGACCAGACACCTTCAGACACCTACCTTGTAGACCAGACACCACCAGACACCTACCTTGTAGACCAGACACCTTCAGACACCTACCTTGTAGACCAGACACCTTCAGACACCTACCTTGTAGACCAGACACCTACCTTGTAGACCAGACACCACCAGACACCTACCTTGTAGACCAGACACCTTCAGACACCTACCTTGTAGACCAGACACCTACCTTGTAGACCAGACACCACCAGACACCTACCTTGTAGACCAGACACCTACCTTGTAGACCAGACACCACCAGACACCTACCTTGTAGACCAGACACCTACCTTGTAGACCAGACACCTACCTTGTAGACCAGACACCTACCTTGTAGACCAGACACCACCAGACACCTACCTTGTAGACCAGACACCACCAGACCCCTACCTTGTAGACCAGACACCACCAGACACCTACCTTGTAGACCAGACACCTACCTTGTAGACCAGACACCTTCAGACACTTACCTTGTACACCAGACACCTTCAGACACCTACCTTGTAGACCAGACACCTTCAGACACCTACCTTGTAGACCAGACACCTTCAGACACTTACCTTGTACACCAGACACCTTCAGACACCTACCTTGTAGACCAGACACCTTCAGACACCTACCTTGTAGACCAGACACCACCAGACACCTACCTTGTAGACCAGACACCACCAGACACCTACCTTGTAGACCAGACACCACCAGACACCTACCTTGTAGACCAGACACCACCAGACACCTACCTTGTAGACCAGACACCACTAGACACCTACCTTGTAGACCAGACACCACCAGACACCTACCTTGTAGACCAGACACCACCAGACACCTACCTTGTAGACCAGACACCTTCAGACACCTACCTTGTAGACCAGACACCACCAGACACCTACCTTGTAGACCAGACACCTACCTTGTAGACCAGACACCTTCAGACACCTACCTTGTAGACCAGACACCACCAGACACCTACCTTGTAGACCAGACACCTACCTTGTAGACCAGACACCTTCAGACACCTACCTTGTAGACCAGACACCTACCTTGTAGACCAGACACCACTAGACACCTACCTTGTAGACCAGACAACTACCTTGTAGACCAGACACCACCAGACACCTACCTTGTAGACCAGACACCTACCTTGTAGACCAGACACCTACCTTGTAGACCAGACACCACTAGACACCTACCTTGTAGACCAGACACCTACCTTGTAGACCAGACACCACCAGACACCTACCTTGTAGACCAGACACCACTAGACACCTACCTTGTAGACCAGACACCTACCTTGTAGACCAGACACCACCAGACACCTACCTTGTAGACCAGACACCACTAGACACCTACCTTGTAGACCAGACACCTACCATGTAGACCAGACACCACCAGACACCTACCTTGTAGACCAGACACCTACCTTCTAGACCAGACACCACCAGACACCTACCTTGTAGACCAGACACCTACCTTCTAGACCAGACACCACTAGACACCTACCTTGTAGACCAGACACCTACCATGTAGACCAGACACCACCAGACACCACCAGACACCACCAGACACCTACCTTGTAGACCAGACACCTACCTTCTAGACCAGACACCACCAGACACCTACCTTGTAGACCAGACACCACCAGACACCTACCTTGTAGACCAGACACCACCAGACACCTACCTTGTAGACCAGACACCTACCTTGTAGACCAGACACCTACCTTCTAGACCAGACACCACCAGACACCTACCTTGTAGACCAGACACCTACCTTGTAGACCAGACACCACCAGACACCTACCTTCTAGACCAGACACCACCAGACACCTACCTTGTAGACCAGACACCTACCTTGTAGACCAGACACCTACCTTGTAGACCAGACACCTACCTTCTAGACCAGACACCACCAGACACCTACCTTGTACACCAGACACCACCAGACACCTACCTTGTAGACCAGATAAAGCTTGTAGGACAGCTAAACTCTCATCATCACCTTCAGATGTGATAGCCTGCACCCCAGATGCTACAAATAATTTGCCATCAGATTTAATAGTGGGATTTTCATCTGAAATATATTGGAACATTTATGGTTTCCTTTTGCTTATGCAGGGAACTGACATGAATTATGTAACTTTGGTCTAGTGTAAAAGAGAACTGACATGAATTATGTAACTTTGGTCTAGTGTAAAAGAGAACTGACATGAATTATGTAACTTGGTTCTAGTGTAAAAGAGAACTGACATGAATTATGTAACTTTGGTCTAGTGTAAAAGAGAACTGACATGAATTATGTAACTTTGGTCTAGTGTAAAAGAGAACTGACATGAATTATGTAACTTTGGTCTAGTGTAAAAGAGAACTGACATGAATTATGTAACTTGGGTCTAGTGTAAAAGAGAACTGACATGAATTATGTAACTTGGGTCTAGTGTAAAAGAGAACTGACATGAATTATGTAACTTTGGTCTAGTGTAAAAGAGAACTGACATGAATTATGTAACGTTGGCCTAGTGTAAAAGAGAACTGACATGAATTATGTAACGGTGGCCTAGTGTAAAAGAGAACTGACATGAATTATGTAACTTTGGTCTAGTGTAAAAGAGAACTGACATGAATTATGTAACTTTGGTCTAGTGTAAAAGAGAACTGACATGAATTATGTAACGTTGGCCTAGTGTAAAAGAGAACTGACATGAATTATGTAACTTTGGCCTAGTGTAAAAGAGAACTGACATGAATTATGTAACTTTGGTCTAGTGTAAAAGAAAACTGACATGAATTATGTAACTTTGGTCTAGTGTAAAAGAGAACTGACATGAATTATGTAGCTTTGGTCTAGTGTAAAAGAGAACTTATCTGAATTATGTAACTGGTCTAATGTAACAGGTGTTACAAACAAACTGATTCAACTCCAAACACGATCCAAGGCACAATCCTTTATTTTTTCTTATCTTCCCCATGACACCACAAGCCCTAGCCCTGAGCCACTACCAACAAGCCCCGTCACAATTGTTCACTCCAGCTTTTATACCCGCATTCAACCTTGGGATAACAATACATAAACACCCCCGGGTTAACTCAACTCACACATGCACTCTTCTTTACGTTTGAGACTATTCTAACCAATTCTAATCTAACCAACAAATGACCTGCAACAACAGGGAACTGACCTGAATTATGTAAATCTTGTCTAAATTACCACAGAACTGACCTGAATTATGCAACTCTGGTCTAAATTACCACAGAACTGACCTGAATTATGCAACTCTGGTCTAAATTACCACAGAACTGACCTGAATTATGTAACTCTGATCTAAATTACCACAGAACTGACCTGAATTATGTAACTCTGGTCTAAATTACCACAGAACTGACCTGAATTATGCAACTCTGGTCTAAATTACCACAGAACTGACCTGAATTATGCAACTCTGGTCTAAATTACCACAGAACTGACCTGAATTATGTAACTCTGGTCTAAATTACCACAGAACTGACCTGAATTATGTAACTCTGATCTAAATTACCACAGAACTGACCTGAATTATGTAACTCTGGAACACACATGACTAGCCCCATAGAGCAAGAATCCCCAGCACCATCCTGACTGAGTTCTGTGGGGTTTGATGCCACATTGCCTTGATACCACCTGATGGATGTCATAATAGGCAGCTGCAGAATTTTGTCTTGAAGTGATGAACTAAACTCCTGTAAAAGAAACTTTGTTAAACATATGCATACCTAAAAAAACATTCCCTTAAGAATAAAATATATTTCTAGATGGACAAATTTCAGTACAATAATACTGTAAATGAAAATGAAGTTTAAAAAAAAAAATCTTAATTTACTTTAAATTAGTAAAAAGGATTTATAGAAAAACACAACAACAAAAAACAGCTTTTTATTAATTACATTACATTTATAAAATTCTCAAATTTGAGACAAACAGACAACTTATTTTAGAGGATATATTTAAACACTTTGAAAGAATAACAACATCTGTAAGAACTTGTCCATTTACCCATTCCTTGTCCTCAAGATGGCACTTGGTTAGGTTCAAATATCCCACAGGGGCAAAAGCATCATCAGAATGTATGACTAGTTTAGTGTCAGTGCTGAGAACAATGAAACTTGTATTTAATACAAAGCTACGAAGCTTAATGTATTGTCATAACTTTTAATAATCCAAGAAATTTGTAACAACAACAAAAAATAAAGCAACAAGGTTTTGTACCAACAAAATAAACTTCTTACTTTTAAACATTCAATGTGTGTAACTATGTTGTACCAGCAAAATAAACTACTTATATCCAAACATTTAGCTTGATCAATGTTTTAATTATGTAAACAATACTTACACAACAATTTTTTTTTTGAACAGGGGGCAGTCAGACACAAAGGTTTCATACTCCCCACCTTCACCACATACATTAAGTCCATACTTAGTTTTCTATAAAATATAAAAAAATTTGAATGTAGTATCACTCAGGCAAATTGAATGTAAAACATTTACAATGAAACTGTTAATTACTTCTAAAGGCTAAGGTAAGAGATAGATGTTTTACTAGATTAGAACTTCTTACAAAAAAGTTATTGAAATATTTTTTTTCTCTTCTATAAGAGAGACGAATGTTTTGCATATACACCGCATCCTTACCATTTCAAGCATGTGTGGTAAAATTTCATCAAGTTCTAACCCAAGATGTTGGTCTGGGACTAAACCTAAAAATGTTGAATGAAAGTCAAATTTTTAATTTCCAAACTTAAAGTAATCATAATTTCTTAAAATGTATAAAAAATGAGCAGAATAAGTACCCATAGCAGCAACTTTGATTATTTTAGCTTTAACTTGACAGGCAATCATTTCTTTTAACAACTCCTCTTGGTCACGCCTCCACAGATAGGCTAGAACAGTTAGTCCAAGTCTGGCACAGCTGTCAAAAATTGTTTGATGCTCATCAAAAATAGCTACTAAACATGGTTATAGAAAAAAAACAAATAGCAAAACTAAACTAAACTGATGTAATGATGTACAGCAGATTTGGAACACTTACACGTTTTCTACCCTAACTCTCTGATAATCTGATAGTATAGCACCAACAGAAACTGCCTCAATTTCTTTTTCAGACTGAAAGTGGAAGAAAGATTAGCAACATTAATTTTTTCCATTATTCAGTTACAGTTAGATCAATTACAGTATCAGCTGATTTAGTTAAACGAATGTTATGTGAGTCAGTCCTCCTTTCACAATCAAAATGTGCTTGAATCATTCAAAGTTTATTACAGATCTGTAAATGCTACATGTTATGTCAATTTGGCAACCATTATTTTTCTGCCTTATTATCATATATTTTCTTATCAATACCTCACCTTGACTTTCTGAAGCAACTTGAACAAATCTTCAACTTCATCATCAGCATTAAGTTTATATGTTCGCTCTGTGGAGAGGCTAGATCCTTTAATAATCCCTGTAAATAATGGCAGGTCCATTGCCTCAGCATACAGATCTATTGCCATGTGACCCACAGTTTGGTACATGTAGCTGTCAATCTCATCTGTGGTAAACAGGATGATGTACATTTTTAGGTGTGAAGTCACAAAAATCTGCATTGTCATCCAAGTGAAGGATTTATTTCATTGACAATTAAACACAAAAATATATTTATTTAATTATTGGCTACAGGCTAATTTATTACAGAGGATGGCATTTGGTTAGTTTATTGTCTTTCTGGATATAAAACCATAAATTATTTTACCTTGTTTCTCAGGACGGAGATTGGCAAGGGCCACAACTGTATGTCCCTCTGCTATACAACACATCATGTTGAAGCAACTGTCCTTACCACCACTGTTATAAAAAACTAATTGATCAGTCCTGTTTTGTCAAGAATTATTGACTAATGTATTATAGTTATAGGCAAAGTTATTTTGAGATCTATGAGCGGTTGCTGAGCCAAATCAAATAATCCAGAAATGGCGCAACCGTAGTCTTTATTGCATTTATTATGATTACAATTTGATTATGATCTTAGGCTACCTTACATTTTGTCTCATTTAGTGTAACATCACACACTCCTCCACACACCACTCCATGTCATAATGATTTAATAATTTTCAGCCATTATAATATGATTATCAGTAGGCTAGCTAATTTTAACAAACTTGCTGATACACTGTTTTCTATGTAAAAAGGACGACACTATTCAGATTCAAGACCTTAGAGCCAATGATGACTATTCAGGCTTGTGTTCATTTGTCCAAACATAATTATAAATAAAAATCAATTAAAACAAAACCAAAATTATATGTTTGCAGTATAAAATATAATGCACTAGCGTGCCTGTCATATGTTGTTGCAAGCTCAAAAGAAAAAATTTAAAAGGACACAACTTTAAAGAGGGATTCATCAACGTATGACCACAAAAGGTAGAGTATTTTTTTAATGAATTTTTCTGTAAATGAATTATTTAAAATAAATGTAGATTCTATATGATGTCCGCATTATATTTCTTGGGTGCAGGTTTGTCTACTCAAACGACTGAATGCCACAAGGCATATGAAAACTTTGAGTGTATCATATGTTGATTACCCTCCATAATGTAACAGTGAGGTAGAACAACCGCAACCCTTGGCAACAGCCCAAGTGTCAGAGGCACTGCAGGTGCTCTTGGGCGCCACAGGTTGCACTACTAAAGGCCGGCTGCTGGTGCGGCTCCTGCTTCAGTTTAGTCAATAATTCATTAATTGCATGAATGTAAAAATGAATTGTACAGTAATGTAGTAGTAGTGAGTCGTAGTGACCCATAACTGGCATAACGGGGGCAGGGCGCTATGACCCAGTCAGCACACATATATTGGCCCAATATTGGCTAAACATTGGCTACCAATATTGGCTACATCTTGGTGCAACATTGGCTTAACCTTGGCCAAACATTGGTAGTGAAACTCGGCATGATGTTGGCGCAATGTTGGCACAATATTGGCTATATCCCGGCTACATATTGGCCCAACATTGGCTAGATCTTGGCGAAATATTGGCTATATCCCGGCTACATATTGGCCCAACATTGGCTATATCCCTGCTACATATTGGCCCAACATTGGCTATATCTTGGCCCAATATTGGCTATATCCCGGCTACATATTGGCCCAACATTGGCTATATCATGGTTACATCTTGGCCCAATATTGGCTACATCTTGGCTCAATATTGGCTATATCTTGGCCCAATATTGGCTATATCTTGGCTCAATAATGGCTATATCTTGGCCCAATATTGGCTATACCTTGGCTCATCCTGTATTATATCCTGGCTACATCTTGGCCCAATAATGGCTTTATCTCGGCTATACCTTGGCTCAGCCTGTATTATATCCTGGCTACATCTTCGCTAAGATTTTGATTTTCAGCATACAAAAAGATCAATTCTCATATCAGTCATAATATTTACAAAGTTAATTTCAAAATGTGAAAGAAATTTTAATCAAAATGTAGTAAAGCAGCAATACATTCACAAAAACTGCTCATTTATTAAAATCTGTATTATACGATCCATTCAAATGTAAGAAAACTATAACTATACTATAAAGTATTGATTGAAAACGACTATGTAAATAATAGTGTAGTAACTTTCATTTTGACTTTTATACAAACAAATTAAAACAAAAATACAAAACATGTTCATATAATGTAACAGATGGTAAGTACAGTTTAAATTAAACTAATGTAAAAACTTAATTTACTGTACAAGAATACAGAAGCTGTCTTGTGGTATCTTACGTAAACATAACATTAAAAATAAAAAGTATAAAATATTTGTCTAAAACAATTACTTGCATAGCTTGTATATTCTAAGTATTCTAATTAAGGTAGATTACAGTTTAATGCTGGACCAGTCTGCCGTGTCCATAAATAACAGAACGAAAATATGTTCAGGATCTCTAGATTATAGTTGTGGTTAAATAGTGTTAAAATGAATGCCATTGTGTATACAAAATGTACAATCTTTCAAAAGACCGATGGTTCGAGGGTTTATATGCACTGTGTAGAACAGGAATATCACTGCAATATTCAATAAATTTGTTTTTTTGTGCCGAGTGTGAGGTATTTAATTATAGTAAACTAAATATATATTAATTTACTTCATTAATTAGAAATAAATATCACCAGCAGAAGTATTGTCAATACAAATGTTGCAACTAATTCTTTAAAGAAAAAAATGTAAATTGTATATTGCATTTCATATAGGGCATTAAATCTACATTAAACATACAATGCCAACTTAAATTATTATATTATTACAAAAGGAAACAATTTATTAATTTACAAATCAGCATTGTTCTTAGACTATTTTGGTAAGAGAATCTTTTCTTTTCGTTAAGTACTTAAATGCAATATGTATCAAACTGTTAACCTGATCCAACTAATCCAAAAAAAATTGAAAATCTGATCTAAAATTATTACAAAAATCAATGTTGTCCTCATTCTTGTTGACCCTTGTGGAGCTGAGAGACACAACCACACCTCTCTCTTTTTATACTTGGTTTTGGGAGATTCCCTAAAGTTGGGTCCATGACATTCTGCCTGCTTGTGCTTTGTTGGTTTCTGATATTTTCCATGTTTGTTTTGGATAACAAACTTTCTCTTTCCTTTGGGATTCAAATCCAATATAAGCCTGGTAGTTGATTTGTGCAAGGTATGTCATAATCCATCCACATTCTAAAAAAGAAAAGTTACACACTAAAAGTCATTTATGAAATAATTACAACTATACACTGCTCTTTTTGCACTAAATCTGTTATGTTTATTTTATTTTGCACTGCACTAAACATACAACAAGAAGCCCCTAACATCATGTTTGCTACTTTGTAACGATATATTATATAGGTATTAAGACTGGTGGTCAGGGGTGTTCATGCTACCCAGGTAAATAAAAAGTGGCTATATATAATTTTAATAGTAGAACTGCAGTACCTTGCTGTGTACACTTATACTGCATATATATATATATATATATATATATATATATATATATATATATATATATGTGTGTGTGTGTGTGTGTGTTATATGTATATTTTTATAAACAAGAGTGAAAAAAAGACCTTGTAATAAAAAAAATAGTATGTATATAAATATTATAAACCCCTTACCCTATGTCTCTGAGTTAAGAAGGTGCCAGACAACCTTTGAGCAATTTCATCAACTTTATCATTTCCGTAATTGAACGATTGGACCCTTCAGTGACCCAGAAGTGATGCTTGTGGTCTGAAATTATTTTACTAATATCAGTAAAGGCATTAACTACACATGCTGATCATTAAATGCAAGCAAAAAATACTAAATGAATATTATTATTCACTTAGAAACAATGTAAACTTACAGTTATTAAGTGTTAAGAACATTTAGTCATCTTCTGGTGTAGCCAGTATTTGGTGAAGTATCAAGCAGTGGGGACCTTATAATTTATTAAAAGATTGATACAGTGGGCTGATTGATACACACAACACCTGGAGACCTGAAAATAAATGGCATTCTTAGTTATTAGTTATTAAATATAATAATAAAGTGAGTGAGTAATACAATAAATGATAGCCAGATTAGATACTCAATTTTTAAGACTATTAATAACAAGGTACTAATTGTGGACAATGATACATCAATACCAAGCGTAATCCTACACAAAACTCCAAAAATGATACTATCATGTTATAGTACATAAGTATCATAAGATTGTCTAAAAATGTCAAGTTCCCTTTCTAGTGTGTGCAATAGGACAAGTTATATACAGCATCTCTGTTTATTTGATCTCTCTATATAAAGGATTGTGTAGTCAGCACTATATCTAGCCACCTTTTTATTTCAGTCTTAAATCGGGTATATATCAGAGTTAGGTGCACCGATGAATGTACTACTAACTTGGTTTTATGTTTAGCAATAGCGTCCTCAACCATTTGACTACTCTGTCCTCTATATGATAATAGGAGTAGTGTTGATCTATAAGTAAGGCTTACGAATAGTACCACCTTACCGCTGTTGGTCATGAAATTAAGTGTTGCTTTGATGTCTCCACACTACTATTTACATCTTTTTCTCCAATAGGAAGCTGTAACAGTAATAGGAATTTGAATGACAATCTTGAATCAATTTAGGATTCTAGTTGACTAAGTTAATTTTTTTCAAAATTAATACCTATCAAAATACACTGTTTAACATGTAGAAATTTGTTCTATAATTGACAATTGTGTCTACTGTTCCTCTCTCTCTCTCTCCATGAATTAATATTAAAGACAGTTTCAAATCCTTACACAAATAGGCCTACTACAATAAAATTCAGTTGTTTTTTTAAGTTAAAGTGAATGATTAGGCCCTATTTATTAATTTATTAACATTTAAGCCCCCCTCCCCCCCCCATGTGCTTGATAATTATACCTAAAGTTGAAAACCAATAAATACATATATCTATCAATAATCAATATAATCCCAAACATACTTGCATACTTTTCAATACACAAAAAAATGACGTCACACTCGTAGGGGAGGGGGAGCGTAATTTTGTGACGGTGTGTGATGAGGGGGAGGGGGGGGGGGGGGGTTCAGATGTTGCGACTTCACACTGTGACTTTTGCATTATAAACAAGCCATGTTAGAAAACTAATTTTAGACGTTATATTGGGTTTTAGAAAACTGTTTTAATAAATTGTAATAGGAATTGATAAAAATACTCTAGATAAATATATAGACAGAGTTCAGACAAGATTTTGGAACAATATCGATGTATTAAGAAAAATTCAACTGCAATTTTGAGAGGGGTTGCAGGCTGAAGTGTGACGTCATTTTAGGGATGGGGGTCTGGCTTTTTGTGACGATGTATGACGGAGGGGAGGTGGAGGTAAAAATCGTCCAAAAAAGCGTGACGTCGTTTATGGATTACCCTAATGGCATGAGGCCAAAATAATAATAAGAATATAGTATTATTAATATATAGGCCTAGATCTAGATCTATCTAGGGCCTATAGGTTATAGATCTAGGCACATTTTATTACCTCAAATAAACTACCTTTTATTTAATGAATGACTTATGAAGTTTCCAACAAAAAAATACGAGATTTCCAGATTCTGTATAAATAAAGTTATACTGCTTCTCACTGTTGAACTAAAATGGCTGCAGTGGGCCTACCTGTTTTACTGTGACTGGATACAAAGTCTTTTGTTAAGAAAAATGGCGAAGGACCGGGATGCTGGCTTGCGAACAATAGGAAGGAATGTGAACAAAGGGACAATGGGCGAGAGGGGCCGGCGGCAGTAGCGCACACAATTTTAAAAAGTTTAACAAAATGTTTAACACATGCAACGTAGTTTGTTATTAATACTATGTTTAAATTAGAGAATGATATTAAAAGATAACTTATTTTAGTTAACATATATTAAGTTTAACAAGCATATTTAACTAAAATTTCTGCAGTGAATACATAAATCAGTGTAATCTTGGCAGCCAAGGTAAAAACGGTTAAATATCAAGATATCAAGGGATGCAAGCATGTACAAATCTTGGCTGTACCCTGGCGTAAGCTTGTCCAGTGTATGGCCAAGATAACCATATTGGGCCAATGAAGGGCCGACCCTGGTATTACATACTGTGTTAGCTGGGGATGCGCCTGGTGCAGCATGATAGTCATTGATAGGGCCTAGATCTAGATGAAGATTGAATCAGGTAAATTCAGAGAGGTTGACCGGTTGTACGCTGACGCCCAATCAGAGTCAGAATCAGCAGATCTCAGGTGAAATTATAAATTATTATAATTTAATTAATAATAAAATAAAAATACAAACCTAATCAAAGCAACCGTCTTCATTTTTCAAAGTGTATTTCGGTTTACTATTGTACTACTGATGCATTTCACATTAGGTTAATGATGGACAAAATGTGGTCTAGTTTGTTACACATACAATGAATATTATAAATATAAACTAACGGTCAGTCTTAGACATGTGTATTTGTTTGGGTGGTGATTTAAAAAATCTCTGCCGGAATGTTATAACGAAATTTAATATACAATGAATATGTGTTTAACTTAAAACTATTAGTATAATTATAAATTATTAAATGAGTCTTTTATTTTTAAATTGTAACCATTATATTCGTATTATGGATAATATTTTTGCTTTATAGTTAGTATTTTAAAGCCTATCTATTTTATATTTATTATTTATTGTAAGCCCTTAACACTTATTTTCCTTCCCCGCCCCAAACCCAATACTAGAAGTAGGAAGTTTACAATATTCAAGCATGCGCACTGGTAACTCCACGTCTTGTCAACAGTAAAAAAAAAAAAAAAAATAGAAGTTAGTTAGGCCTATCCAAGTTAGCCTAGGCTAGTAAAAATATATTGTAAATCTAGTAGACCCCTAACTAGCTCTAGATCTATTATTACTAGGCATAAGCCTGTTAGCTAGACCTAAAATCGAATCTAGATCTAGATCTACTAGTCTAGTACTTGTAATTACAAACTAGATCTAGATCTAGTACTAGACTAGCTCAGCTAGTCTAGTAACTAGTTCTAGTTATAACTATTTACTAACTATAGTAATAATTTAAGAAGATAGATACTTAGAATATAGATAGGCCTATTAATTTATTAAAGTATTAATTTTATTAATATTTTATAATAATATATTATAGTTATAGGCCTACTGTATAGTATAGGCCTAATTTCAAGTGCTAGATCTAGATTCTATTCTATTCTAGAGCTATTTCAATTAAATAATCTGAATCAATAGCATTGTCATTCTTAATCATTACTCAACTAATTTAATAATTAGTCTCATTAGAGATTAGACTGACTTACTGAATAATACTAATTTCTACTATGTTTCTACAGAAGCACTTTATTTTTTCTGAAAGCATGTGATTAGAATGTAGGTAAAGTGATGTGATAAAAACAGTGGAAAGTTCACCATGTCCTGGCTTTCAGCTGTCACTGGAAAAGCTGAGGATTTTTTGAATAAACTTGATCGATCAGCTGCTGATGTGCTACATGCGGATGAGACCAAACCAAAGGAGAAGCCAAAACCTCCTCCTGAGCCAACGCTTATTGAATCCACAGCTGATACTGCTAATGTAACATCTTTATCACCTTCACTCAGTGTACCAGCTCGCTTGTACAGCTTAAAAAATGAAGCTGATCGCACAGAAATAACAGGAAAAGGCACAAACTTTCCACCCAATCCTTTAGCATCTGTACAATCTTCTGGCAAAACAGTAAAAAAGAAAAATTCTGATGAGGCGTTGTTTGACTTTTTAAACAGTAAAGAATCAGAAGCAGGGAAAAAACGTACACCTACAAGCAGCCACCACCATTCCCGCCAGTCAAGTACTTCTTCCATTATTTCATCCACTTCAAAAGGGGCCAAGTTTGAAACTATTATTTCAGATACCCCAACAACATCAGCTGCCAATGTAAAAATACCAGGTAAACAATTATTTGAATGGTATTTTTTAAATCTGCTGTACACTACATATAGTGATGAATTGGTAAAATCACACCATCTTACATAATGATAACTACTACGTCATAAGGGCATTTAAGTTCATCTATAAGACATAAGGTGATATATTAGTACTTTTCAGTGAACAGCCATTTAATCAACTGCTTATCACTGTACTTGGAAAACTCTGTGGTGGAGGAATATTTAGCAGCTGTTTTAACAATCTCTCTCCACAGTCAACACAGAGGATGATGGGCCTCAACAAGGAAGTCCAGCCAACTCACACATATCTGCAGACTTGGATGCAATAGCTGATGCCATGAAGGAGAGCCCTGTAGGCAGTGATCAAAGTGCTCCTGACAGCGATCATGCTGACCTAGGACAGGCGCAGAAAGACAGACAGTTATCTTCCTTGGAGTTGGAAAACAGACTGCTGCGTAATGAAGTGGCCTCACTTAATGATGAGATGGCTAACGTTATCACAAGAGCTAAAGATGCTGAAACAGGTGCATCTAACATTTACTTCTGTCTTATCAGTAGCTGTAGACTATTATACACTATACTATAATATGCTAGCAGTAAACCAATACAATTTCATTTTAATATCATTATTTGCTAGATTTCAATATAATTTTTTTTTCCATTTAGAACTTATAAGAGCTAAAGAAAAACTAAAAACTTATGTAAACTCTGCAACTATGCATGATCAATTGCTACGAGAACTCCAGTCTCGTGAGCTTGATCTAACAGAAGCATTAAAAGCTAAAGATGCACAGCTTGCTGTACTACGTGTGAGGCTTGATGAAGCAGATAAAAGAATTATAAGTAAAGAAAAAACTTTGGAAGAAGTTAAGCATGAGCGGGAAAGGTATAAACATTTTGTGTTCTATTTTTTTTTAATCTTAGGATAAGAACCAACACATGCTTTTTTTAAAGCATTTTTGAAAATTTAAAAATGTTATGGTTTTTGTGTGTAAGTATTGAAGAATTAATAATATTTCCAGAATTTTAAAAGACCATACAGATTCAACAGGCGTCCATGGCCAAGCATTGAATTCTGTGAAGGATAAACTAGAAGAAGTTGAGGCATCTTTACGCAGAGAACAAGCTGCATATAAGCAAGCTCAGGTATTGTTTTGTTACTACTCTACTTTTATTTATTGTGTTGAGTTAGTTGAAAAGCTTATTCCCAATTGAAATATTTACAGCAAGAGGCAGCACAAAGACAAAGCAGAATGGAGCTGGAACAAAAATCAATGGCAGATGCCTTAACAGCTGCTGAAAAAAAAGTTGTGGAAGAAAAAGGTTAGTCTTGATATAACTGATTAAAAAATTCAGAATGCCGATTCTGGAGGATCCTGTTAATGACAAGCTTACAGTTTAATTGGGCAACAAGTTATATAATTGGAGTAACCTTTCAAGAAAAGTGAACATAGGGATTATTTTGTGAGAAGCTAGTTGTATTAGTTATTTTAAATTCTATGATAGTCACTTAAATTAATAGCCTCATCATTTTTATTTTTAGCAAAAATGACGGAACTTGCTGGTCAATTGAAGGCTGCAAAAGTTGCAGCTGAAGCAGCGAGGAAGGAACTCACAGAGTACAAAGATAAAGCCTCTAGAATATTGCAGGTAAGTTTCATATTTGTTGCAATTAATTTTTTCACTGCTAATCATGTTTCTCATGTGTATGTTGTCTTGTTCTCTCACTAGTCAAAAGAAAAGTTGATAGCCAGCTTGAGGGACGGTTCCAGCAGCCCATTAGGTGATGGTGGAGGGGTGTCAACTTTGGAATATGAGTCATTAAGACAAGAGAGAGATATGTTAAGAGAAGAACTCCAACAAACTAAACTGACTATTGACAATTTAAGATCTGAATTACAGGTAACATCATTAATTGATATCTAAATATTTGATTTTTTTTTTAATTATTATTAATGCATAAAACAATTCTGGGAAAATGTTTTATTTTTTAAGGATGCAGAGAATCAACTTCAGATGGACAGCTATACAGCAGAGGAAACCATTCGATCACTTGAAGATTCTGTTAGAGAAGAAAAAAGAAGAAGAGAAGATGCAGAGCAGGAGTTGTTGAAACAGAAACAGGTAATCAATTAAAACTGTTACATGAAATAGTTATTTTATTTGCTGTTTCATTTATATTTGTTTCTTTCATATCTGAAAAAACTGTCTTTTGTGCAGTTTACTACCACAAAACATTTCAAGAAATATTGTTTGTTAATTTAGGAACTTCAATACACTATGGAGGAACTGCATAAACAAAAGGCAACATTTCAGTCACGCATCAGTGATAGAGAAACAGAGATAGAAAAATTAAGGAGTCAGGTATACAAGTCTAATTTAATTAAGTGTCAATTAAAAATTATTTTGTTACTTTTACTCATCAATTTGCTATATAATATCTCAACTCCTGTGTTAAGCTGATGACTAAAAGTATGAGCAGCAGTACAGAAAATGAACTTGAGTCTCGGTTGCGTTCTCTGACTGAGAGCCTTATACAAAAACAGACAGTCTTAGAAGCGTTGAGTACAGAAAAAAACTCCCTGGTGTTACAGTTAGAGAGAATGGAGGTGAGTTATTGCTCTTACATTTAACTAAACCCCTCTTTAGAATAATCATTTTAATTGCTTTTATTTTATTAGAATCTGACCAAACATCTTTGTTTTTATAATTCAGCATCAATACAGAGAGTTGGAAAATGCAATGCCACGTGTAGCAACCAGCTCCCAGCTAGTGGCAACAAATGACCATGATGATGATGGTAAATTTAGTTTCTCTAGATTTCATTTAAACTAAGCTTTTTTAATTCAGACTTTTTTCTTAATGTTACAAAAGAAAAATTAATTAAAATTTGTCTCCAAGAAGTTTCTTTTCTTTCTCTAGTGAGACAGAGACTGCCATTATTTTTACGCGAGGTACCCACAGATCACGAAGTCACAAGAAGAATGAAGCGTGCTGCAAATTCAATCGATGGTGTAAGGTAAGATGCGTTTTTTTAACTACATTCAACTCATAAAGTAACTGTGTTGAACACTTTAGCTCATAACTAGCCTTCCAGTACAAAATTGTTTTTTCTTATGTTCTAATATACCGTCTCATTTTCAGCATCCGTTTAGGCGTCTTTCTTCGTAGATATCCCATGGCTAGAGTATTTGTTGTTGTTTATATGGTAGGTTTTTTTCCTATTTTGTACTGCTATATGCTTTGAAAAATATAGTACTTTATATTATGCAACTCACTTAAGTAAACTTAACAGAGATGTAACTTTCCAGAAGTGGGGATTGGAGGTTGTTTTTTTATTTATATTATGTGTTGGTTAATAATTTTCAACCAACCATTTTTTTCTTCTGTATTTTTTTTTGTGGTAAAAGCACACAGCTCATGCTGTAACTAAATAACACAAAACAATACTGAACACATTTGCTAAAAATAGCATGAGATCCAGACTTAGCAGCCAAATCGACAACAGCTAACTTGTTAAAAAAAAAAACTTTTATTTAAAACCTATTAGTATTAGAAGAGTATATCCATTTGTAAGTATGCATACATTTAAGTGGGGGGGGGGGGGGTTCAATTTTTTTTTACATCTCTTGAATAATTTGTATATTTTTCATTCTGCATATTATTTTAAAGTGTTTGTAGCCGTCGTCAATATTATTAGTTGTTTGATTAATAACGATTAGATATGTTTGTTTTTATTCTAGGCTTTACTTCACTTTTGGGTGTTGGTGGTTATGATGACTTACAAACCTGAGATTCACGAATTGGATTACCACCCCAAAGAACCTGTTCCTTAAATTAAAAAAAGTTTGGGTATAATCATTAAGAACAGAAAAGTTAACATTTTTGGGAAAATAAATTATATTATCTAAGTCAGGGGTCTCCAAACTTTTCAGCCCGAGGGCCGCATTAACTATCAAATATAAGTTCGGGGGCCAGAGTTTCTTTTTAGGTATATCATTGGGGTGGCATTTTTCCAAAGCCACCTACAACAAACATTTTTTTCCGTGGACAAAAATATCTCCGAGGGCCGGATGAGAGGACCTCGCGGGCCGCATCCGGCCCGCGGGCCGTAGTTTGGAGACCCCTGATCTAAGTGAACAAAGTCTTCATAGTTTCAAAACACTTGTATAATGTAAAATGAAATTTTGAAATGTTACATTAGTTCCTTCTTCAGGTTTACTTTTCATTTGTTGAGAAAATAAAATGAATATATATTCCTACTTAGCATTAAATTTTAAGTAACTCATATTTTCCATTTTATTTTATTGTACATTTTGGATCTATATGGGATTTCAAGTTCAATGTTTGTTTTGTTTCATTTAACTTGAATTTAGAATTCAAGCATTTTGGGGAAATATACTTTAGCTGTACAATAGCTATTTTTTTAAACAAACAAAAATCTTTGATCAATAAATAATACATTTTTTGGAAAGTGAAAGAGCATAAATTAAAAAACAAAAGCACTGGCTTATTTCTTTAAAATAATACCGTTGCTAAATGAGTGCTAACTTCACACCATAAGTGGAAAAAAGACCAGTGACTACACTAGTACAAGGTCCACTATTATTTAACCAATCTCAGTTAAATATGCTGCACATATTTCCCATTTAATAATAAAATTTTCATTGTGATGTATCATTTTTAAAAAGGTTTTATTTATTTTTTGTACAAAACTTGTTTTTTAAGAATGAAAGGAAGAGTAAAATTGTATTATTGATTGTAAAACATGTTTGAAAGATAACTCAGTTATCTTACACATTGCTTGAAATTGTTATTTCATAGCTCTATTATAAATAAAAACCTGATGTGTGCTAGTTGAGATAATAAAAATGTCTTATCATATGTGATCTTGCCTTTATATTACAATAAATTATACAGTGGGATATTTTCATTGTTTCAGTTTTTAATTTGAAGAAATTAAGTATAATAATTTTTAAAAAGCATATCGCTCAACATGTTTTTAAATCTTTGAAGATGACTACTCTTGCTAATAATTAAATAATCATTGACTTTAAAAAATAAACCTATGTATCACAGCGTTTACACTGACATGTATATTACACATGTCTAGGGGAAAAGACAGAAAGTGCACATGATCCATAGGAGAAATGTTTTTAAAAAATATAAACTTTTTGTTAATTTTTTCTAGACATGTATACATCTTGCAAGTGGAAACGCAGTATAACAGGAACAAGAAATAAGTCATACCCATGAAAAAGTAGTAGCTGATTTTAATTTGTGACACATAAGAAGTAAATTGGTTTTCAATTAAGAAGGAAAAAACACAGCGGAAATTAGATTGATTATAATAACAGTATTGAATTGTAAAAAGAGAAAAAAATTAAATTCTATTTTTTTGTCTAAAATTTTAGGGTATTATCATAGGTCAAACAATATTGACTAAATCATGACTTCTGGGAGAAAATTGCAGCATCTTGCAAAATCAATGCACACTGATACTTGATCCTCAATTCAGTGTGTGTAATATGTGCTAAAAATAGTTACATTTGTAAACATTATTACTAATGATTTTTAAACTATTTACATGCATGTAATTCCATTTAAACAGTAAAGAGAACTAGCCTATATAAATTGATAAAATTGACAGGTAAACAACAATTACTATAACTAGGAAATTTTATGTTTTTTAAAAGATATGAAAATACAAATTATTGTAAATAATGTAGAAGCACTGGAGATGAGATGAAATTTTAAATGGCAAGCCCTACATCCTTAGCATGTCTTCATCCAAAGAGCTTTCATGAATACCCAAAGCAGGAATGTAAGAAAATAACTAGATATGGGATTGTATGTTACTTGCAATAATTGTCACGAAGACAGATTCTCACTAAATTGACTCAATAGTTACAATGTGATAGAGTTATTTAGTGTGATTACTGCCATGTGCCTTGGGAGAAAGGAAAAGCAAAACCTTATTCAGTATTTTAAAAATTTATCAATTCTGAAAATAAGCTATTTAATTCTGTTTTAAAATGCATGTGATGCTGAACAGTGTGTTAAACTAATAAAATACTACATGATACAACTATTCTCTAAGAATATATGGCTAAGTTTTAAAAAAAACTGTCATGCCATAATGAAACAAAGTGACCCACTTCTCAGTACTGCATCAAGTGGATTAAAGAAAAAGTAAACTGCTATAAATTATCTTAGTTTAATTATATAGTTTAGGTATACGAACATTAATACTTCAGAATGTTAACCCAAACCAAGTGAATATGGTAGGTAGAAATATACTGTAGAACATGTTATTGAATCATACAAGCATCAAGTTTCAAATATTTACAACACATGAATCACAGGTGTTAACAAAAATACTTCATCACACAGAATGCAGAGAATCTAACCAACTTCACAAATGGAAACATTGCCGAAAAATCCCATGTGCCTAATTAAATAATGATTTTTTTTTACATGAGCTCTTTAGCTGTATTCAGCATGGTAGCTGCTAAATAATACAAAATTGCACTCTGTTTACTTCAATGTTTTAAACACATGAGCATAAAACCGAGGCTTTCTTTAGGATTGTCCACATATTACAAAATTGATTAACACAATTCTGGTTCAGAATTCAGCTGTTTCTTGACTTTCAGGAGCAAGTTTGTTATGAATGGGTCAAGTCTTGATATGCTGTCATACTCTTGTAATGCGCTGGTAAACTGATCCACATTTTCTTCTTTTATTGTTTCAAGAAGTTTCTAATTAGACAAAAAAATTGCACACATAAATAATTGCCATACTTGTATAGAAAAGAAAAGGGAAATTGCAATTAAATATGTACCTTTACAAGTTTACACTCTCTGGAATCACCAAAAGCTGGGAACATTTCCTCATATTTTTTAACAGCAAGCACTGCATTTTCTGTGTCCATGCACATGTGACAGATTGAAGCTCTAAAAAAATGATCCTTTGCACTATACTTCAGCAGGGAGTTATCCATACAGGAAGTAGCTACCTAAAATGAGAAAGGTCCAAAAAATGTCATTTTATTTTATGTAAAAAAAAACTTTGAAGGTATAGAATATTTAAGTTAGCATACATAAATTATTTTAAGTATAAATGAAAACAACTCTTAGAGACACAGAAAAATGTTTAGAAAAAGTGGTTTAAAAAAATGTTGAAAATATACAAAAAAATGTTTCCTATAATGATTCACAGCATTAGTATATATAGTCTAATAAGGCACAACCACCTCAGTTTCATAATCCATTATTTTGCTTTATTCATCACTCATCAAAAATGTGCTATTTTAATACATTTAGATACCATGACTTAATTACCCACTGAGATGTGGACTTTTAGAACAAAAACGCTGCAATATAAATGTAAACATTTTGTATGAAGGTTAAAGATTTTTTGTTTGTTGTAGTACATAAGTATATTTGAAGGTAAATTCAACTTGTGGAAATCCAAACCAGAAAACCACCCTTTCCCCTATCATGCTTACAATTGAAGATTTTTTTTTACCCCCTTTCCATGCTAAGCCAACAAAAAAACACTCCAGGTATTCTGACTCCACCTGGTAAAAGTCAGCATTAATATATAAAGAAGTTGTAAAAAAAACAAATGTGCACTAATTTTTCACAAAAATGTTATAGCTATTTTTTTAAAAAGAAGACAATGAAATTAATATATTAAAATGGAAAAAAAAATTAATATTGTAGCTGATTACCTGTTCATAAATTTCGATAGCCTTTTCATATTTTTCTAATATTGCAGAAAATTGGGCAACTTTTAGTAAACACTTGTTTGCAGAACTGCAAAAATGTTTAAAATAAAAAGTTAAATCCTTTACGATGTTTTGAGATTAAATCTTATCTTAAATTTATTAACAACAATTTTATAAACGCACACTGTGACAATAACTAAGATATCCAACTTACCTATTTGACTCCTCACCTTTATAGTAATCGGCAGCCTGCTCATAGTTCTGCATGGACTAAAATATAAATAGTCCAGTTATATTTTGGGGTTAATTTTGTAACTAAATTATTCTAAATATATAAAACTATAATCTTGTTTAAAGAAACATATTTGAAGATACAATACAGATACTTAAAGGAAAATACCTTTTCTGTGTCGACTAATTCACTTTCATAAATTTCTGCAACTGTTATGTGATGTTTAGCAGCAATGTTGAATCGCCCCTGTGATAACATAGACACTATTTTTTTAAATCAAATACATTTATGTTTTGATAATAGTTTAAGTAAAAGAAGTGTTTAGTGAATTGGTGTTAATAAAATAAATGTTTCTAAAGGTATTTTTTGCAGTTTAATAAAAACATTTTTATTATAAGAAAAACATACCATATCTGTATAGATTTCTATGGCCTTGTGAATTGCACTAACTGCAGCTAAAAAGGGACAATACATTTTTAGACTTACACCAAAAAATTAAATTAACATTATAGAATTTTATTTTTGTTTCTAGATAACTTCAAAAAGTTTTAAAAAGTAAAACAGAAACAAATATTATTCATATCTCCCAATATGATTAAAAGCCTAAAAGGCAAGTAAAGCCTGCTTAAAATACAGTGGAATTAAAAACAAAAGCATTTCCAAACCATTAGGGTCTCCCTTTCTATAGCAATTTCCAGCATCAACATAGTATGTTGCACCTTCATGCTTGCTCCCCATAGCCAGTTGCAGATGGGCCGCTTCCTCAAATGCTTTACCAGCCTCTAGAATTGAAAATAAAATATTTTAAAAATTCTTTTATAGTAAATAATCTACAAAAGTTGTAATAAATAAGTGTTACAAATAAACACATTTTATCAAGCTTTAAAAAGGTACTTACGAGGCCATTTTTTTGCCATTTTAAAAGCATTTGCTGCTCTAACATACAGTTCACATGCCTCTTCTTGTTTAGAACTTCCACCACTGAAAATAATAGAAATAGACATGTTTTACCAAAAAATCCAAAGTAACTGGTAAAGAAATATCGTTCGCATTGTCAATGGATGGTCTTTTAACTAACTTGAAATCATATCAAAAAGGGAAAAAATATAGTTTTCAAATAGGCCTATAGTATAGAACTATAAAGTCTATAGGCTACAGAATAGATCTATATAATTATATGATAAAAATAAAACCAGAAACACCTATTGTTTAGTCTGGGATCATAACAATTTATTTAACATCATGTTATTTGCTAAGTAGGTAATCTAGTGACTAGTCTGTTAGTTTTAATTATAATAAAATAGGCCTGCTGTAAATTTTGAATCTAGTCTAGATCTAGAATGTAGATCATCTAGTCCGAATCTAGTGTCTTCTAGATCTAGATTTCTAGATTCTATAAAAACACTGAAGATAAAACTATAATTTTAACAAAATAAGGATAGGTCCATAAAATTAAGGCAATAGTATAAGTATTTATTGTAAAATGGTGTTATACCAATGTTCAATAGGCCTAATAATATGGAATTATTGTAACAAGTGGTTAACTAATACTAACATTTTTCATGTCAAATCTATCCTGAACCCAAGTCCTAACCTGACCTAATTTCTGACCCTTAACTAGTGTACTAAGAATAGTCTCAGTGTGGTCAAAGTGCGTAGTGTAGGCTATGAACTCCTTTTTAGTTGGATTCTTAATTTGAAAATTTCTTAGTATTCTAGTTCTATTTAGAATCTAGAAGCCTGGCGGATATAATATAGTTAAGTAGGCCTATATAGGGATAGAAGTATTCAATGCGTCATTTGTCATTTAACCGTAACCTCACTTTGATAGTGATTGTCATTTCTTTCTTTATTTTCTTACCCAAACAAAGATGAAAACAACCCCTTTGCCGATTTTAATTTACTCTCTGCCTCCGCTATTAACTGTATGGCTTTCTGCTCTTGATCTGCCATTCTCTACAAATAATGAGGCAAATTTTATTTGATTGTTACTTTAATGAGAATTTTTTTTAAAATTAGACCTAGATCAAGATCTACATAGAATGATAGAATCTAGAATATAGAGCCAAGTGTCATCAACAGATTGCTATTAATACGAAGATTACTAATTTATATACAGAGAGAGAAACAGCAAAATACATCAGTTTCCGGTTGGAAGCGCCGCCCACTACCAAGGGAGGCTAACACTCATCATAGGCTCAAAAATCCGAATAAATCCGAAAAAAATTACCTAAAAATAACCCGATGTTTGCGTGAAAATTAGTATTTAGAATGGGCCATAATGTTGTCAACGTCATTTAAACCGAGTAATTAAAAAGTCAAACTTCTTTCAAAATCAGGTAAACGCTTGGGGGCTATTAAAAGTTAAAAACTAATCTTTCATCAAATAGGGGAGGTCGTCCATAAATGACGTCACACTCGTAGGGGGAAGGGGGAACGTAATTTTGCGACGGTGTGTGATGAGGGCTCAGATGTGAAGTGACGTTACACTTTTGCATTAGAAAACTGCAATGTTAGAAAACGAATTTTAGCCGTTATTTCGCGTTTTTTTAAACTGTTTTAATAAACGGTTTTAGGAATTGATTAAAATACTCTATGTTGACAGAGTTCAGACAAGATTTTGGAAAAATATCAATGTTTTAAGAAAATTTCAACTGCAATTTTGAGGTGGGGGGGGGGGGGGTAGGCTGACGTGTGACGTCATTTTAGGTGGCTGTCTGGCTTTTTGTGACGATGTGTGACGGAGGGGAGGGGGTAAAAATCGTCAAACAAAGCGTGATGTCATTTATGGATGACCCCCTTAAGAAAGAAGAATTGTGCACACATTAGAATCGATGGGACATCTTCTACAATTGCCTTTTGGGATTTATTTCAAGCTTGTCTGTAGATGCTTGGTATTGTTTCCAGTCTTACCTTAACTTCCTTATTTGGTCTAAGGTTGGCATTACTGAATGACCAGCGAATATGTAGGAATTTTTCTGAGGCACATGCTGTGGAATAAACCCTACCTAACTCTATAAACTTTGGTTGTCCTAGGTTTTTCTGTTCCATGTAAGAAACATACTTTACATTGGGAAGTTGATTTTGCAAATCTTGGCTATCAATTGGAGCCCTTGACAGGTCCATATCTTAAGGTTGATGAAGGCAGCTCTTGTTTGATTGCACTGCGCCTGTTTCCCAAATTGCTTATCTGTAATGCTTCCTCCAACGGGACTTCCATCAACTTACCACTGGTTCCTTATTCGTCTTTAGTTTGTGAATTTCCTTTTACGCTCATAATAGCCTATTATTTTAGTTAAAACAAAAGGGTTGTTAAGGCCTCCTCTGTCAGGTCATTTTCTAGTATTAAAATTAATAGTAGAGTCTGCGATAGAGGACTATTTCATAACCTTACCCATACCATAATCATAGCAATAGCTTTGAATTAACGGAAACGGCATTTGTGACGCCACGTGATATTGGGCTATTTTACCACAATTCTACTCCAACAACACAAAATGTCACACCCTTAATTTTTAATGTCATTGAGTTCAGGGCAACAGGTAATGTGTAAACACTTCAATCATGTCAAAATACAGGTAATGTGTATACACTTCAATCATGTCATCATACAGGTAATGTGTAAACACTTCAATCACGTCAAGATACAAGTAATGTGTACACTTCAATCATGTCCTGATATAGTAATGTGTATACACTTCAATCATGTCATGATACAGGTAATGTGTAAACACTTCAATCATGTCATGATGCAGGTAATGCATCACTATAAAGTATAGATATTAGATTTTGTTTGTCTTGGGTTTTAAAAATAAAAGCAAATAATTGTCGGCCGGAGTAATTTTAAGTCTGACAGTCTTCATCGTCACTCTTCTGTTGACTTATCTTCATCATGATTGTTTTAATATTCCATTAAGGCTAGACTTTATCGATTTTTTACAAAATGTATCGATTATTGGATGAAATAAATCTAGAAATAATGAGTCTGACAGAGTTTATTGGATGGCTTCCCCTTGCTGAACCAATGACGCTTACAAAATAGTTACACGATGTCCTTGAAGAGATTCTTACGTCAATATTTTCTCTATACAAAATACAAATAAAATTGTGCTTTATTTATTTTTGACAACATTAGCATTATATATATATATATATATATATATATATATATATATATATATATATATATATATATATATATATACGATTGTCGATTAGGTTGCTGCAAGACGTCCACATCTGGCCTAGTATACACTTAATTCTGTGTACTATTGAGTCCACAAAAACAAGCCCCGTACAATATCTAAATCATGTTATAGGCCTATATGATTGATTTGCTGTGAAAGTATCAGTATTGTGGTTGAATTTGTTGTTTTGTTTTAATAACGGTATCATTATTATTATGGCCTATAATGTTTGACATCATTTGAACACTTCTATAACAGTCTATAAGTCGAAACTGAGCATCGTAGCAATTTTGAGCTTAAAATAAATAACTAATAAATAATATGTGAAATATTCAATAGGATAAAAGGACGGATAAAAGGGGGTGGGAGTATAATGTAAAATAGTGTTTTTAAACAATTCTAAATGGGAAAATTGTATACATAAAGCAGCACAATTGCACGGCCGACAATAGCTGTAACTTAACCTAAGACAACTTTCATTTTCGGGATCTATGATTCCCTTCCCCTGGCCCCACGAACACAATATCCTACCTTTACACCACTGGTTAAGTCTACACAATAACATGTTGATGACAATACCGAAATAAGTAACCGTAAAGTGTCGTCCATAAAAAAAAAACGTTCCGTATTTTATCCCCCACCCCACAAGGAGCCTACTCATCTAGTTACAAGTCGCCACAAACAATCATCATCGTTTCCTTTTTGTGCCTAAGACACATGGGGCCGCCACAGAAAGCTCCTCTACTTTGTCAGTCAACGGCAGTTTTCCTGGCAGTCCCCCATAACAGTCCTGCCTCTGCCAGCTGCCTTCTAGCAGTCCCCCATAACAGTCCTGCCTCTGCCAGCTGCTTCCTAGCAGTCCCCCATAACAGTCCTGCCTCTGCCAGCTGCCTCCTAGCAGTCCCCCATAACAGTCCTGCCTCTGCCAGCTGCCTCCTAGCAGTCCCCCATAACAGTCCTGCCTCTGCCAGCTGCCTCCTAGCAGTCCCCCATAACAGTCCTGCCTCTGCCAGCTGCCTCCTAGCAGTCCCCCATAACAGTCCTGCCTCTGCCAGCTGCCTCCTAGCAGTCCCCCATAACAGTCCTGCCTCTGCCAGCTGCCTCCTAGCAGTCCCCCATAACAGTCCTGCCTCTGCCAGCTGCCTCCTAGCAGTCCCCCATAACAGTCCTGCCTCTGCCAGCTGCCTCCTAGCAGTCCCCCATAACAGTCCTGCCTCTGCCAGCTGCCTCCTAGCAGTCCCCCATAACAGTCCTGCCTCTGCCAGCTGCCTCCTAGCAGTCCCCCATAACAGTCCTGCCTCTGCCAGCTGCCTCCTAGCAGTCCCCCATAACAGTCCTGCCTCTGCCAGCTGCCTCCTAGCAGTCCCCCATAACAGTCCTGCCTCTGCCAGCTGCCTCCTAGCAGTCCCCCATAACAGTCCTGCCTCTGCCAGCTGCCTCCTAGCAGTCCCCCATAACAGTCCTGCCTCTGCCAGCTGCCTCCTAGCAGTCCCCCATAACAGTCCTGCCTCTGCCAGCTGCCTCCTAGCAGTCCCCCATAACAGTCCTGCCTCTGCCAGCTGCCTCCTTGCAGTCCCCCATAACAGTCCTGCCTCTGCCAGCTGCCTCCTAGCAGTCCCCCATAACAGTCCTGCCTCTGCCAGCTGCCTCCTAGCAGTCCCCCATAACAGTCCTGCCTCTGCCAGCTGCCTCCTAGCAGTCCCCCATAACAGTCCTGCCTCTGCCAGCTGCCTCCTAGCAGTCCCCCATAACAGTCCTGCCTCTGCCAGCTGCCTCCTAGCAGTCCCCCATAACAGTCCTGCCTCTGCCAGCTGCCTCCTAGCAGTCCCCCATAACAGTCCTGCCTCTGCCAGCTGCCTCCTAGCAGTCCCCCATAACAGTCCTGCCTCTGCCAGCTGCCTCCTAGCAGTCCCCCATAACAGTCCTGCCTCTGCCAGCTGCCTCCTAGCAGTCCCCCATAACAGTCCTGCCTCTGCCAGCTGCCTCCTAGCAGTCCCCCATAACAGTCCTGCCTCTGCCAGCTGCCTCCTAGCAGTCCCCCATAACAGTCCTGCCTCTGCCAGCTGCCTCCTAGCAGTCCCCCATAACAGTCCTGCCTCTGCCAGCTGCCTCCTAGCAGTCCCCCATAACAGTCCTGCCTCTGCCAGCTGCCTCCTAGCAGTCCCCCATAACAGTCCTGCCTCTGCCAGCTGCCTCCTAGCAGTCCCCCATAACAGTCCTGCCTCTGCCAGCTGCCTCCTAGCAGTCCCCCATAACAGTCCTGCCTCTGCCAGCTGCCTCCTAGCAGTCCCCCATAACAGTCCTGCCTCTGCCAGCTGCCTCCCCGCTGTGCGCCCCGGCGTCTTCATTGACTTTCTTTTTCCTTGAGGCGTCCAGTTTAGCGCCATCCATCACCATCATCTTTTTTCAATTACTTCGGAAACTCCTTCCATTTCTATCCCTGAGTCTCTGCTAGTAATGGTGTTATGTCAGTGTTTGTCATTTATCCCCCGCAAGCAGTTGGGTGAGTCCAAGCATATGGCGTCATTTATGGACGACCCTTACTTTTCAGCTTAAGCTTGCCATTTTTAATTATTAGGGTTTTTTTTTTTACATTATGGAAAATTTATTTTAAAATTCTAAACTAAAATAAACAACAACAAATGAGCCAATTGCAGTAGGGAAATGCATGATTTGTGGTGCATCAAAAAGTATTTTACTTGTGATAACACAGAATATGGTACAGAATAGCCTACTTAATATGTTGTTAACGCAACATATTTTACAGAACAAGTATGTGCTGATACAGAGAACACGTATGCTATTACTACAGAATATGGTACAGAATAATATGTTACAAATGTATATAAAAAAATATTAAGTTTCTTTACGTTTTTCTAAATTGCCATTTCTAGTTTCGCTAGTTGTGTTTCTTTATTGATTTTAACGGTTCTTCAAAACATATTCTAGTGAACGATTTGTATAAAACATAGAGGTGAGTTTAAGTAAAAGAATCAAAGGTTTCCACCAGATTGGCGACGCTATTTGATAAAAACTTCCGGATGACTCTGAAATGAAAGCAAAATAATAAAAATTAAAATTAAAAAAAACAACCAACGAGCAAAGCAGTGGTTCAAACTAGTGGTATCTGTGTCCGTTTTGTCTCCGATGGTTCACCAGACCAAACTCAAACCACCTGAAGTCTCACCCATTTTTGTATGCTCTTTGTTTCCCGTAATTAATCTCCCAATGAAGCCTGCTGGTTTTCCTCTCCTGTTGCTTCATCTCGGTTTGTTTCGTTATTTTGTTCCGGACCAGAGCCCGAAATTTATGACCGACGTGCCTGATCCGACTTTTGAGGCCAAGCAACACATTTTCCGACGTCTCTTTTTGGAGCTCTGACCAGGGAATCCATCGGTTGGTCGAACAGTTGTCAGGACGAAACCCCAGACTGTGGTAAGTCTGTGGCAGACGGCACGGAAAGTGGGGACAGCGCCCGTACAGCCCATGATCACATCGTCGAGAGGCAAGTTCTCGCCTAACAATTTCTCTTCTTTTATTTGGACCACGCTGGGGCTGGGAAAGATCTAGGCAAGAATCCGATGTGCCGCTTTCATAAGCGGAGAACGATTTCCTTCCTGCTGAACAGTACTCTGATCTTGGGTAAAATCCCACAGAGTTACGGGCCTTTGGATGACGTTCAGCAGAAATTTCATTTGAAAGATTTTCGCTTTTGATAGATACATTTTCCAGCGATTTCTTCAACTGTTCCATGTCAAATGTTACACGCGCCACAACTTTCTCACGACGTTTATCCAGCTTTGTAATATGCTGTAGCAGACGTCGCTCGCACATCTGGTTTAACTGATTGGTTTTCATTGTTAGAGTTAGCCCAGTTAGCTCATTTAATTCCGTTTGTTTTCGGTAGCACATCAACTTTACAGGCTTATTTTTGTAGCTACTTAATGAATGGGTAAGCAGTTGAAACGAGTGAAGCTACGGTGTTAAAACAGAGGTTTTTTTTTTTGTTGATTCTCATTTGACATTAGTGTTCAAACATTTGTAACTCACTTTTTTTTCACAATGTCCACACATTTGTAAATCATTTAACTTTAGTGTTGTCCATAATTTAAACATTTTAAAATCACTTTACTTTAATTTCCACACATTTGTAAATGATTCAACTTTAGTGTTGTCCATAATTTACACATTTTAAAATCACTTTACTTTAGTTTCTACACATTTGTAAATTCCTTTAAAAACCGAAAAGCACAATAGCACAGATTTGTTCACCCATTGCGTCTCACTACCCATTTCCATAAATGATGTCAAATCTGTCTATGATTGCAACAGACCGACAATAAAGGTGTCCAAATAATAGTTAAATCTTAAATATAATATCTCAAATAGATTGGTTTTCAACCAACAGCCGCGTTATATATTTTCACTCATGAATGTAATAACCGGTCAAGGAACACTCGTGCCAATCCTGGCGAAAGTTCAAGCAACGCTGTTAACGAACTTGAGTCCCATGAGCAACAGTTTACCAAACAACCAATCGATTCAGCAATAAAATGGAGTGTGGCTCTAAAAGGGCCCATAAAACAGGACCACGGGCACCGTACCGCAGTACTAAAAATGCTATCTGGCAAAACATAGCAATAATTTATCTCTTTCAATTTACAAACTAGATCTAGATACGTTTGTGTGTGATAGTATTTAAGAGAAGCTTTAAAAAAGGAAAGAATGTTGAGAATCCACTTACTTTTCTGAAACATTATAGGTAGTAATTTTTAAAAATACAACTCTGAGGGGAGAATGTGGGTGTTTTGGCTCTGTAATAATAAGTTATATTATAATGGGGTGCCATAGAGGGCGCTGTATTGGGATGTGAAGGGTAGGGAGGGTTGGGGGAAATTGGATGTGTATTCTGTGTGTGATTTGCACCTGATATGCCGTGATACAGTAGGGGTCAAAAAATTATTTAATTGGCTTTCGAAATTGTTTTTCATTGCTACATTTGTGATTTCTAAAATAACCATTCGGCCTATATTAATGAGTTGGAGTTGATACATTTTTTCCCGGTTAATACATCAACACCTAAAAAAAAAAAAAAAAAACATCCTACAGTTTCATAGGCCTGTTTAAAATCGGTTGGTTTGATGATAAACTCATATGTGCAACTGAATGTTTCTGTTCTGCAAATGAAACCCTAATTCCACTGTACAATTTAGACTTATGATAGTAATACGCGATAGGTAAAAACATATAATATGGTAAGTATTTGATTTTGTTCTAGATAATTTAGGGAAGGAGTAAAATAAAGCACCCTTTCAGACTAGGCGACCCATTGACCCATTTGATTTTGTTCTAAATAATTTAGGGAAGGAGTAAAATAAAGCACCCTTTCAGACTAGGCGACCCATTGAGCAGATGAACCTGAGTTTACCTGTTTCTCAAACCTCGGCAAATGAAACGATTGTATGGTCAGCATAATTCTCTATCACCTTTACATCTCTAGATCAAGTCAGGTACCCACCAGACCTGGGTGGACGCAGTACGTTCTAATACATATGGACTCGAACCGACAAACAGAAGTCGAGACTTTCGGCTTGGTAATCATGCAAAATGAGTAAGAAAGAGGTTAGCTTCAAATGTGTGTGCGTTTGTGTGTCTGGCTACTTCATACCTGTCTTCGCTTTAAAATTCTCATCATCTACAGTATCTCGCCGTGAAAACAACGTCTACGAGGCTGACCTTTGTCAAAGGTGGATAGACACATTCCTTCTACTTCCAAAAGCTCTACACCCCAATACGCTAATGCCTAGAAGAAACATCCGATATTGCCTATATATTTCTTGTGTTACTCAAAAGGGATAAAACGACCGATTTCATCTTCAATTGATCCATAGAGCATAAAAACATTAGTCATGTTTCATTCTCCCGGCATATGATGAATTGTGTGGACAGCAATAGCACACTCAAACCTGGGAACTGAATTCAAGTCTTTTGGGTTAGCTAACATACCGCCAGACCCCGCAATGTGGGGGGGGGGGCAGGACGTTTAGGGGCCCAGTTCCGACCAAAAAACAATGAATTTTTTTTTCAAAAATTATGTTTTTCATGCATCTTGAAAGTGGTTTTGTAAAAAAAAAATAAAAAAAAAACTGGTCTACTATAGCAGAGATTGTTGCGTAGAAAAATATTTTAAAATCTACAAGAGCTATAGTTTGAACGGCAGGTAAACATTCACACTACTTCCATGACTTACTGCCCTTCTTTAAAATAGGGATGCCCACGAAGCTCATTTAAATAGTTTTGTACTGTGTATATTAAAAAGCAATTGATTCTCTGAATTGTTACTTAAATAAGACGTATTATACAATAGTATAGCTATAAAAATCAATGTTTTCAAAATTGATATTATAAAGGCAAAAATGAAAAAAATAAACATAACGCGATAAACCATTCACGAATCAAGCTAACGTCTTTATATATTTTTGACCAGCATGATTATTATACTTTTAACTCACGATGAGTTTGGACTAAATTTTTTCTGGTTTGTTCTCTCAGAATGGTTATATATTGCAATGAAGTAGACTAAATTACTCAGTTAGGAAATAGATTATATATATATATATATATATATATATATATATATAGGGGGCCCTAGTTTTTTCTTTGCGGGGGAGCCTTTGATTTCTAGTTCCGCCACTGCATGGTGCTCTATCATATTGTTTCTGGCCCTTTTGTTGGCCTCCCCTCCTCTACCACGCCTAGTTACTCATGTGACTTGAAATAAAAATTTTATAATGTTAGTAGCGCCATATTGATTAATGAATAATTGTATCAACAAATGAAATGTCATTAAGGCAAAAATTACCAGCAAAACATTGAGAAATGTTGGAATCAGCTTGTTGGCTGTTATTTTAAAAATTGGCTCTGTTACCATTGAATTTAGGGGAGGGCAGACTGTTGAGAGAAAGGTGCAGGTTTCTCAATGGTTTGCACGACTGTGCGGCAACGCCTTAGTGTTATTATTACGAATGGGGACAACCCCCCCCCCCCCTCTTCAGTAAGAAAGGAATACGGGGCCTTTTTGGAATTTTTAAGAAAATGTGTGTGTATATATACAGAGTTTCTTCCAGGCATCTCTTCGGGGGGGCGAAGCCCCCCCGAAAAATTTTTACCGCCCCCCCGAACGAAATGAAATTTATATAATGTATATAGAAAATATATACTTTTAACAGTGTCCGCCCCCCCGAAGAAAGTTTACCGCCCCCCCCGAAGATTTCAAGTGCCCCCCCGGAGAAAAAAGTCTGGAAGAAACACTGTATATATATATATATATATATATATATATATATATATATATATATATATATATATATATATATATATATATATATATATATATATATATTCTTTTACTTTTTACAATTGTTTATATAAAATAAATATTAAAATTCCAACGTAATAGTTTTATATTTTAAGAGGGAAAAGGGACTCTGTATGCCTTGATCCCCTATGCCTTGCTTACGTTAGCTATACGGTAACTACACCACTGGCGATTACATGTTTTTGCGCCTCGTATGGATAGCGCTCTAGTTCGCCTTATAGGTAGCGCAGGCCCTGCTGGCTTTTTATTAATTTTAAGAATGTAGAGCTAGGTCTACAAGAAGAAGCTTCTAGATCTATTAGGCTTTTGTGTGATCATTAGAAGTTAGAAGGGGGAAAAGTATAATTTATTTAAGTCTTATCTATCGTTTGAAAAAAACTGCCGAAAGTGCTAACATAAAATAAGTCCTAAATTTGTTAACGATTATTTAGATCTATATAGACATTTGCATTAGTAGGACTCTAGGCTACATGCCGCCGTTTTCATTTTTCAATACTTCCTGTTTTGGCAATACCCAATAATCGCCCTACAACAACACGAGTTACAGCCCTTAGATGTAACGGGAACTGGGTAATCCCGAGAAAGCTTTTACGTGGCAAGCCTTCACTGACTCAGCTATCGATCGGCTATGACGCAGGCCTGCTGTTATTATGGCATCATGTTAGACGTCATGTTTTTAGCATTAAGTTAAAGACATTATTTTCATTTTGAAATTAGTCTATAGAATTTTAAACCGGCCTAATAATGTGAAGGTTTACGATTTTGCAGATACAATATATAAACGCATACTTAACTGTCGGCCTGCTAAAATACTATGTTGAACGTAGACTATAATAAATAGAACATAGCCATTGAAACATGTCTAGAAAAAAAATTAGTCTAAATCAAAAGTGTCACCATTGTCCATAGTAGACCCGTGCCTATTGATATGGGCTGTAGTCTAACATAAATGATACTTGTAGCATCAGTAGGAAGCGTCTCAAAAACTAAAGTAAGTAAATCGTCTCGTCACGTTAAAACTATGATAGTAACAAAATACAGATGTAATTCCACATCTTACCTTATAACTATAGTGGTTGGCCCTACTATAACGATTTGATTATTTACAAGGCTGGGATACATTTATCAGACCCTTAGCTCTGGGTAGTACCGATTACACTATATACGGATTACCCAAAATAGTATATTATATTGGAACAGTTTACTAAAGGGAAAAAAGCATGCTAAATCCACCCACTATATGACATACATTGATGTATTCCCCATTCAAGCATGTGCAATAGCGATAATTAATTAAATAGACTAACTGATAATGAATAAGTTTTCAGTTAGCAAATATAATGTGGTTAATAATTGCGATTGCGACGAACAACGTGTATATCTAGATCTAGGTCCTATGTGTTAAGTAGCCCGTGTCTTTTAATACTGTGTAGTTTCTCTTTGGGCAACACATATTAAACATTACAGACTCCCATGCACCTACGCCTAACGTTTTACTAGTTGTTTGCATATGTACTCAACCCGCAGTGGGTTTTCCCCCTTTACAGTGGCTTTCAGCCAATGAAAAATTGCGGAACTAGTGCAGCCTTCCACAGCCTGACGGGAATTTGACGTTTGCTAATTTTAGATTCATTCTTGAGGAAAAACCCGTGTCCCAGCCATTTTGGGAGCCAGAATCAGTACGTTGGACATATTCTAAAACTGATTTTCCCTAACATTCTTAGTTACTGGACTTAGCCGGGATAATATAATTATTATCTCAGGCTTATAAAGTTTGTTTATACTTGGTATAAACATTCACTATCAACTAAGAAATGAAGCGAACTAGGGTAAGTTACTTAAAAACTTGCTTCGTTTAACTAACTTCAAGTCAAGGGCAGATCAGAGGAAAAAGTAGAAACTGGAAAGTTAAAAAAAAAGTAGACAGACTAGATCTAGATCTAGAATCTAGACTAGATCTAGATCTAGATCAGACTAGATCTAGATTTCTAGATCCTAGACTATTACTAGACTCAACATTAGCCTAATACTTATATAACTTAGAGATGTAGATTCTAGAATCTAGAGATCTAGAATAAGAATCTAGATTCTAGAAGAGACTATTTCTAGAGACTAGAGTAGAGAGATCTACTTTTAGGACTTAGACGTCTAGTTCGAGACTCAAGATCTCTAGGCTACAACACGTACAAGATCTCGATTCGGTAATCTATCGTTTTAAAGGTGTGTGCAATCGGGTGTCCGATAATGGAATCTTCTAGGGGTGTTAGGCACTGTTAGGTTACTGAGTTATTATTAGGCTAACTAGGCCTAAATAGTAAAATACACACATGGCTGGCTAATGTCAATGCTAACCCTGTCCCTAACCCCAACCCTGGTCCTACTGTGAACGGGTGAATGGATTATTTATTTTGTATTATATTTTTGTGTGCGAATCTGTGCGTGAATGGTCAACTGGACAGCAGCTACGGGGTTTCCCCTTCCGACTGAAGCGGGTATATAAACCGACTGACCGCTCTGATATTTTTTTTCAGGGCTTACACTACCATACGCCTAACCCTAATTTCTAACCATAAAATTAGTCGAGATTGCAATACTACTAACAACCCAGAACACCTATTTTATTGAAGAGTCTATTATCGGACACCAGTACCTATAATCATCCAATCGGCCGAGGCTAGTAATGTGCGAAAAAGTTGCCTCATTGTTTAGAAGAAGTATATTGTGATGTAGGACTATTTGTGTCAAATATTATAGATAACTGAATAATAAACCAAAATCGATGGCTATATATATATCAATATAGGCAAGAAATTAACTTTAAACAGCAGTGTTTGCAAGCAAGATTTGCTATATAAATAGTATTAAACAGCAGCCATCTGTAAGTTAGAGTGGTTTCCCCTGAATTACTGACTAATTTAATTTTACCCAAAAAAAACTTCAACAAAATGGCTGCTATAGTATATGAGCTTGGCTGCATCAGATGAAAACATTGCTACTCTTTATTTTTTACTGAAAAGTTTTAATACAATTGTTTAAAAACAGGTGCATTAATGAAACTTTGAAATATTTTTGTAACTTTCAAAACATACATCATCCTTAAAATGTGAAATAATTACTGAAATTTAACGAGTCACCCTTTTGTCACATTACTAGTCTCTGTTGATTTTACGTACCTAAAACAATAGAATACCCTAGATTCTTCTAGTCTACAACTAGATAGTCTATCTAGATCTCTAGATCTAGAATCTAAGTGATCTAGAAGAATTTTATCTAATCTACATCTACTAGTACTAGATCTAGTTAGAGGAGACAAAATCCTGATTAAAGAATAGATTATATGCCTATTATAGAACGTATTCTAGTTCTAGCGGATCCAACAATCTCCTTTCAGGCTCTTACATAGAAAATTAATTTACTTACATTACTAAGTTACTTAATCTAGATCTAGATTCCCATGATATTTCGAGTCAACTCTTTGCATTCCTGGCAGATTGAACCCCCCTGACTGGCCTCAACTAGAAGTAAAAGTAAAACCAATGCCTGACTAAAATAATAAAATACTAAGATTGGATGTTGCCATTGTCAATTTTGTGTTATTTGTTGTGTTGTGTTATGTCATAATATGCAGGCCTAATAAAAATAAATTGTGTGCTAGATATAGGGCTCTATTAAAAATGTGATTTGTCAAGCACATTTTCACTTTATTACTTTATTGTTTTAGGGCGGAAGTGTTACCCGTGGTACATCACAGAAGCTAAAAATGGTGAAAAAAGAGACTATACATGATGACGGAGAAGGTATAATTAATATTTCTTAACCACATTGATGTAACTTTATCCAATTTGTTTGTAGAATAATATTTAGGGCCTGTAAAATCTTAAATTGAATTAAACTTTGCATTGTATTTGGGAAGCTAGTTAAACATTTGGTATACTGCAGTACTTGTGTTAAAAAAAATCCAACAGATATTGAAATATAACTAAATTCACTATACCAAGATCTGTATTATTTTAAAATGATAATCTCTGCTTAAGCGAGCAATAATGAGTTAATGAATCTAATATAATATGAATAATATAATGCTTTGTACAACTATTAAAAATATTGCTTTAATTTTTAAAATAGATTTAATTTATTTTTCTGAGTTTTGATATTTGATAACAATTTCTAAAAATAATAAATCACTGTGGTGTATTAATCATTTGTATTGCAAAATGCACTTACACAATACATGTTATTAAATTATAATGGAAATAAGTTTTGAGATTACTATTATGTATTTTTGTGATCAAATAAGTCCCAAGAGGGATGTGGTGTTAACCTAAATTGGACAGTGATAAGGAAAGGTAAAAATAATTTAGAGTGACAGTGGATGACCCTTTAATCTTATTTTTCTTTGTATATGATGTGTTATATATGTTTTGCAGCTTGCAGTTACCAGGCAACATTGTCTAAACCATCAGTTGAAATAGTTCAGTGCATAAGTTACCAAAAGTTTCGCTATCATGGTGAGAACAGACCAGGAAAAAAGTATCAGGAAAAGGATTTTATGACTCTGAAGGTATAATCCAAATTCATTTCTGATATTTTTCATTTCAGCATTATATAAGTAATATTAACAGGTTCCTTAAACTTAATGTCAATTGTTAGAATCGCTATGATTGCTGGGATCTTTAAAAAATCTGTTTATTGTATGAAATTATCATGTATAATCTTTTGCCCTCAATAAACATCCTTTTTGAAATTGTGTAGTGATAAAAAAAAATTATGATTTTTGCTTACACATATTTGACCTTGTTCACAGTTCTCAAACTACTTTTAACACAAATTAAATTTTGAACTTTCAGCTAAATAACTTGTCCGATAAAGTTGTTCGGGTTGTAATTATTTGCACTGATGCTGACAATCGAGAATTAATACATCCTAATGGACTTGTTGGTAAAGATTGTCATGATGGGATATATGATAAAGAATATGCAATTACCAAGCCCAGTTTTATAATAAAGTAAGTTATCTTGGGTTATATAGTATTTTAATACTACCATTAGCCTTTGGTTTATATTGCAGAAACATGTCAAAATTAACTCATTTGTAGCAGGATGTTTACAATTAAGTACCAAATTGTTAAGTTAGCATGCACAAAGAAATTCCTAAATCCTACGATATTTCTACATGTATGACGTATATCAACAATTTAATATATATATATATATATATATTTACATATATTTAATACAGACTGATAAAATACATGTTTCAAACAAATGTACATGTTTTGATTGAAATATATTTCCTATAATTTTCATTAACAGAATTCCATATCTACGCACCGAGCGTATAAAAACCAAGAAGAATGAGCACGCCAAAATCCAAAATGTTTTAAGTGATAGAGCGTCTCATCTCCCTTCTCCTTATAAAGGTAAATGAAGTGTATTTAGCTGTATTTATCAATGTCTTTTTAAAGTACCCACATTCGTGGTTGACTGTTTAAAACATTTATTTATTGAGTTATTTTCCTCTGAATTTAGAACGATGTTTGTCACAATGCACGGATAAATACACATCTTCAAGAAAATTTGACACCACTAAAGTGTGTTTGGGTGTTATTGTCACAGTGCAGAGCCATCAAGGGCCATTTAATGGATCTCTACATGCTATAAGTCATGTAGTTAGGAATGCTAGTAAGTAATGAAATAGTAAATGATTGTGTTTAATACATTAAAGTTGTTCTATTTAAAATTTGAGACCCTTTAAATATACTTAATATATATTTAAGTAAAAAAAAATTTAATTCAGGTGAAAAAACATCTTTGAACATATTGAAGTTAAGTCAGTTAGACATTTCTGCACTTACTGGGGGAACTATTGATATTTTTACAACTGAAGATGGACCAGGGATAGAGCCAGGTTAGTAATAAGTGATATTTGTTATTAGTTCAATTTAACTTCTTTACACTTCTTTAGTTATATAATATAGGAAAAGAGAAATTAGATCTGTACTTTTCTAAATGTTAACAATTAAAGTAAAAGTCTTGTTGATTGTCTCTAGCATGTTCCATAGTTCCTCACTTTTGTTAAGTACATGAGATTGTCTCTAGCATGTTCCATAGTTCCTCACTTTTGTTAAGTACATGAGATTGTCTCTAGCATGTTCCATAGTTCCTCACTTTTGTTAAGTACATGAGATTGTCTCTAGCATGTTCCATAGTTCCTCACTTTTGTTAAGTACATGAGATTGTCTCTAGCATGTTCCATAGTTCCTCACTTTTGTTAAGTACATGAGATTGTCTCTAGCATGTTCCATAGTTCCTCACTTTTGTTAAGTACATGAGATTGTCTCTAGCATGTTCCATAGTTCCTCACTTTTGTTAAGTACATGAGATTGTCTCTAGCATGTTCCATAGTTCCTCACTTTTGTTAAGTACATGAGATTGTCTCTAGCATGTTCCATAGTTCCTCACTTTTGTTAAGTACATGAGATTGTCTCTAGCATGTTCCATAGTTACTCACTTTTGTTAAGTACATGAGATTGTCTCTAGCATGTTCCATAGTTACTCACTTTTGTTAAGTACATGAGATATAATTCAGGAATAGTTAATTGATACTCCACTGACCAGACAGCTTTTCATCTGCCTCACTGATTCCAAAAATATTTATTTTATACAGTGAGTTGTTAAATGAAATTTATAACAAGCTATATTTCTTGTTTCAGATAAATACCTAGTTTATGTTACAAGTAAGACAGATACAGAGGAATGGATGTCTGAAAAGATTTGTCCAGCAAAGGAAGACATTTTATATAAACGAGTAATTAGTTACCGTGTTCCTAACTTTTTTATCAATCCAAACCTTGCAAGTGAAACAGATGCACTTCTTCATCTTGAGTGCCCACAAAGTAATCAGTACTGCAATTACAGATTTAGATATGTTCCCCATGGTAAGTTTCTAGCTCTCCTTTTTATTTAGTAAAATTGCATTAAAGTATTTTAGCCTGTGAGAAATTCATAGAAGCTGTTAAATTGCTTTTTCACAACATTTATTTCTGTTTATTCAAATTATTCTTTGTGTTCTCATAATAAATAGAATAATTATGGTGCAGTGTCTTAAATTTTTAACATGTAAAGCAGTTCATCATGTGGAGTTTTTTTTAAGGATAACAATAATGATTTTACAAAATAGTGGTACAAGTTAAAGTTTGTGTTGATTAGTACTAACAATATAGCTTAGTTTTCTAAGGGATAGGTGTACACCTAATCTTTAAAAGTAAAGATGTATTTTTGTTGTTCACACTGAACTCTGACATTTTGTTTTGATTCTCATTTTTTAATTATTGTTTGTTTAGTGGCAGCAGGGATTGTTTTGACCAGTGACCAAATATTTAATGGACGCAAACACTACATTGAGCATGACATAAAGCCTACCAAAAAGAGATGTAAGTTTAATAGACTTAAAAAATACAGAACTTCTGTGTAATGGTTTCGTTTAGCAATGATCATTTGTAATACATTGTATTGTAATATACTCCATTTATTAGTTTTCCACTTTATTTACTTTTTAAATGTGCATATTAACCATGATTAATAAGAAATTATGTGGTTTTTTTTAGTGAGAACTGATCCGTATGAAGGTGAGAACAGTACAGAGGCTATTAAAGCTAGCCTGAAATCTAAATTAGAAGCCCGTCAAGGTAATAACACTGTTATGATATACATAAATTGATTATTATAATTGTCAGACATTTCGTTTCATGCAATGCTTAGTTATTTGTAAATGAAATAATGTTTATTTCTTTTTTTTTTCTTCACAGAGCCAATCTATATTGATGCTCAAAATGAATCTCAAAATGAATCAAATCATTATATCATTGAGCAGCGTCAACAATCCCAAGGTTTTAATCAAGAACACACAGTGCTGATTCGTCACCAGGATCCTAACACAGGAGAGTCTTCCTATCTTCTTGATATGGATGCCAGTAAAAATCTTAACAGCAGTAACCACCAGTATGTTTCACAGTATTCAATAGATGCCAACTCAAATAGTGTTCTTCAAGGAATGGGAAACATTAGAAATCGGGGGTCCATTTACCAGACATCCCAAGATGTACAGGTTGTTGCAACTGGATATTCAGATGATGTTCCCCCCAATACAACAGTTCTGATTTACACTACAAACGGAGATCATGTAGCTATTGACAGTGGTTCAAACGAGCAAATGGTAATTCAGGAAGTTTCTGATGAAGAAGAAGCAACTGCTTCTATTGTTATGACTGGAGAAAGAGTGAAAAATGTTAATGTTATAGAAAACAATCAGCCAGCTTCTGCTTCTAATGGCCATTCTGAACAAGTTATCAGACGAGAAATGATAATGGAAAAAAGGGTACCTAACCAAAGTAATCCTCGTGCTGCAAAGGGTTTGAACCAATCTGCATCTGGTCATATGGCTAATGAAACAGAAAACAGACGAGCTCCCTATAGTGGTGCAGATGTTAACCCAACTCTTGCCTCTGGCAAGCAGGTAGCCGGTAGGTACAGCCCAGCACCTGCCTCTTCTCCATCTACCATACCACCATTACGAAGAATGTTGATCCCAAACAAACAGATATCAAGTGCTTCAGCTTGGGAAGTTGGAAATGAAGAAGATCAGGATGAATCATACAGTCTTGTTCAAGATATGATGCATGATTTCAACAGAAAATCTGTTCTCATTAAAGAAGAACCCGTTGATGAGGAATTAAATAATTCCATTACTAAACACAGCCCACAAGTGTCGAATTATCAACCACGTTACATTGCTCAGAAACAAATGTACCATGCAGAAAACATTGCAAATAGCCGTCTTGGCTCTGATCGATCATCAAAAGACAGTGAGCAAAATAAGTCTCAGGAATTCCCAAGACTTGACTCTATGGAACTTCAAGGAGCCATTGCCAATTTACCCACAATGCAAGTTATGGATCTTGCAAATATGATTGAACAAGGTCTCCCTTCAACAACAGAAAATGTTGAAGTCTCTGGTTAGATGTTTTCATTTGTTTTTACTCACTTTTACATTATATACTTATTTTTGTTTGAACATTTCCATAAACATTCAAAGGTAGGAACTTGAATAAATAAAGACCTAGTTAAAAGAAGATGAGATGTGCTTTGTGCTGTATTAATAACAGATTTATGATTTTTCCCTGGAAATAATATATTATGATATAAATTGTTTATAACAATGATATCTCAGATTTCTGAGATTTGTCATCAACATATTTAAACATTTTTTATGACTTTACCAATCATTTATTATCTCTTGTTTTGCAGTTTGTATTGATATATGTGTTTTTCCCCCCGTACAAATATTGCTTTATGTGATATACATGTGGTAAAAAAGATAGTAAAATGAATGTTGTATTGTATAAACAAATGCCTACTGACTGTGATGAATGCCTTAAATTTTGTTTTGGGTTTGTTTGTTTTTATTGGGCAGCATCTTACTTTAACAAGACATACTGTAAATATAACTCCTTTTTTGTATATAATAGCATAAAAAGAGGCAATGTAGTTTGAATTAATACATTGAAATTTATTTTCATTGTCAAAAACAAAATTATTTGCTCACATGTTAAAAAGTAAATAAAAAGTCCTGTTGAAAAATCAAAGTAAACATTTTCAATTAAAATTCATATTTCTCTGTTTCATAGCCATATTTAAGGTCATTATATCATAAGGTTTTGGGCAGAATTTATGGGTTTTTGGTAGATTTTTAAAAGATTGGATTGGAAGAGTTGCATGTGTGTTTTCAGACCTAACAAGCACTGTTATAGCCTGTACATATTTTGATGACATTGGTATAAATACATATTTTATTGTCAAATGAAAAGAACATCTTTATATAGTTGTGATTACAATTTAGAAAATTCATAACATCAACATACTTGTTCCTGTGAGATTTTTATATATATATTTGTATTCCCTGTGTTCAAACCAGTTTTATAGAAAATTGTAAATATGCCGTTTTTCCAGTGAAATGTCAATCCTTACAGCCACCATTTTATTTTACAGTTTCAAATTATAATTAATATTTAAAAAAATAATCCTAATTTTCTGAAAGACTCATGAGAAACTGTTTATTAACATGTGCATACTGTTCTTGTGTTAAATTAAGTTGAATCAACATCTTATGCAGTAAATTTATGATGTGATTTATTCTCCCAGGCTAAGAGTTTTTTGTAAAATAGTAGCCTACTACAGATCTGTTTAATCAATAGTCATATTAACCTTCATCACGGTACAATTGTAAACATTTTTTAATTTTGATGTTGAATGGAAAATAGCCAATATTCTTTTAAAAATTTTTTCTTCCAAATTATGTTTCCTGGTGAAACATTTGAGCTATTTTTTTGTAGGATACTAACAAATCAATGGGATTTGTTTCATTTTACTTGCACTACTATTTTACATATGCATCTTGATTGTATATTACTTTTTATTATGTGATGCATGTCAATTGTACATAAGTATAAAACATGTTGGTTAAATAAGGTTATCTTGTACTTTAGCATGTTGATACAATACTTTTACGTTGAAAGTTGTAACTCACTTGTATATATTTGAATAAATTAAAAGTTTTAACACCTAATTTTTTAGTGTGAATTGGTATTTTATTTCTTGCTTTTTTTTTAAGCTTTTAAAATTCAACAATCATATTGTTGCAGATTTTACTTCAAATTAATTTCATTTCTGTGCAATTATCAAACCTAGCCACAGATTTTCTGTTTGGAATAATTGTTTTTAATGAAAATTAAGCAAACCAGTATTAATTTTAATAGGTGTAGTTAAACTTGATCACATTATTTTTAAAAAAGTTAGTTAAAGAAGGTAAAGCTGTTTTATTCAATTTTTATGGGACATCATGTTTGATGTTTGAACATAGGACTGCTAAGTCTTGAGTCAGATTCCGGGCTAGATGTTCTTAAAATCATTATGGAACATATATATATATATATATATATATATATGTAACTAGGGGAAGTTACCAAGAGACATAACGTGTTACAGTCTGACGTCACAGTGCAGGTGTTGGCTGATGCCAAGGCGTAGTATCTCGGGAAGCGATACGAAAGACGGTCTGTCAACTTTGATGTGACAGGATGCAGGTGGCTTATTAAAATCGGACTGTACGACAGAAGCGGCGTAATTAACAGTCTGATGTAACGATTAGAATCGATTACAATTACGATTATGATAGGACCGAATATGAGTACGATTATGAAGGGGATATAAGGAAGGCGACGGCTGAGCTCGCGGAGTCTCAGAAGGTCTCTCAGAAAGTCAGTCTCTCTCAGTCGGTCGGTCAGTCTCTCAGTCCGTCAGTCTCTCTCTCTCAGTGAGTCTGTGTGGCAGTATCCAGTTGGTTATATTGTGTTAAGAAGGACGTTAGACCTGTGTATTCAGTTAGATGAAGCCTAGTGAGGACTGTTGGGGGTCCGTTGATTCAGACTATTATTGTGAAACATCTCTCTTGATTCAATATATTATTGTGAAACATTCTTTGATTCATGTAATAAAAGGATCAATAATGAACCTGCATCTTCGAGTATCTATGCTGTGGTCAATGTTGTGTGGAATGAGTGGTTAGACTCGGGAAGGTCACATTTGGCGTTGTCGGCAGGGTAGCCAGAGACTCGTTACATTTGGCGCAGCGAGCAGGGTATGCAACTTGCCTAGGTAACATTTGGCGCTGCGACCAGGATGAATTCAACGAGACTTGCCGCTTGAGGCACCCATAGTCAACCTAGTTCATAACTGTGTTTAGTGTGTGTGTGAATTCGGACATTCAGGAACAGTGAAAATTGAGGAACGAGGAAAATTTTTTCATACACACACGGTAAGAAAGAACTCTTTTTTTTTTACTAAAGGAATAAAATGTCTACTCTGGACGAGAAGCAGACCCATATTGTGGTCCTGCCCAGAGAGTCCCACATTAACAAATTTTACGGGGACGGTGATCCAACTTTAACCAACAGGTTCAGTGAGGAGGTCAAAGCGGCCTGGGCCTCGAGAAACATGTCACCAGAGGAAAGATTAAGACTGCTGATGGGCAGTATAGGAGAGACGGTTAGGGCAGAGGTCAAATGCCACGATAAAACCGTCCAATCAGATCCAGATAAGGTGCTGGATCTAATTATGGAGACCTTTGGGGAGAGACGGTCGGGATCGCAACTGCTATCGGGGTTCGTAGGCGTAAAGCAGAGAATGGCGGAGAGTGTGATGGAGTATTCACACCGAATAAACAGGGCCTTTGATTCGGTAAAGGGCAAAACACCTGACATTGATGTACGCCTACTGAGGGACCATTTCATCGAGGGGCTAGCAACCCCGATCTTAAGGAGAGAGTTGAAAGAGGAGGTCCACAAAGACCCGCAGTTGACCTTCCTTCAGGTCAGGAACTCAGCGATCCGCAGGTCCGAGGATGAGGACCAATCGAACTGTTCGGTGGACAAAGTCTCGGTGCCGGAACAGAAACAATCCCCACCCACGGGGACCGGCACGGTGGAAACCATGATGGCTCAACTGTTGGCCCACCTGGATAAGGTTAACCAAAGATTGGAGAGGTTAGAAAGCAGGTCAACAGCTGAGAATCAGGAAAAGAACGGGACAAAACAGAGACAGGTTGGACGGCCGCGACCCGCCGGTCCATCGCTCCGGTGGACGGCTGACGGTCGACCAATTTGCTTGTCCTGTTCACAACCCGGACATATGGCACGGTACTGCCAGGGAAACGGTCGTCCTCTGTAAGGCAGGGCCAGGCTACAGAGGGGCGAGGTTATGGCCCAAGAAGCAAAATGATGGGAGTCTGTCCCGAAATGGTGATTACGATTGGGGACATCGCGGTGAAGGCAATTGTGGATACAGGCTCCCAGGTGACGACAATCACGGAAAATTTTTACACCAAATGGATGAAAGGAAAAGGCCATAGGTTGAAGTCTGACACATGCATGCGCCTGACGGCAGCTAATGGACTAACCATTCCATACTGTGGTTATTTTCTGGCGGATGTCGTGGTGGCGGGACATAGGTTGAAGCAGGTTGGGGTGTTCGTTACGAAACACAACCTAGAGACAAATGTGTCAAATATACCTTGCCTGTTGGGCATGAATATTCTTGGCCAGTTGCCAGAATTTCTTACAAATATTGTCGGATCGACCACACCAGGTCGGGGATCCAAGTTGGCCAGCGGAAAATGGACTAGTTCAAGGATTAGTGGCAAATGTTTTGGATGAGGAAATTTTTATACCGCCTAATACTCTGGTAGGAGTACCACAGAACGTCGAGGTACAAAGGTCGGCACAGTGCATCGAACTGAGCAATACCAGCAGTAATGAAGTAACAGTTAGGTCGGTCAATGTGACGGCCGAGGTGAAGAAAGAGGATGGCCGATCATATACATTCCCGGAAACTGAGGACCCAAAACTAAATGAATTGTTGAATAAGTACAGGGATATATTTGCCTCGTACGAGGGTGATTTGGGTTACACGGAAGTAATAAAACACCAGATACCCTTACTACAAGACAAGCCGGTGGCGCAACCTTATCGAAGATTACCACCGAGTCACTACTCTGCGGTGAAGGCACACCTGAACGATCTACTAAAAAAGGGAATTATTACAACCAGCACTAGCCCGTATGCGGCACCGATAGTAGTGGTAAAAAAGAAGTCAGGGGAGATAAGACTGTGTTGTGATTACCGGAAATTGAACAATATCACAAGAAGGGATGCATTCCCCTTGCCTCGTATTGATGAATGTCTTGATGCGTTGGGGGGAGCAAGATTTTTTTCTACCTTGGATTTGGCTAGTGGCTACCACCAAGTGGCCATGCACCCCAACGATCAACATAAAACTGCATTTATTTCTCCACTGGGACTGTACGAGTGGACCCGTATGCCGTTTGGTCTAACTAATGCACCTGCTACATTCCAGCGAGTAATGCAGAGTGCTATGAGTGACTTTCTATTTCAAATAATGTTGGTGTACTTGGATGATATACTAGTTTATTCAAAAACTTGGGAGGACCATCTAGAAAGATTAGAACAAGTGTTTCTCCGTCTTAGGGAGATAGGAGTAAAGCTGAACCCAGACAAATGCTGCTTCGGTCTGAAATCGGTACATTTTTTGGGTTATGTGATTTCGTCGGATGGCATCGCCACTGACCCAGATAAAATTGCAGCTGTTAAAGAATGGAAACAGCCAACAACTACAGTAGAGGTCAGATCATTCTTGGGCTTTGCTTCCTATTATAGAAAATTTGTGCCTGGTTTTGCAAAAATTGCCGCACCATTGCATGACTTGGTAAACAAAATGACAAAGAAACACAGTAAGGAGAAAAAGAAAGGTAAAACACAACGGATAGGTGAATTATGGACTGATGAATGCCTGAACTCGTTTAAGCTATTGAAAAAGGCTTTGACAGAGGCGCCGATATTAGGATACGCGGACTTTGACAAACCATTTCGGCTAGAAATTGACGCCAGCTCTAAAGGTCTGGGAGCTGTGCTATCACAACAACAAAAGCAAGGCTTCAGGGTTATTGCTTATGCCAGTCGAGCTCTGAAGGAATCAGAGAAGAACATGACAAATTACAGCGCCATGAAACTAGAACTGTTGACATTAAAATGGGCTGTGACGGAAAAATTCAGGGACTATCTATTAGGTGCTAAATGTGTGGTATACACTGACAATAACCCCTTGAGTCACCTAAAGACAGCAAAGTTGGGATCCATCGAACAGCGATGGGCAGCAGAATTGGCACTCTTTGACCTAGAGATAAAATATCGCCCGGGGCGGTCCAACGGCAATGCGGACGCCTTATCAAGGAATCCTTACGAGAGACCGGGCGATGAGGAAGAAACGCTGACAGGAATATGTGAGGTCAGAGCGTCAACAGATATCCCTCACGGGGTGCAAGTGAGGCAGAACGGACAGACCGGGGTGGAGCACATTTCCACAGAGCCCGGACATATGGACATTGGTGATTTTAGTTGCCTTAATCACAAAGAGATAAGAAATGCCCAGAGAACGGATAGTGGCTTACAGCCGCTGTTGAAACACGTACAGGAACAAAAATTCCCAGGAAGAAGGGAAAGAGAACAATTTGGTCGAGAAACAAAGAAAATACTGAGTCAGTGGGACCGTCTCAGTATACAGGATGGTGTTCTCATGCGGAGAATTCATGACCAAATTGATGGGACAATACACCAGGTGGTGGTGCCTGGACAATTACGAGAAGAAGTGCTAAGGTTGGCACATGACAGGGCAGGACACCAGGGTCAGGACAGGACGCACAAAATATTACGACGGAGGTGTTACTGGCCCAATATGGAAATGGAGGTCAAACGCCATTGTGAGGCTTGTGTGAGGTGTCAGCATGCGAAAATGCCAGTTGTCAAAATGAGACAGCCATCGGGACACCTATTAGCGACAAAACCACTAGAGATTGTGGCTATGGACTTTACGTCGTTGGAGCAATCATCGGATGGGACGGAACATGTGTTGGTAATGACTGATGTTTTCACCAAATGGACTGTGGCGGTGCCCACACGAGATCAGACTGCCAAAACAGTGGCAAAGGTCTTAATAGAACATTGGTTCATCAAATATGGCATACCAAGACAATTACACTCTGACCAAGGAAGGGCCTTTGAGTCAGAAGTAATTAACCAACTGTGCAGCCACTACGGGATCAACAAATCTAGAACAACCACATTTAATCCGAAAGGAAACGGACAGTGCGAGCGGTTCAACCGCAGCATGCATGATTTGCTGCGTACGCTAGAACCTGAACAGAAAAAACGTTGGCCTGATTTTCTCCCAGAGTTGGTATATCTATACAACTGCACACCCCATGCCACAACCGGCTTTTCGCCATACATGTTGCTGTTCGGACGGGAGGCTCGATTGCCCCTTGACTTGTTCCTAGGAAAAAAGGAGAGTATGACTGGCTCATACACTGCACTGGAATATGTGAATGAACATAGGAGACGAATTAGAGAAATGTACAGGGTAGTACAGGAAAGACTAGAACATGAAGCACGGCGAAGGGAACCGCCGGTACAGACAAAGGACCCGCCACTCAAACTGAACGACAGGGTATTACTGCGTAGCCACCCGTTAGGCAGAAACAAAATCCACGACCTCTGGGGACAGGAGATATGGCAAGTCGTGGAGATGCCTAAAGTAGCAGGTGGCCCCTTTAAGATAAGACCCATCGATCACGCCAAACCGGATCGGTGGGCGAATATTGCTCAATTAAAGAAATATTGTCATAGTCAAGAAGAGCAGTTACACACAAGGAAATCCAAGACAATTAGGGAACCGGAAACTATAACGGAAATTCTCATACCCATCCCGGAACCATGTCACCATCAACAGAACAACAGCGACACACAAGGGGAGGATACCGGCAACAAGGAGGATCCCGGTCCCTCCAAAAGCAGAGAGACAGTAGACCATCAGATAAGTGGTCCGCGGAGAAGTTTGAGAAACAGAAAGAATACGAAATTTTTTGTCAGCAACCATCAATTCTTTCATGGTCGCGCTGGTATGAAAACAGACTGTTCAAAAAGTCATAAAAGTGAACTGGTGAAGGCACCAAACGAAAAAAGGTGGATGTGAATTCTAGAACTGTTTTGTGTCTGAGGAAGATGATGTAGACACATTGGATATGTGAAATAGGGATAACTGTCAATCTTATACGAATGTGACGACATTGACAGTGAGTGGAACAATGGATTTTTTTTTACGGTGGTGCGATGGACTTTGAAGGACTGCACCTGCCAAGCGTTGTTTGTGGTTGATAACACACAAAAAAAGGCAGGGGTGGATGTAACTAGGGGAAGTTACCAAGAGACATAACGTGTTACAGTCTGACGTCACAGTGCAGGTGTTGGCTGATGCCAAGGCGTAGTATCTCGGGAAGCGATACGAAAGACGGTCTGTCAACTTTGATGTGACAGGATGCAGGTGGCTTATTAAAATCGGACTGTACGACAGAAGCGGCGTAATTAACAGTCTGATGTAACGATTAGAATCGATTACAATTACGATTATGATAGGACCGAATATGAGTACGATTATGAAGGGGATATAAGGAAGGCGACGGCTGAGCTCGCGGAGTCTCAGAAGGTCTCTCAGAAAGTCAGTCTCTCTCAGTCGGTCGGTCAGTCTCTCAGTCCGTCAGTCTCTCTCTCTCAGTGAGTCTGTGTGGCAGTATCCAGTTGGTTATATTGTGTTAAGAAGGACGTTAGACCTGTGTATTCAGTTAGATGAAGCCTAGTGAGGACTGTTGGGGGTCCGTTGATTCAGACTATTATTGTGAAACATCTCTCTTGATTCAATATATTATTGTGAAACATTCTTTGATTCATGTAATAAAAGGATCAATAATGAACCTGCATCTTCGAGTATCTATGCTGTGGTCAATGTTGTGTGGAATGAGTGGTTAGACTCGGGAAGGTCACATTTGGCGTTGTCGGCAGGGTAGCCAGAGACTCGTTACATTTGGCTCTGCGAGCAGGATAAGTCTCGTTACATTTGGCGTTGTCGGCAGGATAGACTCGGGGACTCGTTACATATATATATATATATATATATATATATATATATATATATATATATATATATATATATATATATATATATATATATATATATATACCTGATTTATACTACAAACGGAGATCATGTAGCTATTGATATTGACAGTGGTTCAAATGAGCAAATGGTAATTCAGGAAGTTTCTGATGAAGAAGAAACTGCTACTAGATCTAGATTGTAATAACTATTGTTATGACTGGAGAAAGAGTGAAAAATGTTAATAAATGCGTTTGTGTTAAAAAAGATTTCACACCAACCCCCCCTTGCATGACAATCATCCCTAAGCCAAAGGTGTAGATATTTAATAATATTTATATCGAGTTTCTAGTAGCAACCGTGCTTATTTGATTTTGATATCGCTCCATAAAAGGTTACGCTATCCTTTACTGGGCTTTACGGTCCACAATTCTTATCGATTAGCTGTAGGCCTACATATTCATATGCCATATAAATGATATATGAATGCGGGAATAATTATGATAATAAATTATTATTATAAACGGTTATGTTCTAGTTATCACAACAGTAGATTGACTAATAATACGTAGGTGTAGCCGTAGGCTAATAGATTCTAGAATGTTGGACTAAAATTAAATTTCTCGGGAACTCTCTTTCCTGTTACGTCATAAAGTTACTAATTATAGCCCAAGGGTTTCCCCGTATTCGACCATTTATTGATTGGTTAAATCCTTCCCGACGTTCACTGCCATGTAATATGGCGGATGGTTTAGATTATGCATCGCAAAGGGGCTGGAGGATCACGTCCTCCGTGGAAAAAAAAAGAATCGAAAGGAAAACTTGTGAAGAGGACAGTATCTGTCCACAATAGGAATCTTCGTTTTTTTGCTACTCCCATCTTGGTTATTTTTATATTTGTCAGATCCCTAGCTTATCAATTTTTCTTGGCGATTGTGTTTGTCAGTCAGTACAGCAGACGAGCAATCGCATCTTACTCTCACCCAACTAACTTGAGAGCTATCGAAAGTGCTCCGATTATGTCCAACACCAGTAAAGCAAAGAGTCCAGTGGGGCCTGGGGAACCAGCTTTGGCTAATCAGAAGAAATACCACAGAAAAGCATTTGAATTTATTTCTAAAGCTTTAAAAATAGATGAAGAGGATGGTGGTGAGTCAATTTATGAATTTAAAGTTTAATAAAGTGGGAGTGATCTCCCCTAAGCTTTCTTTTATATTCTCATACATAGACTCTACATACTAATACATAGGCCTATACTATATAATATATATTATATAACACTAACAGTAAGAAGGATAACACTTAATCATGCTATAAAAATGATTTTTTAAAATTGTTTTACAATACTATTTTAAATTGAATAGAATCATGTACAAAAAATAAGAATTGTGAACGCAAATATAGCGGAGAATTAATAGGCCTACTTTATAAAGGAAAACATTGATAATTTTTTTGAGAAATCAGAAATGACTTTAAGACATTAAGTACAACTTTCCCTCACATGAAATCACTTAACATTTTACTGTATCAAGAGAATAAGATCTCTACCAATGTATAAAATTTAGCCTACCTCACTGAAATGGCTCTCAAGTATCAGTATTTTAGAAAACAGAAATAGAGTAAAGTACCACTTCCAGTTATCGGAGGTCACTCAAAAGTTGGAAGCAATCAAAAGTATATGATTTTATACTTATATGTGAAATTCAGTCTTCCGAACTGAAACAACTCAAGTTATAGTGTTCCCAACAAATTAAAATATAAAAACGTTTATATTTGTAGTGAGAAAAGATATTGCTGTTGAACTTTATAGAAAAGGAATAACTGAGCTTGAAAGGGGGATTGCAGTGGATGTCGAAGGACAAGGTATTTTAGATGTTCTATTAGTTACAATTAGTACAATGTTATTTAAAGAAACTGGCATGTTGAAAATATAGCTATAGACTGAAGGCCAAGTATTCTGGACGGATATAGCTCACAATTAACTGCTTCCATGACATAAAGCATAAATGTAACCATAAGCAACTGTCATAAATGATACTTAAAAGTATAAGATAGAAGCTGTTTATGATGTAGATCATGCCTCAGTTCATATTGCTTAAGGTTCTAAAATATGGATATTAATTTTTGAATAATTAAATTACTTTAGGAGAAACCTATGAAAGAGCTCGTCGCTTGAAAGAAAAAATGCAGACAAATCTTGATATGGTCAGAGATAGGCTAGAAATTTTAGGTATAGTATAAATTTTATTTTCTTAAAATCATTTTCTCTTTTAAATGTTGTTTTTAAAATACCTGCATTGGTGTTCACACAAACAGTGCTTTGTTTAGAAGTCAAGTCCCATGGCTGCTTTTAAACTTTATCTTAGCTCATAGAACTCTTCATAAAAAACAAATTATTTAAAGTCAGTAACTATAAAATTTATATAAACTATATTAACTGATTTAAATATTATAGAAATCAAAAACATACTGCATTTTAAAATCTTCAAAATAATATTTAGCAAAGTTAATGCTTCCTTAAAAAAGATTTCATAATTTTCATTAGATGATAATTTAAAGGGTTTGCTACTAGTGTGTTTCTTGCATGTTGCAATATCCTTTTATGTTATAGACATTAATAAACTTATCCAAGGTGTTTGATATCAAATGTATTTAACTGTGTATACCTATTATATTGAACATGTGTCAAATTAGAAGATAGGCCCCACATTATGTTATTTTGAGCTTTTAAATGTTTTTTTGTTGTCTTAAGGTAGAAAATGGCTTTTTAAGTTCCTTTATTTGGTATTGCAAATGTTTTTTTTTCGGTTAACTTAGAAAAGCTTTTAGAAAAAATCTCACTGAAGAATAAAGAAGAAGAAGAAGCTAGTGCCAGTTCAAAATCTGCTGTACAAGTCCAATCCACAAGTGGACGAGTTGAAGCAAATACAACAGCTGGCCCCTCCACTATCCATAAGCCTTATATATCAACCCGACAAGACTTTTGTCTTTTACCCTCTACCACTAATGTACTGAGTAAATTCACTTCCCTTAATTTTGCTGGTCGCAATACAGATGCAGGTAGGAATCTGATTCTATTCATATTGCTCTTAATGTTCTTCAAATATTTTTGTAAAGATTGAACAGGCATTCTTATTTGGTTTTAAAAACGGTTTAATAACACTTTTACCATTGAATGGTAAACATATTAGTTTAAAGATAAATTAACCGGGAACAGGGCATTTCCCCCCTGTCAATTACCCCCCGGATATTTCCCCCCCGACATTACCCCCCAGAGTAATTACCCCCCTGTCAATTACCCCCCTGTCAATTACCCCCCGCCCAGTAGGACAGTAGGGTTAGGGTTAGGTTTTAGGGTTAGGGTTAGGGTTAGGTTTTAGGGTTAGGGTTAGGGCTAGGGATAGGGATAGGTTTAGGTTAAGGTTTAGGGCTAGGGTTAGGGTTAGGGCTAGTGTTAGGGTTAGGGTTAGAGCTAGTTTTAGGGTTAGGGTTGTGTCTAGCTTTGGTTTTGGTTTTGTGTGAAGTTTTAGGCTAAGGTATATGCTTAGGTTTTGGCCTTTTTCTTAAGGTTTGGATTAAAGTAGTATATAGGTATAAAATTCTAGTTAGAGTTAGGATTTTAACTTGAGAGGGGGGGGGTAATTCCCCGGAGGGGTAATTGACAGGGGGGTAATTGCTCCGGGGGGTAAATACGGGGGGGGGGGGAAATGTCCGGGGGGGGGGGGGAAATATCCAGGGGGGTAATGTCCTGTAGCCAAATTAACCATAAACTAAAGGAAAATTTTAATTATATTTTTTGATCACTTCTGAATAACATCTTACAGACAAAAATGTTTTCAAGGTATTTTCAGCCATTCACTACAAAAGTTTAGAGCCACTTTTAATTTTAAATTTAAAGGTATATTGTATAGATTGATTTTGAATAAACTGTTTGCTAAATTTAAAGGTATATTGTATAGATTGATTTTGAATAAACTGTTTGCTAGATAACTGTATGGTAAAATAAAGCGTCTTAATGTTGGCTTATGAATAATCTTAACATGTAAATAACATTAATTTATTTTATTCTCAGTTGTTGTTATTTGTTGTAAAACAAGTTAGGTGAAAATGAGACTTGAGAAGAAATTAAATTAAATTTTAAATACATTAACACAAAAAAAAGTGACAAAAAATATCTAAAATGACGTTTTATTGTTTGTGATATTAAAAAAAAATTATTATAACATTACACAAATATTTATTGAATATTAATAAATACACCAAGTACATTTTAATTATTTTCCATGTGTATGTAGCATTAATAATGTGTTTTTTTTTTTATTTGTAACAAAACAGTTTCTCACAAGCCAATGAAGTCAAAAAATATTCCAATGACAGTCAGCAAAGCAGGAAGTGGAGTTATACCTCGAGGGGGTAGTGGAACAGGGGGAAGAGAAAGGAAATCATCTACTTCTTCTACTCCAGGTTCTTCACCAGGAACAAAGCGAAGGCCTACACACCTCAGGCAGGCATCTCAACCAGATGTAAGACCCATGAAAGTTGCATATACCCTGAAATATAAGTGGTTGTATTTTATTATAGGCTCATGGAAATATAAACATGTTATTCCTTTGCATTATATGGCTCAATTCTAACTTCTTAGGATTGGTTTAAATTTAAGATATTCTTTAGATATTTTAAATAATAAGAAAAGCTAATAAAAACTTTTTTCTTTTTTAAGATACGAGGAATGACGAATGGCAGAGATATTTCCAATGTAAAATTGAAAAATGTTGATAAGAAATTGGCTGATCTTATTCTAAGTGAAATAGTAGATAGTGGACAAGAAGTTCTATTTTCAGACATTGGTAATGGATATATTTTATTTTTATTGAAGCTGTAATTAAATAATACAATTTTCAAAATTTATAATGATTTTTGTTTTAATTTTTAAAAAATTTTAAGCTGGACAAGAAACTGCAAAGCAAGCCTTACAAGAAATAGTTATTTTACCTGCACTTCGACCTGAGGTAATATCTATTATAGGTTTCTATTTCTATTTATTATGTAATTATAACTTTCTTTCTTATTACTTACAGTTCATGGGGCAGATGAAGTAGTTTTATCTGTTTCTTTCATTTCAGCATATGAGCTTATTAAGGGATAGTGTGGTCAGCACCAGTCTTTTTTATTATTCTCCAATTTAAGTCAGGTATCCATCAGAGCTGGGTCAATTCAGGGACTCCACTGATTTGAGCCTCAAAACTAAAATTACAACTTTCCTGTTGAACACACTATCCCGTCAAAATGTATACTAACTTATTAAAATATTCATGTTAAAAATAATTAAAGATCAAAAGATTTTGCTTTTGTATTTTTAATTTCATTGCTCATGATTTTCAATGTCAGTGGCTTGAATTAGTCTTGAAGAGCAAAGGGGCACATCTACACCTCTCTACCAGAATTGGTTTTGGGCAGCTCTCTTCAGTTTAGCCCACATAAACCCTGCAGCCCCTTGCTTCTCCTTATATCCTCTTTGCAGGCTTTAATATCTCTGTCAGTCGGCCGTTGCTTTGTGGTTTGCCATAGGTCATCATTGGTTATTTTGGCTGGCCATTTTAAGGGTTTGATGTAGACATCTATATGACTATTCTGTTGGTATTTGACTAGGTAACCCTCCAGGTTTCCGAGCCATGCAGCAATATGGTCTTAACATTAACAAGATTTTTATCTTGCTCTGGAGTGCTTAGTAAGTTGAAGGGACATCTGGCCATGTTGTTACAGCTTTTTATGTGCTCGTCTGCAACTCCATCCTTGTTGATCACACTTCCCAGATATGAGACTTTGTTTGTCTCTTATTTGTCATTTCCTTTTAGCTGTATGAGCAGGTCCTGGTTGTTATTGATTCTTGATGATCTCTGTTTTATTTATATTGATTTTTTGTCCTACTTTTAAGACATCTTCAGATGGCTGATTAGTTTTGTTTGGCCATATTGTTCTCAATGTCCGTAGTGTTTTAATTAGTAGATCTATATATTTTAAATAGAATGTAAATTTGACTTTAAGTAAAATATAATATTTTTTTTTACTCATAAAAATAAGATATTAATTTTTTAAACAAAAAAAAAAATGTTTTTTTTTTCCTTTCAGTTTTACAATTTATTGAACATTATGAAAAATGTCTACTGCAATGTATATATTGCTTTCTTCATTGCTTGTACACTTATTTGTTAGGCAATTTTTAGTTGAATTTTGCTGTTGTCCTTTTGAAGTAAAATAAAAAAAAATTTCAATAATTCTGGAGACTAACTTATTAATTATAATTTTCTTAGCTTTCAATTTATTAATAGAAAATTATTTTCCCCCAGTTATTTACTGGTCTTCGTTCTCCAGCAAGAGGGCTGCTGCTATTTGGTCCCCCTGGTAATGGCAAAACACTTCTGGTATGCTGAAAAACTATAATACATATAATTAGCTAAGTATCTTAATTAGTGTAACATGAAATTAATATGTTTAGTCTAATGATACCTGCTTTGATTCCACAAGGATCACTTTTTGATATATGATGTATTTTTGCTATATATTCTTGTCTTTCTTGTATATAATAAATCTATGGTAACATTTGTTATTACCAATAGAGCAAATCCTTTACTAGGCTATGAATGTTTCTCCCTTAGATCTTGCTGTGACTTTAGCTTGCTTTAAAAATAGCTTTTCAAATATATCACTATTGTTTTTCAGGCTAAAGCTGTTGCTAATGAATCTAAAGCAATCTTCTTCAATATAAGTGCTTCAAGTCTCACATCCAAATGGGTAAATGCAATATTAATATTTTAAACACGTAGAGAGGTTGGAAGCAAACATTGTTTCTGAAATAGTGTATTGTCAAAGAATAATTTTACAAAGAGTGTTCTTTTAATGCCAAAGATAGTTAAAGGTACAGAATATAGTCATAGAAAAGACAGCAGTTTTAAGCTAAATAGGATCCAAGTCTACCATTCTACATGGCACAGAATCACCTTGCCTACTATGTATCAAGTCAGAAGTGTAAACACTATGACCATTAGTTCTACAAAAAAGAATGTACTTGATTGTCCACTTTCACACCCTGTAAGATGCCATCTGAACACTGGCCTTTAAAGCACAACAATGGAATAAAATTTGCCCCAAATATGTGAGCCCTATACACACATGGATACAAATGTATCATATTTTCTAGAACTTTATTCTGTATCTATGTCTACTTTGATGTTTAAAATAAAACTCTTTGTCAGCATTGGTATTATTTTGTACAGCACAAATATTAAATTATTAAAAAAATATGTCTAAAACAAACAAGTTTTTTCCATTTTAACCATTTATTTCTTAGGTTGGAGAAGGTGAAAAACTTGTTAGGACATTATTTACAGCTGCTAGACAACTTCAGCCTTCCATTATATTTATAGGTATACATATTTAGTTAATGAAATATATCTTTTTTTAAAGAATAATTCATTTTACATTTTGATTTTGTATGATTCATTATGAGCACTAGATTAGTAATCATAAAATAAAAATAAGTTAAAACCAAACATACCTTTATTATTGATATTTTCAAATATACATTTTTGTTAAATTATGCATTTACAATATTTACGTAAGAGCAAAACATTGTTTTTAAAGGAATTTTGCAGTCTAAAAGAACCCAAGTCCCTTTTTTGAAACTTTGATATTTTGATTTTTGTATTATACACCATTAAAAGAAAACATAAATGTTTGATTTTCAGATGAGATAGATTCTTTGTTGTGTGAAAGAAGAGAGGGAGAAAATGATGCAAGTAGAAGATTAAAAACAGAATTTCTAGTACAGTTTGATGGTGTAAGCTTTCATAAATAAAAATGATTATTAGTTTTAATCTAAAGACTAACAATAATTAATTCTTCATTTTTGTTGAGCTTTAAGATTAATCTGCAATAGTTTAAAAATACATTTTAGGTTTCTAGCAGTTCAGAAGACAGAATTTTAGTTATGGGTGCTACAAATCGACCACAAGAATTAGATGATGCTGTTTTGCGGTCAGTAAAATAGTTAAAAGAACTTTTATATACTTTATGATGTTATACATTCTAAATTATAATGAATATTGATTTCAGGCGATTTCCTAAACGTGTTTATGTGACTATGCCTGATGTACAGACACGAAGGGTTATGCTTTCACATTTACTTTCTAAACATGGCAATCCCTTAACACAAAAAGAGCTTGACACTTTAGCCAAGTAAGTTTTTTGAAGTAAATTATTATTAGTAATGTGTTTTATCCTTTCAATATTGCTAATTAATTTTGTTTTTTAGAAACAACTGAAAATAGTAAAATTAAATAAAATAAACATTGTTTATAGTTTTTTCAGTATGGTAATTATTGGAACTTTGTTTTCCAATTAAATGCTATCTTAAGTACCAGAGGTCAACAGCAGATCAATTTATGTTTTAATTATGGGGTTTATTTCTCTTATTTCACTGCTTTGCTTATCTAGATGTATCTATATCATAGCAATTCATTGTTACCATTAATGAACAAACTAAAAAATTGAAATCAGTATCTACTAATTTCATGGAATTTGATGCCAAACTTTTCTAATTTTCTAAATTTTCAATAGCATAATACATTTGTATACAATTACAATTGTAATGAGTGGAAATCTCCAATGCTCAAGGAATTACAGCTATAATCATGACATGTACTCTTCATTCATTAAAACAATTTTGTTTAAATAGGTATGGGTAAACTACCCCTAGTGCTCCAACATACAAGTAACTGAATGATTTTAAAAGGAATTTTGAAAATCTTTTAGTATTGGTTATACTGAAATTAGCCTTGTATTATAGTAAATGCATGGTTATGGAAATTAATTAAGCTCATAAGGTCTCACTTAAGTTTGCAAAAACAAAAGATCATTGAAAGAATATTTTAGAAAACCAATACAAAGAAACTTTCATAAATTTGAAATCATGCTTGTATTTTTAGACAGACAGAGGGTTATTCTGGAAGTGATCTTAATTCCTTAGCCAAAGATGCAGCATTAGGACCTATAAGAGAACTTAGCCTCCATGAAGTGAAATCTATGGATGCTAATAAGGTAATGTTAAAAAAAATTGCAAAGGTACAACTCTTCCTTATATCTTGATCAATTAATGTTTAAAGGTTAAGCAACATATAAAAAAAAATTTAGATACAAAATTTTAATGCACTTTTAAATAAAATGCAAATGACAACTTTATAGGTACGACCTATTCAAGCCTCGGATTTCAGAGAATCTCTTAAACGTATTAGACGAAGTGTCCCCTTAGAAAGTTTAGGTCGGTATGAAGAATGGAACAGAGAATATGGTGATATTGCAACATGAACCTTGATGCAACTTTTAACTACGACCAGCAGGTGTGATCCAACATTTTTAGCTGTTGATTTTTTTGTCTGTAAATTTTACAGAACTTTTTCTTAACAAATATGTGATGCTCCTTGAAGTTTGTTATTTAGCAAAGGCTGTGCATTGATTTGATCTGATCATGTATAGTTTCAACAGAAAAAACTTTTAATTGTTTAAAAGTAAATGTTAGTCTAAGGGTTTTTTCCCTTGAGCAATAACTATCTGTTTGAACACCATTGATAACCAGTGTCATCTCCTGAGTTCTTTATCTCCGGTGTTTCCTTGTCAGCACTTACAATTCTTCAAAATTCTGGAAAATATCATTCAGAGATTCACATCTGGCATTGATGTTTGATGTATTTGTTACATGAAAAACGCCCCAACCAGATATTTATTCACTTCTATTATTTATCAGAATTGTTATAAAGATGCTTCTTCATGTGACACCCGTTATACCCAAACCAATTTAAACTGACTAATCTGCTGATTCTTAAAGAAATCAATATTTATGAAAACAAGGCCTAATACCTTTACATGAAAACTGAACTTCCTAATTTTTTATTGTTGCCGTAGCTTATTGCTGATCACTAAAATTAAAAATTTCTAATGCCACCATTTGAACTATCAAGTCTTTAATATAGCTGTTAGCTTCAGCTAAACAAAATGTAAATTACTGAAAAAGCTATGCTACTTAAAAAACCAAATCTGAAAAAAGTTCTTTGAGCTATTTGACAATATAAATTGACATTGTAATTGTATACTTTTTTATACATTATTTTATAAGTTAGTTTTATTAGAGCTGGATTCAAGGTTTCATAAAGCAATTGCATATTATTTGCTCCACAGAAGGGATTTGGCAGCTTTATTTAAAATTTTAATGTTTTTTCCTTTTACTTTTATAGTAAAATATTAAACCCATAGAATTGAAACTACTTTGCTGTAGATTTGATAACACTAGCTAAATATCAACTAACATTATCCCATTTCTGCATAATAGATTGAAAATTATTATATTATTTTTAAATAAGGGGCAATCCTTTGTACCCAATTACAGAAAAAATACTCAAGACTTTTGAGATAGAAATCGATTGCTCAACCAAACTATATAAACTATGTTCATAAAGATTTTTTATAGTGCAAACAGGTTATCTGAGGGATTTAGAGATATCAAGATTTAATTTTTTTAAATGTCTGTAGTAACTGATGTTTGTAAAGCAGCATTCATACAGCAGTTTGTAAATACACATGGGGATAAGTGCTACTTAACTTTTAGGTTTTCTTTACATTTGCTGTAACACTTGGATATGTATGATGTATTCAAACTGGGTGACGTTATCCTATTGCTGCAATTTTATTTACATTCAGTAAACATTCTTATCATTGCTATAATAGATAAATATTTTTTGTTAGTGCCTTCAGATTGGTGTATAATCTCAAAGCATAATGATAATTTACTTGAAAATATATTTTTGTTATGAAAGTGAAATTCCATTTTATTTGATAATTTTTTAAATCATACACAGCTATACATAAAATAAGTAATGAACTAGCGTATTGTTTAATATTTATCTTTTATTTTTTAAGTTGTAGATAACATACACACCTTTCAATATTTCAATTAGCCTGTGTAAAAAATAAGGTGATATTGCCAAACCTCATGTTAGTGTGTGTATGTTTTTTCTAACCAAAGATCTTTTTGGTGTTTATTTTGTTACATGTTTTAAAAAATAGACTTTTTTCTACCTATGCTGATTTCTTAAACATAAATTGAATTAATTCAAAAGCATGGTTTCCAAACTATTTGTCACTTCACCCATCTTGAAAAAAAAAATGTTGGTGCCTCCCCATCCAGTTTCATTCCATAAAATACATTTAGCTATAGTCTACATGTAACTATCTATAATTTTTTTTTCTAATAGTTATTAGTAGGTCTAAAACCATAATCATTATTGGTCCTAAATCCAAAGAAGTGAAAATCTTTTCAAACATTATTCGAAGTAAAAAAAGGTAATAACTTCCAACAATAGGTTAGGTTAAGAATAGATAATATTTTGTAATGTCATTTAAAACTGTTCACGTTTACATAACATTTTTTAAAGTATTAAACAGCTCATCCCTATATAATTTCACTCCCACAGTTAAGACATAGCTGACATAAAACAAATAGGTAATTAGTTTTAGATTAAGTATGTGTTGCTAAGCTAATTCAAATGTATTCTTTCAACAAACTTGTTCTTGGATGTAATTTTAAAAATAAATTTTAACATGTATATCTGCATTAAGCATCAGACTTTTTTTTTTCATTCAAGAGCAATGTTTTAGGTCTTCAGATAAAATAAAAATTCACTCTTCATTATAATCACTCCACTCTTCTACCGTATTTTAAGTTTTGTATTTTGCTTATATTTTTGTGGATCAAACCCGTTTAGATACTATAAGTGTTTCATGTAATTCTAACATTTAAAATAACTCAACCGTTCTTCAAACCTTTCATTTTGAACACTGTAAATAATTGGCATTATAAAGTCAATGTTGGGTCGAAGATGTCTGACTAAACTGTATAGTCTATGTGATGTTTGCACAAGATATCTATTGTTTTATTTTAATGTTTGAAATGCTACAATCTACAAATAACCACCTAATCTCTATTTATTTGAAACTTGGCTTTAAATAGTTTCATGAGAAACTGTGCCATATGTATAGTATTGAATATTTTATGTGCCAAAGTTGATGAGAAAAAAGTATTTCTGTTCAGGTTTAATTTAGTTTTAATTTTTAATTATTTATGAACAATATGTTTAAAATTCATTGCTAATAATATTACCTCTCCTGGGTGATAATAATAAGCTTTTTGAAAAACAGTTTAGGTATTGAAGTTGTATAAGCAGGAAAAGTTTTCTAAAACTGTTTTAGGCTAAGTAATTACTAACATTCCAATAGCTTCGTATTGTTTATCTGTAGTTTTAGTAATAGGATTGTGTGAGATATTCTCATTTTATTATTTGAAAATGACAGCTGCTTATTTATATTGATAGTAATGTGCTGCATAATCTTTGAACAAAAACTTGCTAATGAAAATATTTTGTTTTCAACACTGCAATGATTCTTCCATTCACTGATTTGCTTTTCTACAATTTTTATTGCTGCTATGCAACATTGTCTTGTTTGTCTGGATCTTTATATTAAAGTGTTTTAATTTTAAGTGCTTGTATTTGCACAAATGTGAGTAAAAACTTTGACTTTGATGCAAGAGTAGCTATGGAGTAATTCATTATTTTGCAAAACATGAGTTTGTGTTCCAGGCCATCCATAGAAGGTGCCTACGTATTCCTTCAGACTTCCTTGTCCGGGCTTTACCAATTTGAAAGATCTTGTAGGCATCTATTGTATTATAGTATTTCTGGCATTGATTAGTCTTTTGTTTGTCATTCAGTTATAGAATGAGTGTTTGCCAGAAATTGTTGTTATTTGTAAACTGTACTTGTATATTGCTTCAATTATATATACATATATATATATATGGGGATTTTTGTCAGTCTGGATTCTCTACTGGGTTGTTTCTTCATAGTTCTTGTTCTCTCCCCTCACATGCTTCTGGAATTAAAAATTGTATGCTATTCACTGTAATAAGCTTACAACTTAGTGTAAAACCTTGTATCCAGAAAGTTCACAGCAAGCATTTCACAGATTGTTGACAGAGAAATCCATAGCTCAGTAGGAAAAATTTTATCACCAGGGGCCCTGAATTTTGATTTTAGCTGCTATTTAATAGTTCTGAAACATCTCTTCCAGCTTGTTCCTAGGTTCTAGTCCATTCCACAGTTCCAGTCTAGCAGCCTTTATATACTGATGAAGCATTCCCATCTTTCCCATTCTTCCACACCCTGAGTTGCACTACTTTTTTTTTGTAATATATGTGACTGGTAACTTTTTTTTTAACTTAGTAATTTGCTTGATGATCATTGTTAGTATTTACATTTATTTTACAATAGCTACTTAACTGTTTTCTTGGTGTGGTTTATGAACATTAATTACCATGTAATTTGTAAAAAAAAAGATTTTGCAGACCTAAGTGGTTACTCTTAGTTGTTTATCAGTCTATGGGCTAGTTATTGTTATACAACTGTCAAACTATTCAACAATTTTTAACCACCTTCTCTAAATCATGCAATATTGTTTTTTTTTGTTCTGTTGGGGGTTGACATAAAAATTATTTTAAAAAATGTATTTTTTTAGTAGCAAATTCAAATATTGTCAATATTGTGTTTTTTTTCTTTCTGTTGAAACTGTCAGAAGTGTTGGTGGCTTCTAGTTGCAGTAGTCCAAGAAGTGCATACAATGTGAAGAGAGTAGCATAATTGTTGTGTGTTTCTACCTGATGATAATTGTGTTTTTAACTTGACAGTGTCTAGATAGGATTCAGTGAGTGCTAATAGAAAGGAACTGTTACTTATGTATTTATTATTATGTCTTGCTTATCACTTTGGTAGGTGGAAACAAAGGAAATAAAATCATTCCTTGTGATGCAGTATGTTGATTTTTGTTGTTGGTCTTATTATATGTACACATACATAGGCATTAATACATCAACTGTATTGATTGTCACTGGCCGTGTAGGCAGTATAAACATTAGACATAACTCCAGCACATTTCTATTTTTTATTTTGTTAAATAAATATAAAGATTTATCTGGATTACAAACACATTTGATTTCTAATTTAGAAATCAAAAAAGAAAATGGAATTCATAATACAGTAAATATTTTTAAAAACTGAGAACACAATTTTAATTTAAAGCATGCAACACATCAAGTATAAATTAAGTTTTATTTTATGTATTTAAAATAAATAATCAATTAAATGTCAACATTATACATGGAAAATCATTCTCAATACAGTATGTACATGATGCCTATGGTCAACAAGATAGGTCACTAACACAGTGCCTTTACAAAATCTAAACAAAAGGATCTGATGTTCTGAAAGATAAAACTCTTCCAATATCTACTGTAGGAATACAAGTATAGATTTAAGGGTTAATACCAACATTCTATTGACAGATTCTCAATACTCCACAGCCTAATCTATGGGATGTTTACTGTACCAAACATTTATATTAAAAGCAATTTGACTCAGAAAAGTCCAATACTAGCATGCCAGATAGAAAGAGTTACTATATATAAGTTATCAGCAAGCTAAGTGGGTTGTCATTTCTCTTGATTTATTTAATTTCTTTTCGTAGACTGAGTCTTGAGATATGATTTTGTTGACGTCTGAATGAAGCCATCTCAACACCACATTGTGAAAAGTGCCAAAGGTTGTTGCCCTGGTTAAAGTTTTCAAGGGTTGTCGGCCTCGTGAAAAGTATCAGGCCATGTCAGTAATGTTGAGAGGTTACATCATGCAGTCAACAAACCGTATGCATAGTCCTGCACTTTGGCTGGAATGTTTAAATCTCTCAGCTGTTGTTCTGTCCGAAAGCTCACATAGCCCATGCTCCTGAGCACGTCCTCACACTCGTGGTCTATCTGCTTGACCACAGAGAAGGGCAGCTCCTGTCTCCATCTGTAGGCTGTTTGCATTGGATTTTTCCTCGACGTCTTCCGGGCTGGAAATTGGTTCACGTTGTATTGACAGTAATTAGTATAGGCTCCGTATTTTAATTAACTTTTAACAATTGTCATTTACTTTTGAAAATACGAATTTTATAGATGTAGGCCTATGTAGTGATCATCCTTAAACAACATTTTGCATCCCCCCACTCCACATCGTCAAAAAAAAAAATGACGTCACACTTCTGCCTACCCCACCTCCCTTCAAACTGATCAATTATTATTGTACTGTTGTGCCTTTAAAAAATAATTAGTTTAAATACAAGAAATAACAGCTAAAATTCAGTTTCTAACATAAGCTTTTATTTTGAAATTACTTCTTAAAATAAAAAGTTTGTGGTCAGGTTTTATGACACCCCCCCCCCCCCATCGTCACTACAGCGCAACCCCCCCCCCCCCCCCAGAATTGTGACACCTATGAACCACCCCATTGGAATATTTATTTACTATGAAAGATTGTTTTTAAAAAGCTACGTTTAGTACGCATTGAAATAGAACGAAAGAATGCTAATTCTTACAGGCGGTGTGTTTAATTTGTGTAGTTATACATCTTACTTGCTGTTTTACCGGTTTTGTTTAAAAGATCGTGGCTCATGATGGTCTTCACATAGTCGGCGATGGACGGGGACATCTCCAGACCAACGAAGTTGTACATGGTCGTGGTCAGGTCCAGAGGTGTTTGGGCCAGGTCTTCGTAGCGCACCGTCAGGATTTTACCTACAAGAACAATATATAATAGAATTTTTTTTTAAATAAATGTATTGGTAAAATTTATTAGATCCTCTTTGTATAAAAAAAAATTAATTTAATTATGCAGATTTGTATGTCAAAAAATTGTTTTTAAAAAAAAGTGATAAAGGGAAGTAATTTTGGGTCATGGAACTTCGTTTAGCCTACCCCAGTGTTTGTGTGTTATCTCCCTTGAGATCCTGATGTCCTCCCTTATCCGCTGACAGAAGAACGTGTAGTTGTTGTGCATCTCCCCAGACATCTTACTGTTGTAGTGCATGCGCGACAGCAGAATTCCGCGTGGATCGCGGATAAGATGGATGATCCTCACCGCTGGATCCTGCTCCAGATACACGTCTGCCTCGGCCATGGTTAGCCTGACGACCTTCTGTACGATGGCTCTGGAATTAAGGCACCTGGACGGGGCAATTAACCAGATTGATAAAGTTGGCACCTGCAGGCATAAAACCACAACCCCCCCCCCCCCAGACCCCGCTCCTCTCAGCTACAATTTGATCTAGTAAAAAGTATGCATCAGAAAGCTTTATAGGAGCTCATCCCCCCCCCCCCCCCACAGTGTTTCTTCCAGACTTTTTTCTCCGGGGGGGGGGGGGGGGGGGGAGGCACTTGAAATTTTCGGGGCGGTAGACTTTCTTCGGGGGAGGGGGGGGGGGGGCAGACACTGTTAAAAGTATAGATTTTCTATATAAATTTCATTTCGTTCGGGGGGGGGGGGGGGGAGGGGGGCGGTAGACTTTTTTAGAGATGCCTGGAAGAAACTCTGCCCCCCCCCCCCCATTTGTAATTCCCCTACGCCGCTCCGCCGCTCAGTTCTCTGAATCGACATGCCAGTGAGTAGGTTTGTGGCAACGCCCTTGTTTACGTGGCATAGCTGGCTGACATCGCTGGATGTTTGTTTTGTTTTTTCTGGTCAGATAACTTCACTTCCTGGTTTAGCCCATGTATGTTAAACCAACGTCACTTCATGGTTTAACATGCTTATCGTTAAACCTCCGTTAAACACGCGACTGTGTTGTGCTTTCGGTTAAAATATTTGTAACCATCGCTTTTGTATAATGAAAATAAAATAACTGCAGTGTGTAAGATTTTCGTAGCCCACCAGACATTTTCAAGATTAATTTTTTAAAATATTTAGATTATCCATACAGCTCTTGGTTTTCTAAATATAGAATCTATACCTGAGTAATAATGTATCGAGTTATTTCTATTGTCGAGGAAAGCAGTATGAAGATCTTTTCGTATTTTTACTTTAATATATAAAGCTGATTTTTAAAGTAAAATGTATTATGATTTCGAGTAGTTTCCCCTTATCCATGATCTCCACCCTACTACCAAACGTGCAGTGACGTCACGCCGTACCAGGCGATAACTTACCGCTGGCGTATGACGCTGACGCAGTTGTCCGTCACGTTGACGATATTCGTATTGCGCTTGGTCCTGATGCAGCCGACAGTCCTGAAGTCCTCACTGTGTGCCACGTTGGTCAAGAAGTCCATGTTGTACCTGGTCAGGTTGCAGGTGAACATGTAGCGGATGAAGTCCACAGGTTTGGGAATGTAACGTTTCGTGCTGCGCCAGTGTTTCTTCGTTCGGTTCCTGGGGAGGGGTCAATCAGTTTTGGGAAAACACTCAAAGAGATTATTTCTGGTTAAAATGTGGTTCTATTCGTTGTTGTTTTTTAACCACTGTTTTAAGCTTGCCGAGATTTAAAAAAAATTTATAACAAGGTAGATACAGCAGACGTCAGCTGACGTGGCATTTGTGATTTATAGCGATAAGGCGCTCACATTTGCACGTTTTTAAGAACAAAATAAAAAAAAAATATATTGTATATTTATACTTCAGTGTTTGACGTACAATAGTGGATTCAAAATTCAAATGAAACAGAGAGACGGGCCATGCCAGACAGGATGACGGGCCTATAACAGAAGGGTCTATAACAGAAGGGTCTATAACAGAAGGGCCTATAACAGAAGGGATAATAGGCAGGAATACATAATGTGTCATCTAAATACTTACTTGCACCTAACAATTGACACGTAAATGTGTTACCTAATATTTACGATTCCCAAAAAAATGAGCAAACGAAAAATTGCGCAAACAGAAAAATGCGCAAATAGAAACTAATTCTACGAATACACGTTAATTTTGTTATATTTCGTGGAAAAGTGTTATATTATGTACATGTGGTCATTCTTTATTAATGTCTATAAATGTTTTATTTAAAAAAGCAGAAATGCCCTTGTGCACTTTTTGTGTGCAGTTTTCCGTCGCGCAGTTTTCCGTTGCGTATCTCTCCGGTCGGCAATATTGAGACGTAACAACGTTACCTGATGTCGACATCCCTGGACCGTTTGAGTGGAACGTAATGGTCCCAGAGGTAGAGCAGGGGCTCGTACACGTAGAACACGTCAGGGTGGACCTGCAAGTACCAGGTGTGCAGGGGTCATTCGGTGCACAGCCACACGCAATTCAATGCAAACATGCCAGCAGACGATAGTTACCTGCAGCACGTCCCCACACAAGGTGGAGCCACTGCGCATGTAGCTCAGCACGATGACCTTTATGGCGGACTGTTGTTGTTTTCTGGGAGATGTTTCCTTTCCGTTGGACCAATACAAACCTGTGGAGAGCATTAACGGGGAGATAGGGAAATGGTAACGGCGCGTTGATATGGCATTAATCACAGGTATAACGAAACAGTGGTAGGCAATAACGGCATCAATCACAGGTATAACAAAACAGAGGTAGGCAATAACGTCACCAATCAGGTATAATGAAACAGTTATAAATAATGTCACCACATAAAATACCCACAAAATGTCTACTACACATGTACAGTTGTGTAACCAGCTGTCTATACTGGTCTACCTGTTGTTGTTGTCGTCCCTGACACTTTGACGTGGTAGTGTTTACTCGACACAGTCAAAGCTGTAGACAAAGGGAGGTAACAGTTTGTGGCGTGTGGGCAAGTACATCAAATCACAGTTACAAACAGCAACTTTACTTCATGTTATACAACTCTATATATATCCTATATATATATATATATATATATATATATATATATATATATATATATATATATATATATATATATATATATATATATATATATATATATAAAACCTATGGTAAACTAATGTGTACGAGCAAGTGAGTGTATTGCATTAATTGAGCGTGTCAAAGAAAGTGTTCACACGAGATTATCCAATCAGACGAGCGAATAAAAACCAGGCACGAGACGTTTACCCTGCAGGTTACCTGCACGTGTGTGAAAGGTCACGTGTATCTGGAGTGTCGTCAGGCAGACGTAGACCACAGCGGCGAGCAGAAGTGCCAGTTGTTTCTTCCATGATAAAAATCTCAGACTGTGGACAAATGAAACCATTTTAAATTTAGACAAAAGTCAAAGAATTTCAACTTGATTCCATGATATAATACGGACTTGAGCCATTAAACCGAATTCTCGAATTTCGCGTTAGTAATTGAGTGTTCTACCACCCCACCACCAAGTTAAAAAAAAAAAAAGAAACAAAGTCATTTAATGGTTTCTTCTTATTTCTTTTTAATTTATAATGTTAGACGGAATATCCACCAACAATTAAATATTACGTGTCAACAAGTTAAGCGTCATATAGACCGTTGACTCCTATTTTAGCCTGCTTTTCTTTTTGGATTTGCTTCCATGGCCTTTGTCTAGCCAAGAACGAACTATAAAGCAGCAGTTGTTTGGGTCTGGGGTTGTCCTCTATCCAATGGTTTCATTGAACAACCAGCAACAAGACACAGAAAACTCGTTGTTCTACGCTATTGTTTGAGAAGATACGAGAACACCACGCTGTCTGACAGGCCTTAGTGCAGCTGGCTTGTGATGTTTCCAATCTAAAAGTTATCTGGCAACTTTATCTCAACATGCCAAATGTATTTTTTTACTCAGTAGAACTGCATTTTAATGCTATATTATTTTTAAATTGTCTAACAGCATATGAAAGTAAAGGTAAGAAATCTATAACCACATAGGCCTACATGAATTGAAAATATAACCTTCAACCTTCAGCTATCACAAAAAATGCCAGTTTATCCATCTTACGCCCCCTCCCCCAGCAGGAAACGAACGTATGATTTACTTAAAGGGAGCGAGGTGAAGAAAAGTGACGCACACATGCTGGTAGCTCGAATCTACGGGAATTGTTAGAACTGTAGGCCGATAGGCGGAGAAAAGTGACGCACACATGCTGGTAGCTCAAATCTACGGGAATTGTTAGAACTGTAGGCCGATAGGCCTTAGCCAGGGGTCGGCAACCTGCGGCTCGCGAGCCGCATGCGGCTCTTTTGATATCAAGATGCGGCTCTCCAGCTCTTTACACAAATAATAGTAATCTTAATAAAAAAATAAAATATTTGAAATAAAAAAATGTTAGTGGCTCTTTAAAACCAGGGAAATTTTGAAATTGTAACTTTTGGCTTCCGCTTCAAAAGGTTGCCGACCCCTGCTATAGGCCAACCCATCGTAGGACGACACAACTATAGGCCGACCTACCGTAGGCCGACATACCGTAGGCCGACATACCGCAGGCCGACCCGCCGTAGGCCGACACAACTATAGGCCGACCTACCGTAGGCCGACATACCGCAGGCCGACCCGCCGTAGGCCGACACAACTATATGCCCGACCTACCGTAGGCCGACATACCGTAGGCCGACCTACCGTAGGCCGACCTACCGGAGGCCGACATACAGTAGGCCGACCTCCCGTAGGCCGACATACCGTAGGCCGACCCGCCGTAGGCCAACATACCGTAGGCCGACCTACCGTAGGCCGACCTACCGTAGGCCGACATACAGTAGGCCGACCTCCCGTAGGCCGACATACCGTAGGCCGACCCGCCGTAGGCCAACATACAGTAGGCCGACCTACCGTAGGCCGACCTACAGTAGGCCGACCCGCCGTAGGCCAACATACCGTAGGCCGACATACCGTAGGCCGACATACCGTAGAACAACACAACTATAGGCCGACATACCGTAGGCCGACATACCGTAGACCGACCTACCGTAGGCCGACCCGCCGTAGGCCAACATACCGTAGGCCGACCTACCGTAGGCCGACCTACAGTAGGCCGACCCGCCGTAGGCCAACATACCGTAGGCCGACATACCGTAGGCCGACATACCGTAGAACAACACAACTATAGGCCGACATACCGTAGGCCGACATACCGTAGACCGACCTACCGTAGGCCGACCCGCCGTAGGCCAACATACCGTAGGCCGACCTACCGTAGGCCGACCTACAGTAGGCCGACCCGCCGTAGGCCGACACAACTATAGGCCGACCTACCGTAGGCCGACATACCGTAGGCCGACATACCGTAGAACAACACAACTATAGACCGACATACCGTAGGCCTACGGCCGACATACCGTAGGCCGACCTACCATAGGCCGACCCGCCGTAGGACGACACAACTATAGGCCGACATCAAAACCAACGGGACCACATTGACACTGGCCTGACTATGTTTTGTCCAGTGGGAACACAAAGACACTGACCTGACAATGTTTTGTCCAGTGGGAACACAAAGACACTGACCTGACAATGTTTTGTCCAGTGGGAACACAAAGACACTGACCTGACAATGTTTTGTCCAGTGGGAACACAAAGACACTGACCTGACAATGTTTTGTCCAGTGGGAACACAAAGACACTGACCTGACTATGTTTTGTCCAGTGGGAACACAAAGACACTGACCTGACAATGTTTAGCACCAGATTACACATAACGTTGACACAGCGTCATCGGTAACATTGACACGCCGGACACTCGGACGCTCTCTGTGACGTAGAAACTGTATTTGAGATGTAGACACAGAACAGTCCGTGACGTAATCAAGTACCACGTGACGTTCTCACTCTCCAGTTGAGCTGTTGTATAGACTTAATTTCTCTGTTGGTCATTTAACCTGAATCTTGAGCTTCCCAGAAGTCAACCTTTGAAAACATACAAAAATATTAAATGTTAAAGGTATCTTTCACGCAGATGAGGCTCATTAGCTACGGACAGTAACCCACAGGGCGCAAAACAATGAAGAATTGTGTTGGAGAATGCCTATCCCATATTACAATTAATAGCGAAAAAGGAATTTTTTTTTAAATATAGAGTTACCGGTCCTGAACTCCGCGAAGCGGCTTTTTTTTTCTTTTTACATTGTTTATGTAACCGGTTCAAACCCACTTAAGAACAGCGAGGAAATTTAAAAAAACAACAACTGTTTATTTAAACTTTTGGGTTATGTTACGTCTTCCCCCTTTACCGTTTTATTATTTAGATTTTTAAAAAAATATGTATTGGCGCTATATTGAATTTCCTTTTGGAATAACAGAGGTAATTTAAATTACTTGTTTATTTTAAAGATAAAAGTCAAAACGTTTTCATGAAAGATAAATCTACCCACGCACAAAACTGATGCTATCAAATTCTACGCTTCTTTAAAGTTAAGATAAAATAACAAAGTTTGATAACATCATATTGTCGATGAGATAAAATTATTTTGCTGGGAAAATGTCAATTAAATTGGAGGCTTTTCGTTTCCATACTGCTTGAACTGCTTGATAAACCGGAGCTCTCGTTTTAACCTCTCCACACTTTGCTGGTAGTTTTAGATGTGTTCTTTTATTAGCGGAGAACTGGGCCAACAGACCAGTAGCGTAGCGAGGGGGGGTACATATGTCCCCTGGCGCCGACCTTAGGGGGCGCCAAAATGGGTTGGAAAAATAAATTGAAAGGTTGAGGGGGGTGCAAATTGAAAGTTTGAGAGGGGGGGGGGGGGGTGCAAATCGAAAGTTTGAAGGGGGGGGGGGTGCAAAGCAAATCGAAAAGTTTGTCCCCGGGCGCCGGGAAAGGTCGCTACGCCTCTGCAACAGACAGCACAGCAGAAAAAACTCTATTTAATTAGGTAGTCAAACGCATCTGTGTACTCACTCGTTATTAATTATTACATTATTGTATATATATACACACATATATATATATATATATATATATATATATATATATATATATATATATATATATATATATATATATATATATATATATGTGTGTGTGTGTGTGTGTGTGTGTGTGTGTGTGTGTGTGTATGCATATGTATATGATGTTAATGTCACACATCCAGCTGTGTATTGACCTCGCTTTGCCCACACAAACACTTGTTTGTTAGCATCCCATTCGGCCATACAGGCAACTATGTGATTGTCTCCCCCGTAGGCCCCACTCAACATATCCTTTGGGTAAAATCCAGGCTCCAGGTAGATCTACCTGTTAGGTGCAGGTAAGTCAGTTCTCACCACTGAAACATTTTTATTGGATGGGTGGAGTCACAGCGTTAAGTGGTGACAAAGGACTAGAGAAATCAAGCAATTCGTGTTGGGAATTATAGCTCTTGATTAAAACTGTTATCAAGTATAGCTTTTAATTAAAAATTAAAATCAAGTATAGCCCTTGATTAAAACTTTAATAGCTGTTGATTACAACTTAAATCAAGTATAGCTCTTGATTGAAACTTTAATCAAGTAAAAGCCCTTAATTAATTAAACTACACAAGGCGTGTCATCACAAAACCCTCGTCATTGTTTTACGTAAGCCTACTTGACACAGTTCATACACACATACACAAACACACACACACACACACACACACACACACACATTCTCACACACAGGCACACCCGTGTACCCACGCACTCATTATTATTTAAGTAATTTAGTAACAATTTAAATAAACTCCTAGATTTAAAAACAACGTGTATTAAACACAGCACATATATTTTAAATCACTTGTTCAGAACATGTGGTGTTGATAGAGTTATGGTTGTGTTCAGACTTAACTGTAGGGTGGTCTTAAGTCAAGCTCATTTAATTAAGACATAATTTAGACATCAGCCTAATTTAAAAACCTTATATACTGAACTATAAATGCAACAATAATTAAATTCAAAACATCAACCAACCCCATGCAACCCTTCACAAAGTTCACCTACCCTCTACCCTGAAAATAATGATTCGAACAATAATCAGCTGATTTTAAAATAAATTATTTATGTTTCTATAAATACAAAATGAATGTTGCGTCCCGTTTTCTTAACCCCACCCCTCGGTAGTTTATCGTGGAGAGAACTATTTAGGCGAGGAGAACTGCCTGGGGGTGGGGAGGTTGTGTGTGTGTGTAGCGGGGGGGGGGGATGTCCAGGTGTAGACATGCCACATGTGAGCCGACTCTTGATGTTTCACCTCTCGGTGAGTAGTCCGGCTAAAAACGAAGTTCGGCCCGAGTGATTGGGCGTGTACAACATTTAGCTGCTGGTTCATTACTAAAGTAAGCCGTCAACGGTTCGGTTTTATTAGCGCAGTACACACGTTTGGAACAAAACAGCGCAATGGCCAAAAACCCCGGAGCAGACTAATGCTCACAGAAAATGCGCCAGCTTTGCACATATACTTTCTATATGTTACCGAGTGTATCGACAACGCCAAATGTTACCGAGTCTATTTACTTGTAGTGCCAAATGTTACCGGATGTATTTACTCGTGCTTTGACCAGCACACAACATCGACCACAATACAGATACTCGGAAGTGCAGGTTTACATTGATCTCTTTATTACATGAATCAATAGAAATGCTCCACATAACAATGCATCAATGTTCCACAAGAATACAATGAACCAACTGACCCCCACCGTCCTCACTAGTCCTCACATATCAGAATGCACGTGTCCATCGTTCCTATTCTCACAAATCACAACACGTCCTCACAGTTCAGTCTTCAACTCTGTTCTGCCGTTCTCTACCAGTCGCCTTCCCATTATATCCCACGTATTCGTAATACTTTCTATTCGTTGCATCAGACTATGAACTACGCAGTTCTGTCGTATCGCTTCCCAAAATACGCAGTGGCTTTGTGATCGTTATCAGTCCACACCCTCTGTATCAGTTGCATCAGCCCAGTTTGTCCTTGATCGTGTCTTTAGTTGACAGACTGTATTGCGTTCTTATCGTCTTTACTAACTACACTAGTTACATATAGAAAAGTTTTATTCTTTAAAATTAATTAAGCATCCAATAATGTCAACTTTGATGTCAGATTACATCATCATTGATCCACGTGTCAAGTTTGAAACGAATCGGTCCGTTAGAAGTGGTCGAATTTTTGCTCGGCCGTTTCGATCGATGACGACAGAAAAGCCATCAGATGGATGGTATCTCGTCCACCTCAACTCTCCTGTTCTGCTCATGTATTATTTGTTGAACAAACGTTTTGGTTGTGTGGCATATCTTGTCTAGTTCACATGGCATTCCGATAAACCACACCATGTGGTTACATAATCGCCAGCAATTGATAGCGTCATCCCTATCTTTGACCGATATATCTACACAAAACCTATATATATATATATATATATATATATATATATATATATACATATATATATATATATATATATATATATATATATATATATATATATATATATATATATATATATAAAATATGTACATATGTGTGGTATGTGTGTTTGAAATCCATTTTTTTGTTAGCATACGCTACAGATATGAATACAATTAGGTGCCCAGTCAATGTTTCAATTTTTTAAATAGTAAAACTGTTCAAGTCGGCACACTTTAGCATGGTCTTATAAAAGAAAGAATGTAATTATACATTTACCCGTATCGATTCAGATTTGTTTTCAACTATACACAGACAAATCTGGAAATTTATAAACATTTGAATATTATTAACTTGACGTCTGCACCACCCACCAGATGTGAAGTTGGGCGGGGTATTTTTAACAGACGGCTAAATAAATTTTGAGCCACTAAAACTAGGGTACAGAGATTATCCACGATTCCAAGCAGGAAATTACGAAGGGCGGCGTAGTTATAGGGGGGGGGGGGGCAGGAGCGGGGAGACATGGAGAAACGAGGAGATGGGGGATGACGATGGGGATGAATATGGGATGAAAACTACAGATAATAGATCTGAATAAAAATACCAGTCTTTTTAAGCGAGCAACAAAATTTCCTACCTTCTAAGTTACATACGCCCTATATTTCCGTTGAAATAAAAATGGATGTAGATTTTTTAAGCGGATTGTAAAAAAAAAAGGGGGGGGGGGGAAGGGGGGGGGTTAACACTAGGTTATGAGATCAAAGTTAAAAGGGAGGGGTCGGGACGTACTTACAATAGAATAAGTGTTAAAGCGGAAAATGAGAGACGTTGGTACATTATATAATCTGATAATGTGTGATTGTCATACAAGTGTTGATTAGACCGTTGTGCGAGCGTGTGTGTGTGTGTGAGTGTGTGCGTGTGTGTGTGTGTATGAAGGGAAGGAGGGAGGGAGGGAGGGGAGAATCTGAAACGTTCGTTTTGTGGCTGACTTGAATTTGTGACACAAGCCCACTGTCATGACCGGATGTTGTTTGACATGCGCAGTGTCATGCGTCTGAAGTCTGCTACCTGTTACCACATGACGGTCTTCTGCCAGAGTATCACACAATGGCGGCTTTACTAAGACCGAACTAATTGCTATAGGGCTAATTAAACGATAAATTGAGGAGGGAGAACCAAACAAATAAAACATTTTTCTTCAGTCAGTTTTGTGTGTGTGATATCGAGAGTTTTTTTACCTACATTTTTCTCCGGGTAGTTGAGGTAACTTTAAAATCCTAGGGGCGCTTCAAACTTTTTAACAATGTTTATTTTACTGTATACTTTCTATGTAAATTTAATTTAAAATTTTTTTTCTTTCGTGGGAAGGGGAGGGGAGGGGTGCCTGAAATAAGCTTGTGGTTTGATTAACTCAGTGGCGTCAATGTCTTGTCTCGTCCGGTTTTGGCGCCCCGCGCCTTGTCACGCTACTAGAGAAATGACTTCCATTTCAAACACAACTTTACTTCATAGAATGGACGCAGCCGTGAATAGTCTCAGA